CCTGCTGCAGTATGGGAGAGTTGCTCCATTCGAGTTCAGCTCCCGGATAACTTACCTGGGAAGGTAATGGAAGAGGTCCTGAGTGCTTGGGTTTCAGTTACCAAAACGGAGTTCCAGGCCCCTGGCTAGGCCCTGGATCAGCCACTGCCAAGCCCTGAGGCCGTCGTGGAGGGGTGGGCTGTGAGCCAGCACATGCGAGCTCCCTTCCTGCCTGGCTCCCTCCCTGTCTGTAGTTTGCAGACTCAGCCCAGAACAGGAAGGAATGAACACAAGCCAGTGTGCTGGCTCAGGCAGAACAGGTGTCAGTGCTCACGTGAAGGGTTGGTAGTTGCGGCTCACATTCCTGAATCCTTTATTCTGTATTACCTGTAGGATTCCTCGGTCCTGGAAGATTACCCTAAGTCTCTTGTTTATGCTGAGTTTTCTTCTTATAGGTAAGTCTTGCAAGTGGCGGTCTTTCCTGCCCGTATGCAGGGATGAGGTGGTGGGAAAGCAATGGAACGGCTCCTGCTTGCAATTAAATGCCACTGAAACTGTTGCAGAAGTGTCAGCAGATATTTTTTTAAAGATTTACTGGTTTTTTTTTAAGGCAGATTTACAGAGAGGAGACGAGACAGATCTTCCATCTGCTGGTTCACTCCCCAAATGGCTGCAAGCACCATAGCTGAGTTGATCCAGGAGCTTCTTCTGGATCTTTCGTGTGGTGCTGGGTCCTGAGGCTCTGGGCCATCCTCTGCTGCTTTCCCAGGCGGGGAGCTGGATGGGAAGTGCAGCAGCCAGGACAAGAAGCAGCTACCATATGGGATCCTGGCACTTGCAGGGGGAGGATCAGCCTGCCTAGCCATGACGCTGGCTCCCTCGGCACATGCTGGAAGTAACACGGGCATCTAAAGGGCACTTGTATTCCTTTTCTCCCGGAATTGTGGTTTAAAAGCACAGAAGTTGCATTGCAGTTAAGATTTTTTATTCTAACACATTATACAGTTTTCCTTTTCTACAAGCCAGTGACTGAGCCTGGGGGATTGGCTCACCCAAGGCTCTTGCTTACCGTGTGGTCCCAGGAAATCACTGCCGTGAAACACCATTCGACACATGCGCTGTTTCTTTCTCATTGCGCCTGTGTTCCTGGACCCCTGGCTCCAGTAAGGCTGGGACTCCAGGCCGCTCCACCTGTCGGGGCAGCTTAGCATATTTGGAGTGCCCGTCTCAGCTGGGAATCCCTGGACTGGACACTGTGCTTAGCGAGCCCATCTCAGCTAGGGCTCCCTGGACTGGACACTGTGCTTGGAGTGCCCGTCTCAGCTAGGGCTCCCTGGACTGGACACTGTGCTTGGTAAGCCCGTTTCAGCTAGGAGTCCCTGGACTGGACACTGTGCTTGGATTGCCCGTCTCAGCTAGGAGTCCCTGGACTGGACACTGTGCTTGGCATGCCTGTCTCAGCTAGGGCTCCCTGGACTGGACACTGTGCTTGGCATGCCCGTCTCAGCTAGGAGTCCCTGGACTGGACACTGTGCTTGGCGTGCCCGTCTCAGCTAGGAGTCCCTGGACTGGACACTGTGCTTGGAGTACCCGTCTCAGCTAGGAGTCCCTGGACTGGACACTATGCTTGGCATGCCTGTCTCAGCTGGGAATCCCTGGACTGGACACTGTGCTTGGAGTACCCGTCTCAGCTAGGAGTCCCTGGACTGGACACTGGTGCGTGGAGTGCTGCCATTTCTTCTCGTTCAGTTCCTGCCCCTTGGCCCTCCCGTGCTGCCCTTAGGCACAGGGTGAGCCCTTGACCATGTCCTGTAGGTTGGCTAGGCCATGTTCACCTTCTGTCTATCCCTAAGACTCCATAGTCACTGCTCCTTTCCTCTGCCCTCTCCAGTCTGCTGTGATTCTCTCTTAATTCTATTTGTCAACTCCAGGGTTTATATTCATGTATCTTTTAAAAATACATATGTACTTGTTTTTATTACAAAGGCAGATATACAGAGAGGAGGAGAGACAGAGGTAGAGAGACGCAGAGCACGCTGTCGGTGTCAGTAGCTCTGCTCTAAGCTAGGGCAGATCCTCAGGGCTTTCTTAGCCAGACAGAAAGAGCTGGTTAACTTCTCCAGGTTGCGTCATTTAGCTCTAAGCTGGGAAAACCCAGGCCACCTCCGAGTCCGCCTTGGCCTTTGTAGAGCCTCCAGGCCCCCCAGGAGCACGTGCAGCGTGCTCTGCACTTTCAGCCCTGGACATGCACGCTGTGCTGTCTCCCCAGCAGCGGCCCTCTGAGCCCTAACCCCTCCTCGACCGCGTGGGCCAGCCGCGTGCCCTTTGCCCTGAGTGGACATGAGCTGTGTATGCTGAATCTCCCAGCAGCCACTCAGCCCCCTGGTGGCGTGCCACGAGAGTGTGTGTGTGTGTGTGTGTGTGTGTGTGTGTGTGTGTCTTTATGCACTCTGCCTGCTCTCTGAGGAACCACTGCACAGGCCAGACCCATGGCCGCCTGAATGTGAGCGGCTGCCCGCTGGACCCCAGCGCTGTGTTGGGGACTAGAAGATGCCACAAACCCCCGCACCCTGTTTCTCATCCTCTGGCTGGCTTGGACAGGCTTGAGGTCAGGGTCCAGCGATCAGCGCCCCTAGAGCCATCTGGCTCTGCCTGCTGCCGTGGCCTCTGCGGAGGTTGGATTCATTGAGCAACCTAAGTCCTCATTTCCCACGTCATTCTAAGATGAGGTGTTCTTGTTAAGATTGTATGTGGGGCAGGCACTGTGGCACCACAGGTTAAGCCTCTGCCTGTGACACTGACTGGCATCCCTGGTGGTCATCGGTTCAAGTCCCAGCCGATCCATTTCTGATCTGACTTGCCTCTAAAGCGCCTGGACAAAACAGATGAGGATGACACAGCTGCTTGGGCTCTGCACCCACGTGGGAGACCCAGAGAAGGCTGCTGGCTCCTGGCTTCAGCCGGGCCCCGCCCCGGCCGCCCCAGCCGCCCCAGCCGCCCCAGCCGCCCCAGCCGCCCCGGCCTCTGCAGAGCAAGCCAGCAGGTGGTGGGTTTCCTCTGTGTCTCCTCCTTTGCCTTTCAAATAAATTTCTCAAATCTTTTTTTTTGAAAGAGTGTATGTATATTATGTCCTTCCCTGTCAGAAATCTCCATGAACTCAGGCAAAAGGCAAAGTTCTTTATAACGTGCTTGAAGAAACCCTCTGAGTTGGCCTTTCCGTCAACAGGACTTGGAAGTCAGCCGTGGCTGAAGGGGGCGGAGTTCTCCCAGAGATCTGGGCAGCTCTACGCTGCGGCGGCCGAGTTCGGGTCAAGGCTTTACAACTACCAGGTGAGCTTCGTGTAACGCCTCGTCACGCACTTGATGTTGACTGCGCCAGGGCGAGCGCCACATGCCGGCCTTGCGCTGTGCGAGACCGGCCGACAGAAAGGGGGAAACCCTGATGAAGAGGCCGCAGGCAGAGGAGGCTCCAGGTCTCGCCACAGCCGCTGGGCCCTGGGCTCCTCAGGCTCTTGCACGGTGAAAAATGGCCAGGGCGTCCTTGCACTTGACCTCTGCCTGGCGCCGTGCAGGGCAAGCCCGGAGGCTGGTGTTGGAATGCTGCCCTGGTTTCCCCTCAGCATCCCAGGCCGAGCCTTGTCCACTCTGGTGTGACCTCAGAAGGCCAAGGAGAAGGGCTTGGCAGAGCTGCCGGCCAGGTCACTGCCACTCCAGGGCAAGAAGGCGCACATGTCCTAGGTATGTGTCTGCTCAGTGTCTATAGGGATGCGTGAGTCAATGGATGGTTCGTATATGGGCGTCCCTCCGCTCCACGCGCACACACCCAGAGCCTTTCCTGCCGAGACCACGGGGCGAGGCTGCGCTGTGGCCTTTCTCTAGCTTCGCTGACCACAGTGTCCCTGGCTCTCACACGGACCAGTGGGAGCCAGTCGTGTGCCATGAGGCTTCTCCCTGAGCGCTCTGCAGACCCCAGCCGCGGGCAGCGGGTGCTGTGTGTGTGTTCATGCGCTCTTGTGACAGCATGTTACGGCTGAGCAACGTTCCAGTGAGCAACACGCTCATTTCTTGGCAGCTGAGTTGCTACCCAAGCTTGGATATTGTCAACTCAGTGTCCTCGCTTGTCTTCGACTCTTTAGGTAGGATGCCCTTGCCTTCTGCTCAAGGTGCAGCCAGGGTCTGACTTCACTTTTCCAAAAGCCGGAGAGGCAGCCGGGGTCACGCGCAGGGCAGGGCGATGCCAGCACACATCCTAGGAGGGATCTTCTGCACGCGAAGCACCTGTTGCACTTCATCCTCCAAATCCTTTACCCGGAGCAGTGCTAAACCCACAGAGAGAGGGGCAGGACGGGTGAGCCAGAGCGGTGTTAAATCCACGGAGAGAGGGGCAGGGGCTTGCAGCTGCCCAGCACGCCCTGGAGCGCTGAGACGGGGCCTGCTGAATGCCGAGCAGAAGTCTCGTGGTCGTGTCTGGCATGCACAGTCCAGGGACCACAGGACGCCCGCTGTGACGGGGACCTGGAAGCCCTGTGAATTCCAAGTGCTGGCTCCTGTGAAAAGTCGGCCGCTGCCTACACACCTGCTGAGCGGCATGCTGAGTGGTGACCCAGAGCGTCTAATGGTGCTCACTTGAAAGCAACATTATTTTCACTCAAGAAGTCTTGAGGGGTTTTATCAAGAAGCAAATGTCACGGCTGCAGGAGACTGGCAGGGTTGTGCCATGTTCTCTTCTGCCTCTGTGAGGCCGCGTGCTCACTGGGTGTGTCTGTGCCCGCTTCCTGCCTTGCCGCCTCCCCCCTGCCCCGTCCGTGGGAATCGGGCAGGGACGTGCCCATTGGAACACCACCCCCTCTTGCCAGTGAGAGTCTTCCGTTGTAAGCAGGTCCGTGGCAGGCCCGCCCTGCTCCCTGACTGTGTGAGCGAGGCTCAGACAGGTGTCTGTGGCTGCCAAGGGCCCGAGTGTGTGGGGAGGAAGGCAGGCTGCTGCGCTGGGTGGCGTCCACTGTGGCCTCTGTCTCTTTCAGGCCAAGCTTCGAATGCCCAAAGAGCACCTGGAGCTTCTGAAGTGAGTGGCGTTTCTGAGCCCCTTGTCCATGTGAAATCACGCCAGACGTTTGCCATAGCCATGCCAGCCAAAAGCGTGGTCTCCGGGTGTTTCCTCCTGCCCGCTCACTGCAGGTGGAGCTGTCTTAATGCAATGCACACGTGCCAGTGAGGGGTTCCTTCTGAACCCGTCAGACAGACGGCACCGCTGATGCCACTAAGCCCTGTTCCTCCTGCTGGCCTCCCTGCCCTCTTGGCTTCCGTCATTCTTGGCAGTGGACCTGGGCCACCTCTCCTGTGTCTGCTGAGTCCACCCTCAGCATGAACACGTGTCTGGGGGCAGGACGGCCACATTGCAGTGGCTTTGGGAAATCAGCTGCCCCTTTGCCGTGACCCCTGTGACTTGTTTCTTAAGGGTCCTGGGGTGGCCTGTCCCATCACTGATGAGCTCAGACACAGCCACAGGACAGCTACAGGGATGCCCTTCGGGTAGCCCTCGGGGGGCTATGACGTGTGGGGGGCAGGGGAGTGGGACTGACAGCCCCCCATCTCTTTTACAAGTGTTTGGGGGGCATGAAATAAAAACTGAAATGCATCAAAATGTCAGCATAAATTTTTTTTTGAAACATTTGTATTTTCCCCAGTTTAAAATTAGCATTATTTGTCCGTTTGGGAAAGAACGCTAGACAAATAGGGCTTACTTTTCTCAGCATAAGTAAATACCTCACACCCCACTGCCTGCAGTAATTTCCAAGCAATCAGATACAGAAGGCATCGCTGAAAGTAAACCCACACACACAGGCTGTAGGGCTGACACAGCCCCCCACTCTGGGCTGTACCCCCAGCCATGCCAGGTCCTGCTAGAGTGCGTCAGCCCAGATCTGGAAGCACAGATTGACAGTGAGCGGCCAGCAGAGCTGACAGAGGCCACTCCTGAGCACAGCCAGGAGCTGAGGCGTTCCCCAGGACATGACCTGAGCGCCCAGGTGGGACCCATTGCACCTGCTCTCCGTTCAACACCATGAAGCCCTCCTCATGCTGTCGGCACTGCCTCCCCTTCTCGCCCACAGGAAGGAAAGCCAGACCCTTGAGAGCAATTTTCGGGAAATCCTGTTTCTCATTGAGCAAATCGAGGCCCTCAAGATGCTGCTGAGGGACATGCAGGAGGGTGCGCACAACCTCAGCTGGAAGGTCACGGGGGACATGCTCACGGGGGACCAGGACGCAGCCGAGGCTCCAGACGAGGCAAGGCGGGAACATGGCCGGGCTGGTGGCTGCCAAGAGCTCCCTGCTGGTACAGAGCCTGCCCCTGCCCCGGGGGCCCTGGGAGCCCATGGCACGGACTCCCGGCCTCCTCCCCGACACTGCCTTTCCTGGGCTGCTTGATCTAGAGGCAGTTTGGACAAAGCCATCACACACCCTGTAAGTGTGGCATTTCTGCTCCCCAGCTGCTGCCTGGGCCGCCCCCATCCTTGACAGCAAGGACCCCAGCTTCCAGGTGTGGACCCTGCTCCTTCCCTTGGGCTCCTTTGGCACTGGAGCAGTCCACAGAACCCGATACTGGATACTCTTGCGTTGGTCAATGTGAGCTGTCTCAGTTCCCAGACAATGCCTTATGTCCACTCTTGCTGCCCTGCTCAGGGTGCTCAAGGGAGAGTGACAACAGCGCCCCCTCCCGGCCCACTATGAGAGTGCAGGAGTGCAGCTGTCCACCTTGCTATGGAACCTTGTGGGTTCGCTGAGCACATCCCAGGATTGTAGGACAGCCCCACAGAGGGGACTGCTGCCTCACTCCGACCCTGTGCGCAGTGCCTGGGCTCTGAGGTGGGTGGCAGTGTCCCCTTGCAGACTGGGCATCTCAGATCCATGGGAACTAAGCGAAGCACAGAAATGCAAGCAGTTGGCAGAGATGAACAAAACATGCCTTTTTCCAACTTGTCCAGGAAATGTCCAACTTGGTGAATTACGTGCTGAAGAAGCTGAGAGAAGACCAGGTGCAGATGGCAGATTACGCCCTCAAGTCAGCCGGTGAGTGTAGGGAACGGGGACTGTCACGTGGAGAGCTTGCCTACAGAGCACACTCATGTGCAATGCCTCCTGAGCGTTTCTAAAGAGAAGATCCGCTCGTTATTGTAATTAGTATCATTTATTAGAGAAACATACTTGTGCGTCTGGTCCCTTGAAGGGGGGAGCCCAGAAAGCCCAGATAATAAAGGAGAGATTAGAAGCCAGCTGCTGAGAGCAGGTGGAGGGACCAAGGATGCTCCGGAGGCCAGAGCTGGGGAAGGGATGCAGCACTGCAGTGTGCAGCCACTCCTGCTCTGCCGCTTAGCTGCTCTGTGGGAAGTCCCCGCTGGCCGCGTGTAGCAGCGAGGGCTCCAAGAGCTGTTCAAGATCTGCGCTGTGGGCTCCAGTCCTGCGCCAACCCCCCTCGGGCTCGAGGGAGCTGAGGTTGGACCCACAGTGGCAAACGTGGGTGAGATCGGTGCTGGGAAAATGTCTAGGCTGAGCATGTGCAGCACTAGAAGCACCCCTGTGGAGGGCAGGCCGGAGACCCACTCCCGTCTGCCTTGCTGACCGTGCCGGTGCTGGACAGCAAGACCGGGGGAAATGAGACATGCCCAAGGGAGCAGAAAATCAACACGTTCACACACGTGGTCGATGGTTTCGGTGTGTCTTGGTCGTTGTGTGGGACGTAGTGTTCTGCACTGACCGGACAGGAATCCGGCCAAACGTAACTGCAGTGCACACGCATGTCTCCTTTGGCGCCGCAGTGCGCACGCATGTCCCCTTTGGCGCCGCAGTGCGCACGCATGTCCCCTTTGGCGCCGCAGTGCGCACGCATGTCCCCTTTGGCGCCGCAGTGCGCACGCATGTCTCCTTTGGCGTCGCCCAGAAGGAAGCACCTGTACTCAGGAACGCAGACACAACACGGCATGAGCGGAGTCGTCCTACTGAGAGCGGAGCAAGTGCTGCGCGCTGCGTGTATTTCTTACGTGTCAGACCCTGCTTGGGCAGCACAAACCTCGCACCACCAAGGTTTGCTCGGTGCGCTTGGCTGCTTCGGTGAAGATGTGTGTAACTGATGGGTGTGACTCCAAGGACGGCCGGTACCCGATGCTGCCACTTGTTTTAAAGTGAGTGGCAATGACAGGTGTCTGCTTCGTCACGTGAGCTGCTAAGATATAAACAGTTTAGAGAGAGAGAGGAGGGAAGTCCTGGCTGTCCCTTTAGATAACACACCAGACCCACCTGTTATTTCCGTTTCTAATTCAAAGTGCTTCCGAAGTCAGCATTTCCTCATGGAATCGGCCTCAGACAAGCCCCGATGTGGCAGGGGCACTGCAGTGTGGGCGCTGCAGTGTGGGTGCTCCAGTGTGGGCGCCGCAGTGTGGGTGCTGCAGTGTGGACGCTGCAGTGTGGGTGCCGCAGTGTGGGCGCCGCAGTGTGGGCGCTCCAGTGTGGGTGCTCCAGTGTGGGCGCCGCAGTGTGGGTGCTCCAGTGTGGGCGCCGCAGTGTGGGTGCTGCAGTGTGGGCGCCCCAGTGTGGCTTTCCTCACTGGGAAGACTTCGCGAGCCGCCGTCTGCTCTGCTGTCCAGCTTTCAGCTCACTTGGACCTTGCCAACGACATTTCCAATGCCTGTGACCTGGCCGTGTGTGTGATTTCCCGTCTCCCACTCAGGAGCCTCCATCGTTGAGTCGGGAACCTCAGAAAGCTACAGAAACGACAAAGCCAAGCTGTACTGGCACGGAATAGGGTTCCTCAACTATGAAATGCCTCCGGACACCATTCTTCAGGTAGCAGCTAAGTTCAACTTCACCACCTCATTCCTATTCTTTTTTTTTTTTTATGTTTATTGGAAAGTCAGATTATACAGAGAGGAATAGAAACAGAGAGGAAAATCTTCCATCTGATGATTCACTCCCCAAGCGGCCTCAATGGCTGGAGCCAAACCAAAGCCAGGAGCCCCTTCTGGGTCTCCCACATGGGTGCAGGGTCCCAGGGCCTTGGGCCGTCCTCGACTGCTTTCCCAGGCCACAGGCAGGGAGCTGGGTGGGAATGGAGCTGCTAGGATTAGGACTGGAACCCATATGGGATCCCCATGTGTGCAAGGAGAGGACTTTAGCCACTAGGCTCCTGCACCAGGCCCATTCTTGTTCTTTGTCATAATGATTTAAGGAAAGTGGAGGCAATGAGTCTCCCAACTCATTACCCATCTTGAAGTCGTGTCTTCGCTTTTCTTCAGTCACACCTGTGTGATTTCATATTTGTACACTACTACCACCATTATCACCGCCTCTACCACCATCACCCCCCCACTACCATCACCCCCTCTACCACCGTCACCCCCTCCACCACCAGCACCCCCCACTACCACCCTCTCCACCACCATCACCCCCTCCACCACCATCCCTTCCAACACCACCACCGTCACCTTCCCACCCCCTCCACCACCGTCACCTTCCCACCCCTCCACCACCATCAGCCCCTCCACCATCACCCCAGTCATCACTACCGTCATCATTGCCATGACTGTTACTCGCACCATTTCCTCCAGCACCATCACTACCATCACCTCCCTGTCACCATTGCTGCTGTCACCCCCCCACAATGGTCACCCCACCATCCTGACCACCAGGACCATCATGGTCTTCACCATGGCTGCCTAGTGGTCGCTCACAGCCTAGTGGGAGCAGCCCAGGCAACACAGGTGGTGAAGCCCACTGACCGACAGGTGTCCTGCATGATGCCTCCACGTTACAGGCGGTCAGTGGCGAGTCTCTCCCCAGTGTTGTTGAGCTGCTTAGCCAGCGTGGAGCTTAACTCCGTGTTTCCTTTGCAGCCAGACGTCCACCCTGGGAAGTGCTGGGCCTTCCCCGGCTCCCAGGGTCACACCGTCATCAGGCTGGCCAGGAGAATCACGCCGTCTGCTGTCACCATTGAGCACATTTCAGAGAAGGTCTCTCCCTCGGGAAACACCTCCAGCGCCCCCAAGGACTTCTCTGTCTATGTGAGCTGCTGCCTCAATGCCTTGTCCTGAGGGGGTTGGGGCGCAGGTGTTGCCTCGTCCTCAATGTGCAGCCCGCCACTGTGCCACCTGCCCGCTGTGCCACCTGCCTGCTGCCTGTGCTGTCTCGGCTGTCAGCTGGAGCTTTGCACCAGAGGAGTTCTATCAGCTGCTAATTTCTTTTTTTTTTCTTTTTTTTTACCGCTACCAACGTTGTACACACACAGTTTACGTGTGAGCCGAGGCCATGGCGTTTGCTCCACGTGTGTCTTCTCCGGCCACCCGTCCCACGTGCGTTTCTCTGCATGCTTGTCCTCCTGCTCACGGTCACTGTGTCTTAGTGTTTCAGTGTTGGTGACTCCTGCTGACACCGGCCATGGCTCCAACCCTCTCAGCATCTCTATGTCAGACTCATGGATTCCACTTCAGCCACTGGAAGTGGAAGGCTTAGCTGTTCCTGGGTGTGTGTCCGCTAGCCAGTCAGTTTCAGGACATGGTATTACTCCCGGAGTGAGTCCATGTCCCCTAGCTGTCCGCTCTGCTTTCCCAGAACCCAGGCAGCTGCTCAGCTTTGTCTCCAGACGCTGGCTTCGCAGGAGTGGAGCCGAGGGAGCACTAGGTGAACGAATGGCTTCTTTCACGTCTGTGTGATCTTCTCGAGCTCGCCCACGTGGTAGATGACGTCCTTTCTTCCCCGGCTTCTCAGCCTTTGGATCCACTGGAGGCGTGCATCCACTCCGCTGTCGACCGGCACCTGAGCAGTTCTACGTTCTGGCTGTGGAGTGATGCTGAGTGAACACCTTGGGCCTCCCCTAGGTGGTACTCAGGCTGGAACTGCTGGGCCACAGGGTGAATCTGCGTGCAGTGTGTGAGGCCCTGCCAGGCTGTGTGTCTTACCTTGTCTTAATTGGTACTCGGTTGTTCTCAGTTGAACCATGCGTCTGAATGCCATTCTTTCCTGCATGATTTCTGGGGGGATGCTTCTGAACACAATGGCCATTTTTTGTTCTGTTTTGTTTAAATTGACTTGGCTTAGTTTGCCGTAGGCCTGTCCCTAACGCGTCCCTGAACTCCTCTTCAGAAGAGCGACTGTCCGTCGTGTGAACGCGTCGGGTAACCCACTATTTCCTCCTCCCCGTTGCAGACACTGCTTCTGGAACTTTTTCCCATCTGGCAGTTGCCTGATAGTCTTCATGTAGGACTGCTATTACGAGATTTAATTTCTGCTTCTTATGCTTTATTATTATTCTTTAAAAATTGTTATTCGCGTTTTTCTTGTCTGGTTTTGTGTTTTGTTTCACCTTCCGGAGCATTTTGTTACCTTCCATGTGCACCCCGTGTTGGTTTTCTGTTCTGCTGTCACAGTTACTTGTGCCCAGGCTTTTTGCTTCTGCAGACTCCCCCTTCTAGTGCCCCCCCTTTTGCTGCTCTTCAGGGTCACAGCATCTCCCCTCACTCTCCTGGGGATCCTGGAGCGGACCGTGCCTGTGCTCACCGCTCGTCAGCCCCCCGCCATGTCTTGATTTCTGAAGCACTTTCCCCTTTCCGCGGTCGCTGTCTCCCCTCAGGTCCGTGGTGCATCTGTGTCACGTGAGTTGCTCAACATGACGGGGCCCCAGGCTGTGGACCTCTTGGGTGGGGTGCTCAGCGCCCATTGCTTCTGGAGCCCCAAGAGCTGGGGAGCAGGAAGGTGACCCCGAGGAACCCTGCAGTCTTGGTGTGGGAGGCATTGGCTCACTCACACACCCCAAGGAGCTACTGGGTGGAAGAGGCTGGCGGGGCTGGCGGGGCCACCAGCCGGTACACAGCCAGGACACAGCGTGGGCTCAGCCCTCTAGGTCTGGCTCATTCTCTGTGTCACAGTTGGGAATTACGGCACGAGGAGATGCTACTGACTGGGCCTGGGGACAGCAATGACCTGCTGTGGTCTGGGGACGGAAGAGCCTTTGACACGAATGTCAGCCAAGCCTCAGGCCTGGCCTCTTCTGCCCTCCCTGCCCCGGCTGCGCAGACCGCCTGGGAGCCTGCACGCTGTGTCTGTGCAGCCGGCTCCAGAGCCAGCCAGAGTGTCGCTGCCCCCAGGTCTCCTTGGCTTGGTGTCTACTCCCATTTCCCCAGTGGGTTTATGCCTTCCTTCCATCCTGTGCGAGGGCTCTGTGTGGCGCGGTCTGCCTGTGTGTCCTCTGAATGCCTCCACACCCCCTGATGCGCAGGCCACAGCATGGAGGACAGGGGACAGCCTTCCTCTGGAGCCAACCTGCACGCGCAGCAGCGTCTGAAAACTGGAGTGAGGCTGAATGTGTGTGGCTGGCCATTAGAGGAATCCCAGTGATGCCCTGGGGTGGAATCCTTGGCTGCTGCAGACTGCTAGCCTGTCTCTGGTCGGCCAGGGCAGGAATGTGTAAAATTGAAACACTCTAACCCTGAGGGAGGAGGCGGGAGCAAAGCCAGCACCCCTCCCTAACAGCCAGGGGCACAGGAGGCTTGAGCCCTGCTGAGAGAGAGCTTTTGAGTACATTACATAATCATGATGTAGCTGTTACTTTTAATACAAATTATGCTTTGGTTTATGTTAACATCTCCACGACAAAGTTACTGAGTGCATCATTTTGCCACCAGCGTGGGTTCCTGGCAGTCTTCAGTCTGCGGCGTGGCAGGCAGAATCCGCAGGGTCAGTTGTGCAAGGGGGCTCATCAAGAGCTCCTTTTCTGGGGTGTCTGCATGACACAGGTGTGCAACTGGATGAAGGTTGCGTACTTTTGGAAGAGTTCACGTTAGCATGACGGGATAGCAAATCCAGTTCTCAGGGCCAAGGTACTGCTGGGATTTCTCTGTCTGTCTGTCTCTCTCCCTCCTTCTCTCTCTCTCCCTCCTTCTCTCTCTCTCCCTCCTCCGTCCCTCCCTCCCGCCCTCCCTCCCTCCCCCTCTCTCCACTCTCCCTGTAATCTATCTTTGTCTACTGAGTCATGTACCTCACCCGCCTAGCGTTCCATCTGTCTTCTCCATAAGCCCCCTCGGTTTCCTCTGTTTATCTTCCATTAATGTGTCTCATCCTTCATCTATCCATCCATCATCTTCCATGTGTCTGCCCTGTCTCCCCTTCCGTAGGTTAAACGGCCCTCTGGTGGACAGGCTGGCACTGGCACTAGCCCGGCACCCTGTCCCTGGTGGACACCCGAAGACGACCAGTGAACTGGGGCGACGGCCACACAGCCGCCTCCGTTTCTTTGCAGCCAAGGTCCGCCCGCCACAAGCCCTTTTCCGGTGCTTTCTTTATAGGGCATCCTGAGAAAGTGCGAAGGGGAAGCAGTGCTCCTGGGCCGGTTCAGGTACAACAAGTCGGACAGCACCGTGCAGACGTTTGCACTGCAGGTGACGCTCGGGGGGAGCGGGCTGCAGGGGAGGTGCAGGGGAGGCGCAGGGGAGGTGCTGCAGGGGAGGCGCAGGGGAGGTGCTGCAGGGGAGGCGCAGGGGAGGTGCAGGGGAGGTGCAGGGGAGGCTCTGCAGGGGAGGTGCTGCAGGGGAGGTGCAGGGGAGGTGCAGGGGAGGCTCTGCAGGGGAGGTGCTGCAGGGGAGGTGCTGCAGGGGAGGTGCAGGGGAGGCTCTGCAGGGGAGGTGCAGGGGAGGTGCAGGGGAGGCTCTACAGGGGAGGTGCTGCAGGGGAGGTGCTGCAGGGGAGGCTCTGCAGGGGAGGTGCAGGGGAGGTGCTGCAGGGGAGGCTCTGCAGGGGAGGTGCAGGGGAGGCTCTGCAGGGGAGGTGCAGGGGAGGTGCTGCAGGGGAGGCTCTGCAGGGGAGGTGCAGGGGAGGCTCTGCAGGGGAGGTGCAGGGGAGGTGCTGCAGGGGAGGTGCAGGGGAGGCTCTGCAGGGGAGACTCTGCAGGGGAGGTGCTGCAGGGGAGGTGCTGCAGGGGAGGTGCAGGGGAGGCTCTGCAGGGGAGGCTCTGCAGGGGAGGTGCTGCAGGGGAGGTGCTGAGGCGGAAGCAACGCAGGGCTCCAGGGCTACCACGAACCTTTTCTAGTCCGGCCCTCCCTCCTCTGCTGTTCCTCCTTGGCTCCCTAGACGCTGAGTTTCCAGCCGCTGTCTCACCTTTCTTGGGTCAAGGGCAAGGAGGTGATGGCACGCGTGAAGTGAGTGGGTTACTTGGTAGCAGATAGCACAGTCAAATTTCTAAACTCCTGAAACTCACTGAGGTCTATGAGACATGTTTTCATGATTGCTCATTAGTCAGCAGAAATAACTGAAAATGGGTGCCAGGCGCATGAAATAAAACAAGTGTGTGTGACATTTCTTGGTCAGTCCTGAGGAAATCTTGCAGAAACAACACACACTTGGCCTTCCGTGCCCAGAGCTTCTGCGTCTGGATTCAGACAACCATTGATCAAAAACCGATTTTTAAAAAATGCATCTGTGGGGCCTGGTGTTGTGGTACAACAGGTTAAGTGGCCACCTGTAGTGCCAGTATCCTGCATGGGCACTGGTTCGAGTCTCGGCTGCTCCATTTCCAATCCAGCTCCCTGCTACTGCACGAGAAAGCGGCAGAAGATGCCCACATGCCTGGACCTCTGCCGCCCATGGAGAGACCCCGCCGGAGTTCCTGGGTCCTGGCTTCAGTCTAGCCCATCCCTGGCTGCTGCAGGCATTTGGGGAGTGAGCCAACAGATGCAAGATCTCTCTCTGTCTCTCTCTAGCTCTGCCTTTCAAATACTTTTTTTTAAAGCATCTGTGTGGAACTTGTGCAGACTTTTCTTGCCATTCTTCCCCAAACAAGACTGTAACCAGTACTTGGCAGACCCAGGGGCCCAGATGTTCTGATCAGCTAGACAAGCACCACCCCGTTTTCTATGAAGCACCTAGACAGCCCTGGATGGGCTCCACAGGGCTCCTGGAGAGAACCCCTGCAGGTGCCGAGTGACACCTGTTGGAGCGCCTCTGCTAGCTTCTGTATTCGCTGTGCAGATCTGGTTCCCATGCACGTCCAGCCCTCTGTCAGCCTCCTGGGGAGACGCAGTGGCAGGAGGGCCTAGACGCTCTAGACCCACCGTGACTTCCTGCCCACGTGCTGGACATTTCCTTGTCCATCGGATCAGCCTTTGGAAGCACCTGTGTGAGGAAGGCAGGAAAGGGCTCCAGCTCTGTGCGGCGGCTGTGTTCGTTGGGGTTCTTGGGGAGGAGTTTCCTGATAAGGCGCTCAGCTCTTCCGGTCCTCGTTTTCCAGCGCCAAGTTCCTGAATCCATATCATGTGTGAAACTCAAGATCCTGAGCAACTGGGGACACCGGCAGTACACGTGTCTGTACCGATTCAGGGTCCACGGCAAGCCCAGCGAGCACAGCTAGACGCGCTGCCGAGGGCACGACATGGACAGAATGCCAGGGGCGCCCACTTCCCGCCGCACGGCGGGTACGTTTTCTACTAATAAACACGTGAAAGAACGTCCGGTGTCCTGTGAGTCTGGCAGCGGGTGGAGTGGCTCTGCGGCTGGCAGTGGGCGTGCCCTCCCCTCGGCCCCACCAGGCGCTGCCCTCCCGGCCACCGCCGGCGCGTCACGGCACTGAGCATTTTCAAAAGTCCAAGTGAGTGAAGGGGCCTGCGCCCATGGGAGTTGCAAAACAGAAAGTTGGTGAGTCCCTTCCAGTTAAGTGTACTTGACAAGTCACCGCAGACTAGGGAAAGCAGCAAGTTCATGGGTACGGAGTCATCCCTCGCAAAACCAGAACCACAAGGCCAGACACAGCAAGCCAGAGGGCAAAACCTACAAAATCACAACCAAGACTAGAAAACCAGGAAAAGAGGTGTCATGTGCCAAGGTAAGAGCCCAGCAGCAGTGGGTGGCCGAGGGGGAAGCCAAGCCACATCCGTCCTTGGGTGGCAGAACTTGGCGTGACACTGATGATGGCACAGGTGAGGAAGGCCCCCTTGGCAGCCAGGGACCAGAGCCAAGAGCTAGGAGCCAGGAGCCTCTTCTGGGTCTCCCATGTGGGTGCAGGGTTCCAAGGCCTTGGGCCGTCCTCAACTGCTTTCCCAGGCCACGCTCCCGGACCACGCTCCCGGGACACGGGTTGCCAGATCCAGGTAAGAGAATTGCAAGAGGACCTGAGGTTCAAGAAAAAAACCTTCACAGCTTCATGTTTACGCTTTGTCAGCACAGGTCGCGTGTACTTGACAGGTTCACGGAATTATGCTACAGTTTGTGGCATGAGGTTGAGGGACTCACTGAAAAGATCAACAGAATAGAATAGATTTTCAATAGAATAGATTTTCAAGAGACACTGTATTGGTGGTGATCTATATAACAACAAACTCTTTTTTATAAGTGATGCTCAGTATTTCAAAATTTACGAAGTAATTTTAGAAGCAAATTTTGTTGACTTAAACTTGGAAGAGCTACATGGTGACTGGCCTGGCGAGGAAGAGCCACTTCAGATGCTAAGGCAACGCTCTCCGACCGGGGGCGTGGCCAAGGTTCCGCTCTGGGCGTGGCCAGAGGTCGCCACGCCCACAGGTGGCCACACCCCGCGGGGCCGGGTCAGGTGACCGCGAAGCGGTTGGCAGGAGCCGGGCGGAAGCCTCCGGCCCAGGCACGGTTCCCGCCGTGCGGCTGCGCGCTGGCCTGTGTCCTCACCCACCGGCGGCCCGCGGCCCGAGCGACCGCGCCGGCATGAGGTTCCGCGCCAAGATCGTGGACGCGGCCTGTCTGAACCACTTCACCCGTGAGCGCGGCTGCCGGGGAGGGCGGCGGAGGGCGGGCCGCGTGCGGGGCGGGGAGGCCTCCGGGGCCGTTTCTGGAACGTGACTGGGGTCTCCTGCGGGGACCTGGGGTCTGCGCCGGCGAGCTGGAGCGGGCCGCTCCGGGCGCCCTGCAACTGAGTATCCGCGTCACTTCCCGCGCTGCAGGCGTCTGCAACATGGTAGCCAAGCTGGCCAAGGCGTGCACCCTGCGCGTCAGCCCCGACAAGCTCAACTTCATCGTCTCGGACAAGCTGGCGGGCGGCGGCGTGAGCCTGTGGTGCGAGCTGGAGCAGGTGAGCGGGCCCGCGCGCCCCCAGACCTACAGGGTGGTCCCCAGACCTGCGGGGTGGTCCCCAGACCTGCAGGGGGTGGTCCCCAGACCTGCAGGGTGGTCCCCAGACCTGCTAGGTGCCCCCAGACCTGCTAGGTGCCCCCAGACCTGCAGGGTGGTCCCCAGACTTGCAGGGTGCCCCCAGACCTGCAGGGTGGTCCCCAGACCTGCAGGGTGGTCCCCAGACCCGCTGGGTGCTCCCAGACCTGCTGGGCACCCCCACATGCCGCTGTGCACTGCCAGGCATCCTCAGACCCGCTGGGTGCTCCCAGACCTGCAGGGTGGTCCCCAGACCCGCTGGGCGCCCCCAGATCTGCTCCAGCACTGCTAGGGACCCTCACACCCTTCTCCCCTCTGCAGGAAAACTTCTTCAGTGAGTTTCAAATGGAGGGCCCCTCAGCGGAGAACAATGAAATCTACTTGGAGCTGGTCACGGAGAACCTGGCCCGGGCCTTGAGGACAGCCCAGAACGCCAGGGCCTTGAAAATCAAGCTGACGCACAAGCGTTTCCCAGGCCTCACGGTGTCGGTGGAGCTGGTGAGTGTGGTGTGTTAGCTCCGACCTTCTTAGAACATTCTGTGCGCACAGTGGCATCGTGGTCCGCCTTGTGCAAGTTTAAAACTTCCTCCTCGTCCGACAGTGGAGCTTTCGGGCCGAGGTTTGGTCAGGGTGAGGCCGTTGCTGGGAGGGCTGCCCCCGTGTGCTATGCTCACACTCACTGCAAGCTCACTGTCACCAGGAAATTTTCGACTGAGTCTCATGCTGCTGGCTTCCGCTCGGCGCAGCCCTGGCCCTGCCAGCGCTGGAGAGGCCAGTGCTGTGGAAAACCTCTCTGTTGCTCTTTCAAATGAGCCGATAGGAATTTACTTAGAAATCACAATTTTGATGCATTGTCCCCGCCTGCTGTCTCGCCTGTTGCCGCCAGGTGCGCTGGGGCCCCTCACAGCCCCTCTGGCTCCCAGGCCTCGGGAGACGCAGCATGTGTGTGCACACGCGCCCTTCAGAGCCAGCTCCGACACTGCAGCGCCCAAGTGTTCCCTGCTCTCAGCCCTGGGGCTTCCACACAGAAGCTCCTCTCTATGAACTTGTGCAGCCCTCGGCGTGGCCCCGCAGCCCTGCAGCTCCCCACACGGACAGTGCCACCCCCGGATTCCTCCTGTTCTTGTGTCCGTTTCTCCCCTGTCTGCAATGTGCAAGCTCGTGGGCTCTGCACCCACAGAAGCCCCCAGAGCTGCATCCGGGTGGTTTATGCTTGAGTGGAGGACGGACTGTAGCGCGCTGGGTGCCTGTTCTGTTGCCTCCACGCAGCAGGTGGCACGTTTGTGTCTCCCTGTCCCGGCTTCACTGTGCAGCCTCCTGAGGGCCAGGCCCGCCGCCCTGTCCTCCCAGGCTGCCGCCTCTGTGGAGCACACTCCCAGGCCGAGCAAGCCCCCAGCTGCCTGGCTCAGGCTCTCCCCAGGGCTTTTCTGGGGCCCCTGTGTAAAGTCCACCTGCTCTGGAGCGTCAGGCCCTGCTGACCTGCGGCACAACAGGTGTGGTCTCGGTGTTGGCAGGACGAGTGTTGAGTGACTGAGTCGTCCGCATTGTTAGTTGAGATACTTCAGCTTTTTAGTGCAAACCGCAGGCATGGTTCATGGACTGTTGTCTTGCCAGTTGTCTGCGTCAAGCAGCAGTCGCATCGTGACACATGACATCCCCATCAAGGTGATTCCCAGGAGGCTGTGGAAGGACCTGCAGGAGCCCTCCGTCCCGGACTCTGACGTGAGTGACCGCAGCCTTGTCACTCGGGGTGGCCGAGGGGTGGGCCTGCATCCTGTGACTGAGCGAGCTCAGTGCACGCAGGTGGATTCTGGAAGTTGTGTTGTGCCTGAGAAGAAAGTGGCATTCATTTTGAAGGCTAGTCAAGGAAAAGTTGGCCTTTGCCTTTTCTTGTTGAAAACACAACTGCATCTAACGGAAGTGCGGCTGTCACTGGCCTTGGGCACCACTTGGATTCTGGGTGTCCCAGGACCTGGTCGCTTGGCTCTGAAGCAGCCAGGAGGCCAGGCATGGCTGTGACCGAGAGCCCATAGCCAGGGACCCCGGAGCCACGGAGAAGGAGGAGGACCCCGGAGGGCCTGGGCTGCTCCTAGTTCATTGAGGAGTGGTGCAGTGATGTCCTGGGCGAAGTGCTTGTGGGCTTCTACCTGAAGACTGCCTGGTGTGACACAGTCCGCATTTTCTGAAGCACGGTGGTAACCCAGCCCGAAGGAGGCAAGGTGCCTGCTCCCTGGAGTCATGCTGGCCCTGGGTGCTGCAGGTGAGCACTCCCAGAGTGGCCTGTGTGGAGTGCGCTGTGCCTGCTGAGACCACCAGGAAGCCCCCGGATGCTGAGGGCACAGCAGGTGTGCCTGGCTGGATTCTGTTGGGCACCTGTGAACTGGCAGAATTACAGAGCTGGGCTTTGCCTCGATGTAGAACTGTGTTCCTGCCATTGCAGAGCAGGGTCCGGCATTTCTGAGCGTGCATCGCTCCAGCTCGGCCGGAGCGCGTGTGTTACTGGTAACACCATGCCCCTCACTGCTCGTGCAGGTCAGCATTTACTTACCCGTCCTGAAGACCATGCGCAGCGTGGTGGAAAAGATGAGAAACATCAGCAACCACCTGGTGAGTGACAGCTCTCGGCAAAACTGCCATGATTTGCGGCAGTGCGGGGCAGCTGGGACACCTGCTGGTCTTGGGGTGGGTTCCCCCAGCTCCCCGGGCTCTCCAGGCGGGGCTGAGTGTGTGGAGCAGGGGGAGGAGCTGAAGTGAGGTGCCTGGTACAGGTTACCTCCATGCACAGTGGCTCTGTCTGTCAGGAGGCAGTCCAGGAAGGAAGTGGACCTAACCCTGACCTTCAGGAATCAGAAGGGCTGGACCTGCAGTCTAACCACCTGAGTCCTTGCCGGTGTCTGCTGACACTGCCTTGAACCAGGCGTGGGGCGGGAGCAGGGGACTTGGGGCCTTCCTGTCCCTGAACCTCAGAATGGCCCCACACCACCTACAGGACTGCACCCTGGGCCTCCGCCTGTGCCTGGGCTCCTTGCTCTCGAACCTGGCTGCCACTTCCCCACCAGTGTCTCCTGGCTTTCCACAAACTGAGGCCATGGGGTTTCCCTTTTCCTTGCTGTTATAAGCTATGTCAAATACATGCATTGCAGGTCATTGAAGCAAACCTCAGTGGAGAACTCAACTTGAAGATCGAAACTGAGGTGGTGTGTGTCACAACTCACTTCAAGGACCTCGGGAATCCCCCAGGGGGTAAGGCTGCTGGACCACCGGCGTCCGCTCATGGCGTCCCAGGCTTGAGGCTGGCATTCTGCTGCCATCTCCTGCTCGGGGATAGAACAGAGGGGTCAGGAGCTCTGCCCCTGGCCGGAAGCCCGGGGCCGGCAGGGGCTCCTTGCTCCCCTGCAGGGTGCGAGTGGGCTGCTGACTGCCCGAGCCTTCGCTCCCGCGCTCTGGGAAGCTCCGCTCCGGCAGGCGGGATCAGGTCTTCCTTGCCTCCTTCAGTCACTGCCGTACTTAGGCAGAGCAACCGATGCGAGGGTCGTCATCTCACGTGAGGTCATGAGGGTCATGGCTTCAGAGCACAGGGCGGTGGAGCAGTGGGGAGAGCAGAGCCTGGTCAGGACAGGGGAGGTTGGGGGCTGGGAGGTTCAGGGGCTGCTCGCCTGCGGGGGGACAGGACCAGGTCACGGTACCTGCTGCTGCTGGAGAAGGGATTTGGTGAGGTGCTCGTGATCCACAGCAGGCCAGGGATGCCCCTTCGGGTTCAGCTGCTGCAGTGCTCCTGAACACAGACCCAGGCGACAGGGAGGCACAGAGTGGTGCCACAGCCAAGGGCGTGCTTCCCACGAGTGAGAGCGGGTGGCTTCCAGTCTGTGCCCGAGGACTGCTCTGGTGCCAGTCACTTGGTGATGTCAACATGCAGAGTGGGATGTCCGTTTGCTGTGTTCTGTTGGAGGAGACTATTCATGGACTGCGAGTCCGTGCGTGAGCGATGCACTTCTCGGCTCCCGATGCACAGTGAGACCCTGGGAGGCCGTTTCTCCCACCGGAGGGGCGGTGGAGTCGTGACTGGTGACAGCGGCTGTGGTTGTTCCCTGGGAGGCTCACGCTGCCTCCAATGCAAGTGCCTCCTGTGCTTTTCAGTATCGGTGTTGGGCTCAGCAGTGTGATGCAGCATGTTAAGGGCCCAGGCTGCGCCCTCTTGCAGAATAGCATCTCATATGGAAGTAGCAGTTCAGGTCCCAGAGCCTCCACTTCTAGTCCAGCCCCCTGCTAAAGCAACTGGGGAGCTGTGGGTGATGGCCCCAGGACCTGGGACTCTTCTAGCCATGTGGGCGACCAGGGTGGAGCTGCTGGCCCCGGCACGGCTTTTGCAGCCAGTTCAAGAGTGAGCAGGCAATGAAGACCTTTCTCTGTTTCTGTCTCTGTGTCTTTGACTTTCAGATAAACATTTAAAAAAATTAGAGTATTGATGTCATTTTAGCCTCTCAAGACAGAAGCCTGGAGGAAATGGCTGAGGTGCACATAGACATCAAGAAGCTTCTGCAGCTGCTTGCCGGGCAGCAGGTGAACCCCACGAAGGCCTTGTGCAGTGAGTGTCCCCTGGCGTTGTGTTTGCCTTGTGCCTTCGTCCCCGGGCTCCAGCAGACTGTGGCAGCCTGGGGATTCCCTGGTGGGCTGTGGCTCTTGCTCTAGCTGCCTGAATTGTGGTCCCTGGATTCAGGAGGGCCTGGTGCTGGCCCCAGGTGAGTGCCCTGGCTCACAGCAGACTCAGAGAAGCCCGAGGCCTACTGCCTGGCAGGTGGACCGTGGGCATTTCTCGTGGCCGTCCCCCAGGGGTGTGCCTGAAGACGGGGGGTCGGGGGGGCGCTCTGCACTCAGCCCTTTCTGGCGGCTGGATTCCGAGCCCCGTGCGTGGTTCTGCTGTAGCTGCAGCTCCCACTCTGCCGTCTGCCCTCCTCTGCTGACCTGTGCTCGCTGCCCATCTCCTGCCCAGCTGCTGATCGTTCATGGTCCTCCCGCTTCTGCTTGGTCCCATCTCTGAGATACGCACCTGCCAGTCTTCCTCTTGCTGTCCTTCCCGGGGCACAGTGAACAGGGCAGCTGCACCAACGCTTTCTTCTCAGGCTTTTCCTGCCTCTGCTACCAGCGTGGCCGTGAGCCACAGGAAACTGAGGTGTGGGTGGGGGAATGGCTGTCAGGTCCTGGTGCACAGCGCTGAGGAGGGAGGCCCAGGCTGCGCCTCCCAGTCTTCGTGTCAGGAGTGCACAGAGGGAAGGGGCCACCCAGCCCTTCTCAGTCAGTGCCCCAAGAGAAATGGGAGGGAGCATGGGGCAGTGGCGGCGTGTTGGGGTGTTGGGAAGGGCGATAGCACGGGGTGTATGGGAGGATGACAGCTTTCTCCTGGCATGCCTGCGGGTCCTGTGTGTCTGGGATGATCGGCCGTCCACAGTGGTGTGCACCAGTGTAGCAGTGAGTGGACGCCAGCCAAACGTGATGGCTGAACCTGCGCCCTGTCCCTCTGCCCCAAGGCCATGCTGCTGCTTCTACCCTGCCTCAGCCCAGTGCCCTCCCTGGACATGTCACTGCACCCTAGGTTCCCCCCATCTCCTCCGTGTTCCTCCGTTACGCCTTCTGCTTGTCTGGCTTGACCCTGTACCGCCTGGAGTGCTGGCTGTGCAGCTGCTTGCCCTGTGGCTCGTCACTTAGGTCCCATGAAGGCTCCACCCGCCTGGCCAGCTGTGCTCTCCCGCTGCTGCACTGCCCGTGGTCACCTGGCAGCTCCTGCTGCTCTCTGTACCCTTGTCTCACCTGTCACTTCCCGTGGGTGTTGGCAAGTGTTTCTACCCGAGCCAGGAAAGCTGCAGCCATGCTGCTTGTGACAGCAGAGGGGCTGCAGAGCCCAGCTCTTGGTGGGGACGGTGCCTTCTGCAGAGACGTGGCCAGGGGAGGGTTGCCCTGCTGGCTGTGACAGCAGAGGGGCTGCAGAGCCCAGCTCTTGGTGGGGACGGTGCCTTCTGCAGAGGCGTGGCCGGGGGAGGGTTGCCCTGCTGGCTGGAGAGCAGGGTGCACTGCAGCAAACTTTGAATCCATGGGTTTTTCTCTCCCCAGATATTGTGAATAACAGAATTGTCCATTTTGATTTGCTATATGAAGACGTCTCCCTCCAGTATTTCATCCCGGCCTTGTCCTAGTCGCCCCTCACCCTGCGGCGTAGAGACCTTTGCGGTGAGCCGAGGTCGTGGGCTGGAGGTCCTGAGCCGTTGGTCCGCAGCGTCCGCAGGTCTGCACGGCTTCCTCTCCCCGCTGTGGTTAGTGGGATGGACGAGGTGCAGTTGAGTAACTGCTGCTTCACGTTGCCCATGTCACGGCTCACCTTCAACTCCTGGAAGAAAGCTGGGTTAATCCAGACTTGAAGGAGCAGTTTCTGGTGATGCCATGGAGGAGTCGCAACTGGAAAGTGTGGCCTGGACTCCAGCTTAGCACGCGGTGGGCAGGGCACAGGGGTCAGCGCGCTGGCCTGCCCATGCTGCTGCCCTGTGGTGCCAGGCAGGGGGTGTACAGGCATGGCACCTGGGTCTGCCGCGCTGAGGACTCCCCTCCTGCTGCTTGGGCAGCAGCACCTGTGGGCCTCAGGCCCTGCCCCTCAGTTTCTCCCTGTGGATGCTGTTGGCCGTGGGCACAGTCACGTGGTCCCTCCCTGTGTAAGCAGCCTCTGTGGGCGTGACAGTGCACCTGTTGTGTGGCTGAGTGAGGTTATCTGCCCTGGAATGCACGTGGGAGCTAAGCCCTAAAGTCTCATGCCAGTCATCTAAAGAAGGTGGAGTTCAGCCTGACGATGGGCATAGGGTGGGGCCGTGGCACGAGATGGGAGGAGACCTGGGGGCGTCGCTGGAGGTTGCGTCCACACCAGCTCGTGTCCCTGCCATCTCGGAATGCTGCTAGCAAGGACAGCCTCAGCTCGTGAGGCCCTGGGCCTGCGCCTTCAGAACCAGAAGCCATAGTCAACCTCGCCGAGTTCACGTACCTCAGCCTGAACACCTCGGCTCTGGCAGAGGCCAGCCCCCGTGAGGACTCGGCACTGTGAGCAGAGCCCTGTACCTCATGCAGTCCGGTACTCGTGTGTCCCGCGAGCGGTGTCACAGCACCCTGTTTGAAGTGTCATCTTAACATCACTTCAGAGATCAAGTTGTTGCCTTGAGGTGAAGAAATGGAAAACCACAAAAAATGGCAATTTCTCTTTTTTCCCCCTAATTATTTGGCAACACCAGTGTATTGAGTGATTCTTCGGATGTTGGCAGTGCTGGTTTGAGTGGAGTGCCACGTCACGTTCAGTGATGTTTAAGATCAAGGACCTGGTTACCCTCTGGAAAGCCTGTCTCCCTTCCTTGGCTTAGAATAGTTGCAGTTTTACCTAAATGCTGTGAAAATGATTTAATCACGCAGAATGAAATGATGAAAATGGTTTTATGAAGCTTGTGTTTCTGTTACTGCAAGTGTCTTCCTGGCAGTCACTGCAGGGCGCTCCCTCGGCTGGTTCGGACCCTGGGTGGCTTGCGGCTCCCCGCTCTGGAGTGTGTCAGGGAGTAAGCCGACTCAGTGCCGGGCTGTACTCTGTGCCAGTGGTCAGGCAGCTCTGTGCCCCCGCCAGTGTGCCCCCCGCCTGGGCGCAGGCCCCACCCCCGCCAGTGTGCCCCCCGCCTGGGCTCAGCTTGAGCTGACTTTCTGTGCAGGGGGAGGGACGGCTGAGAGCCGACTGGCCCCCTGACGATGCATGCCCGGCCCACATGACGGCATCTGAGGAGAGGCGGTCCTCTTTATTTGGGAAACTGGACAGTCACGTCATACGGCCCAGCCAGTGCCGAGCACACTGCGGTGGCTTTGCTGTGCTCAGAGCTTTGAAGCTGCCGCCTTGGCTGTGACTGCAGCACGTGGATGAGGCCTTGGGGGGCGGTGTGCTCTGGCCGCTGCTGGCCCCTCCACGCTCTTGTATCAGGCCCATCTGCCTTCCTCACTCCTGGCTCTATGCAGCTGTGCCCTCTGACCCTCTTCCCTGCTTCCTCCCGCACCCAGCACAGGCCCTTGTGAGCCCCCGTCATGCTACTTCTAGGAGGCCCACCTCGGATCCTTTCTGTAGCTCAACCCTCCATGTTGCTGGAAATAATTGTTATTTACACTGATACTTAGTTTTGATCACTTAAAAAGAAAACAATGTAATAGTTCTGCTCACTCCCCCACCTCACATTTTGCATTTTAAAAAAATGTTAATTTTCATCTACATGAGGCAGAGTAACAGGAGAGGGAGAGGAGCCAGTGCTCCCCTCCACTAATTCGTCCCCAGATGCTGCAGCTGCTGAAAGTGGGAGCGGGGAATCCAGTCCGGGTCCCCCAGTGCGTGAGCAGGCACAGGCGGCCCCAGGGTCTGCATTAGCAGGAAGCTGGGGTCGGACAGCAAAGCCGGGAGCTTCCTTGTGGAGGCTGGATGTCCCAGCTAGTGTCTCGGGCACATGTGCACCCCAACAGGCTCTCCTGAAGGGTTAGATGACTCACAGTATTAAGACATTCCAAACTTGAATGCTTTTCCAGTGAGGTTTATACCTTCAGAAGTTCCTATGTCGCTCATTTGCATCCCTGCAGTTGAGGACCTCTGGTCAGTGTTTCCTGTAAGACAGCTGGTGGTCCTGAGCTCGCTCAGCCTTTGTTTGCCTGTGTCTTCCATCTGTGGATCCTCGCTGGGTGCAGTACTCCTGGCTGGCAGCTTTTGGGCTTTTCCACTCTGCCGTTTGCTGTGTCGTCCCATTCTTCCATGCTCGGGGATCTGCTGTGGTGTGATCTCTTCCTATTCTGGCAATTCTCTTGGTTTTTGCTCTTGATGTCTTGGACTGAATCTCCATGGTGACTTTGGACTTTCCCATGCCTGGTTCTCTATCTTGAGCTCTTCCAATGGAGCCTCTCAGATCCCATAGGCCGTCTGTGTAACGGAGCCTCTCAGATCCCATAGGCCGTCTGTAATGGAGCCTCTCAGATCCCATAGGCCGTCTCTGTTCCCTTTCACTGGTGTTTTTTTCAACTCTATTTTTGTGCTGAATGTGCTACTTGGTCGTTTCTGCTTTGGACAGTCACTATTGCATTATATGTTTTATTTATTGTGTTTTTCATTTCCAGGATCTGTCTGATTCTAAAATTATTATTTTTAATGTCTGCTAAAATTCTCTGATACCTTGTGATTTCTTGTTCCTGGGAGGATCGCACAGCAGCCTGCCTTGTCTCTTGTTGGTGCTGTCTGCCTGACGGATCTTGATGCCGTGCTCATGTGTGCGTGTATCCACCTGGAGAAGGTGGACATTGAGCTCAGGCTTCAGCATGGCTTTGTGGTCCTGTTGATGAGGCCTGTCCAGAGATTCTGAGCAGCGTGACTACTATAGGGCCAGATGGCACTTGAGCCCAGGGCTGCCCTGGCCGGTGCCAAGCCCCATCCTCATTATGTGTCTCTGAGGGCCCCCTCGGGGGCAGCTCCGCAGACGCTTGCAGCATGCATGGGAGGAGCCTGGAGCTGGCCTTCTGTGACAAACCAAAGTGCTGGGGAACTTTCAGAGCTAAAATTGTTGCTGACCCAGGGGGACGAAAACTGCATACTTTACCAGTAGGGCCTGGAGATCCTCAGGGGGCTGGATTTGCATTTAGATGCTACTGCTGGTGGGAGTCGAGGGCCCTGGGCTGGGGTCCAGCCTGGTGCTCATTATGCACTCAGCACTCCCACCTGCTGGGATTTACATACAGCTCAGGATCAGATGTGTTCTGAAACTGTTACACTGAAGACCAGGGACTGGACTGTGAGTTTGAGGTGAATGGTGCCTTCTGTGGTTTGATAAGTTCATACCAAGAATGATGTGACAGGAAAGACCGCTGCTACAGCCACGTGTCTGACTTGCAGTGAGGACACCTGCAGCAGGCCGGCGGCTGGAACCAGCCCTGCTGGGCCGGGTCAATCCTGCAGCAGGCCGGCGGCTGGGACCAGCCCTGCTGGGCCGGGTCAGCCTGCAGCAGGCCGGCGGCTGGGACCAGCCCTGCTGGGCCGGTTCAGCCTGCAGCCCGCCAGCGGCTGGGACCAGCCCTACTGGGCCCTGTCAGCCTGTGTCTCATTGCAGACTGCACATGTGTATTTTAAAAATGTTAACCAGTTTTGTATAAATAAATGAGTAAATCAATGTTGTTTGTCTGCTGTTTGACTCTTGTTAACTGTTCTTAGCAGTTGAATATACTGATAATTACAGTTTCCTGAGCATCCGACTCTAGGCTTAATTTTCACAGTGTGTCCTCATTAAGTAAGTCAGGAGTTAAACTTTGACCGGTCAGGTAAAAGTCAGCCCAGCTTCAGAACACGGCAGCCCAGACCGGCGAGGCGTCCCTGTGTTCCTGAAGGAGCTGCTTGCTGTGGGCTCTGCCTGGGTGTGGTCCACTGCTGCGGCGAGGGGCCAGGGCCTAAGCTGCATACTGGGGTTTCCCAGCCCTCACCCCTACCAGGCAGTGATGGCCAGAACAGGGACAGGAGGCCAGCCTTGGGGAGCTCGGGAGGACGGTGGGTCCTGCACCTGACCTGGGGATGCCATCCAGTCCCCTGAGGCAGACAGCTTTTCTCCCCATGCCTGCCAGCAGCCCCCTTCCCCCTGTGGATGACGGGATGAGAGCAAGCACAGCACTCCCAGGCGTTTGCACGTCAGGCAGGATGAACTAGAACACGGCGTCTGTGGGCATGATGGACAGACCAAAGCTGAGCTTGTGCCCAGTGGACGCAGTGCAGTTTACAACTGTGTGTGGCACAGATCTGCAGGCTTCCCTTCTGCAGTCAGCCAACCCTGCACACTCTGAAGTCGTCCAGTGACCTTGAACTCGGAGCCTTCGACCAGGCAGCATTCCCAGCCGAGCTTACCTAAAGACATGGGGTCTCACACATCTGCTCTAATCATTTTATACCCGAGAGTTCCTATTCTACATAATTGAGGTGCTTGAGACACTGGGTGGGATGGCTGTGTCCTGTGTGTGTGCCGTGCACACTGTAGCTTCTGACCCCAGCCTGCTGCGTGTGTGCACCTTGCAGGTAGCGCCCGTTAAAGCTCTCGTGATTGGGTCCCTGTCCCCCACGTGGAAGACCAAGACAGTTCCTGGCTGTCTGCCTGAGCCCCATCCAGGCCTAGGAGTGGATTCGGCCAATGGGATCTATCTCATCTCCAATAAGTTTAAGTAAACAAGTGAGTCACCTTGTCCTGCCTGTGGCCACCGTCCTCAAGGTGCTCAGGTGACACAGGCAGAAATGCTGGCGGGCAGGCAAGAGCGAGAATGGTGCCCTTTGTGTTGGTCTCTCCTCCTTTCCTGCAGCGTTAGCACAGAAGCCCTGCAGGAGGCCCAGGGGGTCAGGAGCCCTTCTCAGAATAGGGTGCCCCCTGTCCACACTGCAACACTCACCTGGGGGCTTCTTGCAGCAGCCCTGTCCGATGAAGGCGCGATGCCCAGTGTTGGTGTTAGGTGGCGTCTTTGGACCGCACAGATGCGTGGGGGAACAGAGCTGCACTCGGCTCTGTGTCCTGAGGCTTTGTAGTCGCTTGTGTGGGCCCATGGCAGTCAGGAGCACAGGCCTTGGAAGGAGCTTGGGTTCCCACTGTGGGTCTGTGCCTGGAGGGTGGCGAGGATGCACCAGGCAGCCCTTCCTCTGCCCGTCATCCTAGCCTGCTCCCATTGCAAGCTCAGGCGGCTCCTGCGTGCGTGGAGGTGTGGGGGGACTTGGCAATCAGCTCAGGGTTGTCCCCTGCTCATGTTTCTTTGGGAGTGAGACTAAAGTGGTCACTGCCTTATGCTGGACTTCACTGCTCCATCACAGATGTGTTGGTGTCTGCTTGAGACCCTGTGGAAAGGACCGTGAGTGGGTGGGTTCCTCTGTCAAGTGGCTAGCGAGCCCAGGGGCATCCTACTGGGCAGTCTCCATCCCAAGCCATGGGTATTTGGCTACTGTGAAGCCAGCAGGAAGCAAGAGGAACAGGGAGGTGATGGTGCAGTGCGGTGACTGAGTTGATCCCAGATGTGTGACTCAATCTGGTTCTAACTTGAAAAGGGATTTGCAAGTGTCTGACCCCTGTGTGAACAGGGAACCCACTGACTTCTCACCAAGTCCCCATAATTTGGCCTCTGTGTTTGCCTTCCTGGGTTGCTGCTGGGCCTGGCTGCTTTACTCACTTCCCCTGCAGAGCGACACCTCTGAGCACACACAGTGGGCAAGACCCCAGCGCTTCTGAGGGTGGGTGAAGAAGGTCACTGTGATTGGCTGATTGTCTTGAGATGCTGATGTGGGCTGGGAAGGCCGCGCAGGCCGCTGCATGAGACCTGGTGTGGCGGCCCTTTGGACTCAGCCCTGCACCTGTTTGCAGGGGCCTCTGATCCGAGTGCAGAGCAGCGAGCCCATGGGAGCAGCTTGCCTAGGACTGGCGTGCAGGGTGCTGACCGCTGCTGTGGCCCTGTTCTTGCTGCAGTCCGTGCCTGGGATTGGCTCCCAGGATGGTAAGTCTGATATTCTCACAGCCTTGGGCATTGGCCTCTGGTTGTGCCAGTTATTCATTGGGAAAACGTGCCTGATGCTCAATGGGTATGTGTGTGTAACCTGGAGGGCTGGCTGGGGCAAGACATGTGCATGTGTGTGTGTGAAAAACTTTCCCAGGCACTCAGCGCTTTATGTGTGTGTGTGTTGGAAACTTCCCCAGGTGTTCAATGCTGTGTGTGTGTGTTGGAAACTTCCCCAGGTGCTCAATGCTGTGTGTGTGTGTGTGTGTGTGTGTGTGTGTGTGTGTGTGTTGGAAACTTCCCCAGGTGCTCAATGCTGTGTGTGTGTGTGTGTATGTACTGGAAACTTCCCCAGGTGCTCAATGCTGTGTGTGTGTGTGTGTGTGTGTGTGTGTGTGTGTGTGTGTGTGTGTGTGTGTGTGTGTGTGTGTTGGATGTGGAGGACTGGCTGGAGCAGGATTAGAGGAGGCAGCAGCCGATGCCTCCAGGAGTAGGCTGCAAGGTGAGCCCTGGGGACTTTGCTGCCAGAGGGATACCACAACAGTGTGGTGGCTTCTGTGAGCCAAGCCCAACCCTGCAGGAGGTGAGCGGCCAGGGCCTGCGGCCTGAGGTGGCAGTGACTGGAGCTCGGGCTCGCCTTGAGCCTAGCTGACCACAGGCACTAAGCTGGTATTTGAGTTGCAGATGTCGTGTGCCAATGTTCGCAGTGCCGTTAAATGTCACTCACAAATGACACCACCAGTTTCTGTGCAGGAGGAGCTCTGGGTCCTGGAAACAGTGGCTGCTTCTGCCCGTTCTGATGCTGTGGGTGGCGTCAGTCACTGTGGGCTGTGGGTGGCGTCAGACACCGTGGGCTGTGGGTGGCGTCAGACACCGTGGGCCGTGGGTGGCGTCAGTCACCGTGGGCTGTGGGTGGTGTCAGATGCCGTGGGCCGTGGGTGGCGTCAGACACCGTGGGCCGTGGGTGGCGTCAGTCACTGTGGGCTGTGGGTGGCGTCAGACACCGTGGGTGGTAGGTGAAGCCAGCCACCTTGGGGGCCTCTGGCTGTGAAGCTGTGGACTCCCTCACCTCCGCTCGTCCACCTCCGCTCGTCCATCCTGCACCTGCAGCTCCTGGGTGTTTTGTAGGGCAGGCAGGGTCTAACATGGGGAGACCTAAGGAGAAGCAGCCACAAAGCAGGCTGTAAAGCTGAAATACACGGGGTATCGCTTTCAAGGAAAAAAAAAAAAAACAGTCATAGGAGGAGGCTTTTGTTTACAATTTGTTTACTAAAGACAGAATTCACAAGGACTGCTGTGTCCCAATGTGGTCTCAGGAAGCCTCGCCCAGGGCCTCTTCTGCCAGGACTGGCCCTGGCACGCTGGTCACACACGGACCGCCCACTCTGTTTTCCCTCCTTCCTGAGGGCAGGGGAGGATCTCAGCTACCCTAAACAGGGCGCTTGGGCAGACCCTGGCAGAAGGCGGTTTCAGACGCCAGGCAGCTGGCCGCCCCTGGACTCTGAACTAGTGCCCGAAGCCCCACGTGACGGGCCCTGTCCGCCTCAGGTGGCGTCCAGCACTGCTCTGGGGCATGGCCTGCCTGGGCTGTGTTCTCCAGAGTCAGGGTGAGCTTGGCTCTGGGCAGTGAGGTGCTGGCAGAGCCTGGCCATAGGCCTCCAGCCACGAGGCCTAGGACCAACAATGTGGGTGGAGGGGACGAGAGCTGAGGCTGCCCAGAGCAGTGCCCCAGAGCAAATGTCCCGTATGCCGAGCCCTGGGGTGTGGGTGCTGAGGAGAGAGCTAACCCTTTTCAGCTTCGATTTCTTCTGAAGGCCCAGCTGCCCAGAGCCTGTGGCCCCTCGTCCCTTCCCAGCCTCTTAGGGTTAGCAGTGCTGGTCCCTCAGCCCCTGTTGCAGGTCGGCTGCACCTGCAGGCCAGTGGAGCCAGGCAGGGCTGCTGCTGATTGCCCAGCACAGGTGTGCTAGGTGTTACATTTGGGAGGAAGGTGTCAGAGCAAACCACATTGGGCAGTGGTGACTTTCAAACAAACTTGCAGCTCTGCTGGGGCCCAGGCACCTCTGAGTACACTGTTAGAAAACCTCCTGCATCTGTTTCTGACCAGCACAGTGGGGGAGAGCCAGCGGTGCCGAGGGTGTTACTTTTTACTTAGGTCAAGGCTGGGAACTCCCCTGCCTGCCTGGGGACAGCAACAAAGTCAGGAAAACACAGGCTCCCTGCAGGGTCCCCCCAGCCCTCCTGCAGACCCTGCTTTCACTTCCCCAGTTCCCAGCTCCTGTCCGAGAGGGGCTTGTGCCAGGAACAACCCCCTCTTTTCTGTCCCAACTGGTATGTCCAATTAGAGTCAACTCCAAAATTATTCCAGGGTAGAGGAAAAAAAGTCTTTGATTTTCTAAGTAAAATTCTAAAACAAGTTTCAGAAAATGTCAGCGCAGGCTGAGAGCCCGATGTGGACCCAAGGGAACTAATGGATATGTTGGGCAGAGAGTGTCTTGCGGTGGGCAGGCCTCTGTGCAACCTCCCCGAAGAGGCTGGGAGAGGTGTGGGGGAGGAGCTCATTGCCAAGGTCCCAGGGGACGGGCAGCCCAGGCACCCGGCCGCCACGGAAGACCCCAGGCGGTCCCGCTGTGGTGGCTAGCAGTGGGCAGCGCTCGGCTCTGCTGGCCAAGGCCCTGCAAGGTGGTGGGCTTTAGACAGTTTCACAGACGCCCCCCACAGCATGCCGCCTCAGAGGAGCTGGTTGGGAGGTGAGGGGCCCCTCCAGATCGGCTGCTTCTGACCTGGAAAATGGCCCTGGCATCTCCCTGCCTTCAGCGACAGGCAGCCCATGTGAGGTCACAGGCCAGTGGTTCAAGGCGTTGGTTCCTGATTCGTTATCTTCCAGGGCGTGGGGGAGGAATGTGGGCCTTGGACAGGGGAGGTCATGAGTGTGCGTGGCCGGCACGGGGCCTGGCCAGGCTGGTGGCTGAGGGCCTCTCTGACGACGGGGAGGGATGAACCAGCGCTATGCAGAGTTGCTGCGCTGGGCGTCAGTGGACTGACTGAAGGGTAAAGGTTTGACTTACACTTGCAGCACTGCTGGGGTCCCCTGTGTCCTGGGCCTGCGTGGGGGTCTCCCCTGTGCATCCAGTCCAGCTCCCAGCTCCCTGCCGTGTGCACCTCGGCTCCCTGCCTTGCACACAAGCGACCCAGGCTGAGTTCTGGGCTCCCCCTTTTTTCTGGTCCAGCCAGGCCCTTGGTGGTGTAAGTCAGCACTTGGAAGGTCTCTCTTTGCCTTCTGGATAAGCAAAATATTACAGAAAAACAATAATGGAGTGAAGATGTGCTGATTCCTTAAATCAACAATGCATCGAGGAATGCCGCTTTCAAAAGCGATGTCCTACTTTAACTGAGGGAGAAAATGCAGAGCTGACCGGTCAGGACCCGTCCGGCTGAACAGCTGTATGGCTACAGAATTAAGGGGTAAATTAGTGTGGTGTGTGTGCACATGTGGTGCGTGGAGGCGCCTCATGATGCGGGAGGGACTGGCACACGTGTGCGTAGCATTATCTGCTGCAGACCCCTGTCTTGCCCCGTCCCTGGGCTCTGGCCTGTGAGACTTCGGGGTGTGGTGAGAAGCTGGATAAGGCCCTGGCTGTGCCGCCACCTGGCACAAGACTCAGAGCACCATGTTGGGCAGCAGCCTTGGCAAGACACTTCACCTGCTCACCCTGACCCCCTGGGTCCTCAGACCTGAGCCCCCGCCCACAGTCAGGACACCCTGGGGTGGGCGTTGAGAACAGACAGCCTTAGCGGGTGTTTCTGTTACCTCCCTGGCTTGCGGACAGGTGTGTGTGCCCTCCCTGCCACTGTGATGCTGTGTCCGTTGATGCATTTGCCACTGCAGTGCCTGGAGGTGCCCTCTTCGCTCTTGCCAGGGGTTAGTTGACTGGCTGCATGCTCTTTTTAAAATATCGCTTCTTTTTTATTTTATTCCAAGTTGCCATGCTCCTGCTGAAGCGGTCCAGGGCAGTCAAGAACGTCCCTGGGGCCCTGTCAGGGCTTCGCCCCAGAGGCGCTCACCCAGCCTCCGCCTGGCCCTGCCCAGCTCCTGTCCGCTGTGCCCTGGCAGGGCCTCTGCTGTCTCATCTAGAACAAGGCTTGTAAGATGTTTCATCTTTGTGCAGTCATTTTGTCATTTTTTTAAAAACAAATGTGTTTCTGTCCCAAGAGCAACCATTTTTAAAAAATAGATTTATTTTATTTTTATTGGAAAGTCAGATATACAGAGAGGAGGAGGGACAGAAAGGAAGATCTTCCATCCACTGATTCACCCCCTCAAGCAGATGCAGTGGCTGGAGCTGAGCCAATCCAAAGCCAGGAGCCTCTTCCAGGTCTCCCACACGAGTGCATCGTTCCAAGGCCTTAGCCATCCTTGACTGCTTTCCCAGGTCACAAGCAGGGAGCTGGATGGAAAGCGGAGCTGCCGGGATTAGATCCTAGATCCCATATAAATTCCTAGCATGTGCAAGGCAAGGACTTTAATCAATAGGCTACTGCACTAGGCCCTTGTGCAGTTATGTTTAAAATAAGTCACTACAAAGGCTGTGGAAATCAAGTGAGAAGATAACTGTATTTTGGCACAACAGATTCTGGAATCCTGGCTGTTTTTTTGGATTCAATTGTTTAAATCTCTGTATTTCACAAATGCGCAAGAGCCATGACGCTGCATTGGCCCCACTGTGAGCCCAGCACCCCTGCTTGCCAAGTCACCTGCTCCTGCTCAGCTCCTGGGGGGGCTCCTTGTGGGGGAGCTGGAAGCTGAGGGGGGGCTCCTTGTGGGGGGGGCTGGGAGCTGAGGGGGGCTCCTTGTGGGGGGGGCTGGGGGCTGAGGAGGGCTCCTTGTGGGGGGCTGGGAGCTGAGGAGGGCTCCTTGTGGAGGGGGCTGGGAGCTGAGGGGGGCTCCTTGTGGGGGGGGCTGGGAGCTGGGAGCTGAGGGGGGCTCCTTGTGGGGGGGCTGGGAGCTGAGACAGGGCTTCTTGTGGGGGAGCTGAGGGCTGAGAGGGGCTCCTTGTGAGGGGGCTGAGGGCTGAGAGGGGCTCCTTGTTGGGGGTCTGAGAGCTGAGAGGGGGCTCCTTGTGAGGGGGCTGAGGGCTGAGAGGGGCTGCTTGTGAGGGGGCCGAGAGCTGAGAGGGGCTGCTTGTGGGGGGGCTGGGAGCTGAGAGGGGGCTCCTTGTGGGGGGCTGAGAGCTGAGAGGGGCTCCTTGTAGGGGGGCCGAGAGCTGAGAGGGGCTCCTTGTAGGGGGGCCGAGAGCTGAGAGGGGCTCCTTGTCGGGGGCTGAGAGCTGAGAGGGGCGCCTTGCTCTGGACAGGACCACTCTTGCAGGAGTGCCTTGAACTCTAGTCACAGACATTCTCAAACACCCACACCTTCAGTGCAGCTCAGTTCCCTCAGCCGCCAGCCTGCATGGGGCCTGCCCCTCTGCTCCCTGCCCAGCCAGACGCGAGGGAGCAGTGTGCGCCAGCTGGTGCCCCCTGCGCTAGGCTGGGTTCCTGGCACGTGCAGTCAGCCTCTGTGCCCAGGATGTCTTGACTGTGGACACTGACAGACCCCTCAGTGTCTCTGGGTGGTGGTCTCATCCCGTCTCCCCTCACCCTGGCCATCTCAGGACAGGACTGCAGGGAGTGACTGGAGAGGCGGTCTTCCTTAGACCCACATCCGTGCCCATGGAGAGGGCAGGGACAGAAAGGAGAGACCAGACCCAGGACCTGGCAGGCAGGGTCCAGGGAGCAACCGGGCGCGCACCATGCCAGGCCGTGGTGGCCTGACCTCCATCCTTGTCTGACCCATGTCGCAGCCTCACCTTGCATGTGCAGACAGCCTTTTTCTCTTCCTGCAGAGCCCCATGTGGACCACCTGGCACAGGACAGCAGCGGGGAGCGTGCCTGCCGGGCCTGCACTCTGAAGGGGGTAACAGGAGGCTTGGAGCCACAGGCACCATCACCCACAGCCTCTTGGGAGAAGGTTGGTGCAAGCAGACCCCCTCGACTGACGGTGTGCCTGCTACAGGGCTTTGCCCAGTATCGCTGTGCAGCCTGTCTGCCAGCGAAGTGAGGGTCAGGCATTGAGGCAGCATTGCATGGCAGCCCAGGGCAGGGGGATGGCCTCTCAGGCTGGCACAGCTCCTGCAGCCCAGAGCGCTGGCAGCCCCTGGTCCACTTGAAGGGTTGGGGAAACCCCCATTGCCTGCTGGCGTTTGTCAGCAGCCCAGGAGAGATTCCTAGAAGTGGGGCCAGGTAGTGCCCCACAGGGGGAGGGGAACCTGGGGGCCAGATGGCCAGGGGAGAAGGGTGGACCCCTGTGTGACCTGCTGTTCACGAGGAAGGCGATTTGGCCCCAGAGAGACGCTGCCTGCCCAGACTTGTGTTCCGATTCGGGACATTTCTCAGGAAGCCCACAGAACCTGGTGCCCTCAGTGAAGGTCATCTCTCCCCCCACCTGCCCGTTCCTTTTGGGGGCCGCTGGTCCTCCCCATCCTCCCACCACCACCCCCTGCACAGTGCATCTCAGGGAGTTTATTATGCTGAAAGTGGTCGGTCGTGGTGCCCACAGGGTCTGTGTCTGGCCATCACTCTCAGGACAGATACTCCCAGTTTGCAGGAGGGGATGTGAGCCGAGAGCAGCTGGTGGGCAGGGCTGGGGTGTGGCTTCACCAGCCTTTCTCAGGGTACAGCTGCAAGCAGCGAGGAACATTGTCTAAGCAGCAAACATGCACTGGGGCCACTGGGCCTCGGGGCCCCCAGGGAGCTCAGCCCACCCTGAAGGCAGTCCTGGAGTGCTTTGGCAGGGCCCCAGGTGATGGAGCAGCCCCTGTCCCCAGGTGCCTCCAGTCACCTGGGAGCTGAGTTTTCCACATTGCTTGGTGTCTTGGGACCACACCGCCGTGTCCCAAAGGCCTTGATTCTGGGGAAGGGACCATCACTGCTATGGGCCGGGCATCCCCACCCTGCCTGAGCCCTTGGACTTGCCCGGAGCTCCTTCTGCCAGTGCAGCAGCTGTCTGTCTGTCCTAGCGGCCTCTGCCAGGCTGCTGCAGCAGAGCACAGCCCCTGCTTTCACCCTCTCCTGCCAGTGCCCCTTGGGTGCAGAGGCCAGGCCAATGGTGCCCAGACACAGGTCACACAGGGCCATGTGTGCTTAGACACCCTGTGCAGAGCGAGGCCGCAGGGCCTGGCCTCCACTGAATCCCTGGGTCACCGCGGCCTCTGCAGGCTGCTGACCCAGTCCCGGGTCCTCTCCCTCAGCTTTGCTCCTGCGACTCCGTTTCCAAGCCACCTGCTAGTGCCTGTGAACAGAAACCCCCCACGCCCAGCCCTGTTCCCTGGCACCGAGTCTGCCTCGGGAATGTGATGTTCTGGGGATTGGGGCCACACTGCCTGGGACAGAGCTAACTCTGCAGGCCCAGCTGTGCCCGGCTATGGCAACAGCTCCCCCAGTGTCCTGTTTTTCCTGCAGAACGTTTGGAAGGCCAGGAGCCAAGCAGCATCCACCATTGGCAACGGGGGAGTGCCCTCTCCACGGCCCTGGGACACTGGCTCCGACAGGTGTGTTGGCACAGCTGGGTCCTGGGTGCTTGTCTCTGAGTGCTTGTTGAGTGTGGAAGTCAAGGCTTGCTTTTGTGTTGCCCGGGGTGTGGTGTCAGAAAATGCAGCGCCTCGTGGGATTGGAGCAAAGACAGCACATTGCAGAACTGGGGCAGGGATGGTGTTGAGCACAGCGACGCAACCCTGCCTCCGTGTGCTGGAGTTCGGGAGGGCAGGAGCCGGATGGCAGGTGGCCGTGATGAGGTGGGGGCGGTTATCGGCAGCCCGAGGCCTGCAGACAGAGCCCAGCTCTCAGGGCATCCTCAGTGCAGTAGGCCAGTCAGAGAGAGAAGCCTGTGGGGCCTTCCTTCACTTGTTTTAAATGTTCTCCAGGAAACAGTAGCTACTTATTTAATCACAGTTGCAAAAATATCTGGAGGCAAATACAGACATCCCCATAGCTGAAGGATAAAAAATCCCTAGGTCTTGTAAACAGTTTCTGGAAGCACTAGGAATGGTTATGATATGCCAGCCCTTCTGGGGCATCAGCACAGAGGGAGAGGAACGGGGTGGGGGAAGGGTAAGGAGGACTCAGCACAGCTGTGTTTAGAGCTCAACACCAGATGCTGTGGTGGGAGGCTCCCACGGGGGGGTTCCTTCAAAGCCCTAGTTAAGACTGAGAAATGTGGTGAGGGTGTGACTCAGCTGCCTGGCTGGCTGGGGCCAGAGGCCTGTGGCCACACCCCACCTGGCGGAAGTCACCCCCAAGCACGTACACCCCAGAGCGAGCGTGGCTTTCTTCTAGGTCAGCAGGCTGGGCACAGGCAGTGCCTTTGCTCTGCCTGGTCCTTGTTGTGGTCTCCCCACTTTCCCTGCGGGGGCTCAGTCATCCCTCCTGGTCGCTGCTCACAGTTCCTCACCACTGGCCGCCCCAGCACTGCCCAGCACTGCCCAGCACTGCCCAGCACAGCAGTGATGGCTGTGGCACTCTCTGGAAGGAGCAGGGCCAGATTCACACACCCCGCCAGGACCATTTTGACAGCAAAGCAGGAGGATTCTCAGTAGACCGCCAGGTCCTTGTGCCCCGTATAACCCGGTCCCTGGGGCTCTGCTTCTCCTTACCTGCTAGGGTGCCCAGCACAGGGGGCGATGGAGCGCTGATAGATGAGGCACCCCCAGGCGTGGGGTGGGCGCAAGGGGATTTGCATCTAGGAAGTCACTGAGGGCAAGGACTTGGCGGTGGCAGTGAGCAGCGTGTACTGGTCGACTGTCCAGCAAAGAGCAGCAAGAAGGGATGTGGGGGTCAGGTGGAGAGCCCCGTCCTTGCCCACAGTGGTCACGTTGCCGGGCTATGCCGCAGCAACAGGCCACTCACTCCCTATGGGCAGATTAAGGGCTGCACAGCTGGTTTTCATGTGGGCCTGGCCACCACGACTCCTTCGTCTGCAGGCTAGGCCCTGCCCTGGGCAGCCCCTTCTCGGGCAGAGAGGCTGCAGCAGCACTGGCCAGGAGCCCTGCACCATATGTGGCAGCTGTCCAGGCAGGGCGGGACCTGGGGTCTACTGAAACTCCGTCTTTGCTGTTGAAGTGGTCCTGCTCCCAGGAACTGGCCTCCGTGCACGCGCCGGGACGACAATGGACTGGGACCACGGTGCACTCTGCTTCCCTTTAGGAGCCCCCAACCGTCTCCTGCGCCGATCACCAGCACCTGGAGCAGAGGCGGCCTTGGCGCCTGCAGCGGGCAGCCGTGCGCAGCTGGGAATGAGGCAGGGGGCTCCTTCTCAGGACTCCTCAAGGTGGGTCCTTGCAACTGAATCCCACATAAATGCTGCAGGCAAGAGCCTGGGTGCTGGAGCCCCATGTTGCTGCCTGGCTGAGTCCTGCGACCCCTGTAAGGTGCTTGGTTGAATCATCTGACCAGTGCTTGGCCAGTCTGTCCCAGCAACACGGCCACGTAGACTTTACTGGCTCCAGCTGTGAGAGCGTCTCCTCTCAGCTGCCAGCCTGGGGTTGCAGAAGCCACGGGAAGTAGCTGGCTTCCCATGAGCCTTAGCCAGGTGAGCATCGGGAGGGTCTGATAGTGGGCACTTCCTAGTTCTGGGTAAGTGTACCCATAGCAGCTCTCTGGGGGCAGGCCCGTTACAAGGTCTGAACTTCCTCGTCTCAGCATTACACTGTCACATGGGCTGAGTTGCTATGGCAACAGCAGAGACCCCAGCCACCCCAGGTCCTTGCCCACAGACAGTAGCAGGTGGCAGGGCGAGGCCAGGCCCCTCAGCTGTGCCTACTCTCCTTCCAGGGCACCACTTGTGTGGAGGCACACCGTGGATTGAATGTGACTACATCCTGTCTTGCTCCAGGAGGCCAGAGTCCCGTAGGGGACAAAGCCGAGGGGACCCCAATGGCCGGGTTCAAGGGAGCACCATTGGGGTGAGTGGAGCTCAGACCTGCAGCTGCCCAGCCAAAAGCTGGCCCTGAAAGCTGCGGCTCTCAGGTCCCCACGCAGCGTGCACTCATCATCCTCTCTGCTGTGCCCACCCGTGGCACTGGGTTTCCTTAGCGTTCAGGCTGGTCTGTGTGAGCACTGGGGGATCCGCCTCCCTGCCTGTGCAGGGCTCTCGTGTGCAGGTACAGCCTGCTGCTCACAAGGCCCCACCTCCCTGATCCTGTACCTTACTTGTGGCCAGCAAGGACCCTGTAGTCCCAGAGACCGGGGTTCCAGTTGACCTGATGGACCCCAGCTTGCAGTATCTTTGTGGCATGAGGAGCCACAGGGGGGATTTAGAGCGATGGCTTGCACAGAGCATTTTCACAAAAGTGTGGGAGGTGTATGTGTGGGGAACCTGTTTTCACATTATGCCGTTGGTGACTGATGGAAGTCCCAGCTCAAGGCTGTGGCTCCTGTGGCTGGAGTCGGGCGCTCGAGTCCCTGCTGACCTCCGAGTGCCCTGAAGCCTGCCGACCCCACCCTGGAGTTTCTGATTCCATGGGGTGTGGTTGGGCCCGAGTGCTGAGTGCTGAGCTCTGCTGGCTAGGGCACCCCACTTTGTGACCTGAGAAAACTGAAGCTTTCATCTGGGATTGTGGTATGCGATGGCTGCTTCTCTCCCACAGCTCGCCTGGTGCTCCCAGCACCCCTGGCCTCTCTGTGTCCTGGTCTGGACCCCAGATGCTGTGTTCCCTCACTTGGTGTCCTTCTGGTACCGTTCCCACACGAGGCACTGGCGAGGCCATGAACTCCTCCACCTGTCGTTTCCTGGAAACAGACGCTCCAGCCTCTCCAGTTCTGGAGCTTCGTGTCCACACACCATCTGGAGCAGCTCTGTGCCTGCTGGTGGCTTTCGGGGCTGCTGCTGGCTGTGGCACGAGGCCCCACAAAGTGACAGAGGCAGCCTCGGTGACTGCTCACCACCAAGATGCCAGAGGTAGGCCGATGCCCCGAGGAGCCACAGAAGGAGGCTGAGCTCGGGATGCCGGGCACAGGGAGGCCAGCTGTGTGCCCTGGCCCTGGGGCTGTCTGAGTTCGGGGTGCCAGGCATAGGGAAGCCGGCTGTGTGCCCCTGGACCCTGTGCTGTCCTAGCTCGGGTGCTGGGCACAGGGAAGCCAGCTGTGTGCCCCTGGCCCCGGGGCTGTCTATGCTTGCATCCCCTCCTGTGACCAGCCACGTTTTTCTGTTGCCTTCCTGGCAGCCCCGGGCCTGGGCAGGATAGTCCCTGGTCACTCGGCATTGGCCAGGGACTCTGGCCTGCACAGGGTGGACCTCTGGGAACAGTGGCTGTCACACACGAGTTGTGTTGCTCACCCTTTTTCTGTACCAACATTTGCAACACTGTGTTTTCACTGAAGTAAAAAAGAAAAGCTCTCCAGCCCTGGCAAGGATGGGCGCTGTCCCCTCAGTCAGCCGCTCAGTTGCTGATGTGACCCGGCAGAGCTGAGTGGGGAAGCCGGACAGCCGCCTGTTCAGCAGCGCCTGTAGCTTCTTCCCTCCCTTCAGGTTAGTTTTTGAACATTCTCCTGGCACAGACACCCACATCCTAAGAAGATGGGTGTTGAGAACGCTTTGGCAACAGCTGTCGCTCTGCCCTCAGCGTGGGCACTCAGGCTGCCTCGCCTGTGGCAGTGACCGTGTCCCCAGACAAGCCAGAGAGAACAAAGCTGAACACATACACCCTGCAAATCCATTGGTACAAAGACCCGCACCAATTCCTGGGCTGAAGAAATACACGCCTGCACTCAACGAGGGGCCAGAGGCTGCAGTGGGGGCACTGGGGGGAGGGGCTGGGGTGACTGCTGGGCAGTCCCATACAGCTGCTGTTGAGCTGTTGAGCTGTTGGGCGCCGCTTTCCTGCCCAGCTGCAGGTGACACGACCTTCTCCTGAGTGTCCCTGACTGTGCACACAGGCCCCTGGCTCACAGCAAGGAACCAGAACTTCTCCCCTGCAGAGCCTGAAGCCACAGAGCATGGACTCGGTGGGGGTATGGCCCAGCTGCCGTGGAAGAGGGCAAACTCGTCTGCTGACAGTGCCCATTGCTGCGCCAGCCACCCCCGCATGGCCCACCTGTAGGTGTTAGCTGCTCTGCCTGCCTTAGGAGCTCACCACACCCTTTTTCTTCCCAGGAGTCTACTCGCTCAGGGCTCTTGTTGCCAGTGACTTCCGGGGAGCAGAGGTGGACTTTGGACCTTATTTCGTGGAAGTTGGCAGTGGGGCTGTGACTGTGTTCATGAATGCCAGCAGTGTCCGTGCGGAGGAGGCTCTGGCCTCTGCTGGCTCATTCAGGGACAGAGAGGGTAAGCACTGGTCCAGAGCAGGAGAGCGGGCAGGTGTCCTGCACCGCTTGCGCAGCCCAGTGGCTCTGCCCCTGACCTGCCACCTGCCAGCCCTCGTCCAGGGAGTGGTTGTGGCCGAGTGCCTGCTCTGGGGACATGAAGATACGGTCAAACAGGGGCCTGCGTCCTGGTGCAGGCAGTCACAAAGGGTTGTTTTTATCTTGTATTTGAGGACAGGAGACAGACCGGCAGCAGCCAAAGCTGGGAGCTGGGGGCTCAGTCCTGTCTCCCAGGAGGGGGCCAGGGGGCCAACCTTGGACCAGCATGTGCCTTGGCAGGAAGCTGAAGCTTAGAGTCCAGGTGTCCTTGGAGGAGCAGCACCCCAAGGAAGGCATGGAGCTGCTGGGTAGAAAGACAGGATGGGGCAGTGCCCTGAAAAGGGCTGCAGGCTTTGCAGGTGGGGACGCCTGAGGGGGGCGTGGCCCCGTGAGAGGGAGGGAAGGCGCTAAGGACAGACGGGGGCTCCCAGGGCAGCACTGAGGGTGTAAGGGCCTCCCTGTGTCACTCGCGAGGCTGCCTTCTCAACCGCCCTCCAAAGGATCTGTCTGTGTTCCCCACAGTTGAGGTCCAAAGCTCACAGGGGTTGGGGGCCCCCAGCTGAGTCCCATGGGGGCAGAGCAGAGAGTCGAGGTGTGGACTGTGGTGTGGCCTCACCTGTCAAGGAGGCCCCTGGAAGGTGTGTCCCAAGGAGCCTGCTCTCACAGGAGGCCGTGTGACTGTCCCATGTGGTCAGCCTTGGGGGACACTCCCAGCAGCACTGAGCCTGTGCGCGGGATATTCTGACTCTCATCACACTGAGCCACTGGCTGCCTGTGTCCACCTTCCTGCTCAACCCCGTGGGAGCGCAGCCCTTGGAAGCCTCGGGCTCGATGCCGGAACGAGAGGCAGGCGCCTGAATTTGACCCCAGCCCCTAGGCCACGCTGTGTTACGTGGGCATGCAGTGTCTTTCCATCTGAGCTTTGTGCTGCTGGCGTGTTGTTGTTGTTTTAAGGAAGGGTTTTATTCATTCAGAAGAGAGAGATCTTGCATGTACCCACCCACTCCCCAGTAGACACTGATGGACTGGGTGGAAGTCAGGAGTTGGAACTTGTCGCACGTCTCCCATGTGGATGCAGGCTTTCCCAGCTGCTTTAGCACGGAGCTGGACGGGAAGTGGAGCATCTGAGAGAGGAGCCAGTGTCTACATTGATACTGGTGTCACAGTGGTGGCTTCCTTGCTACGCCATAAACTGTTGCCCAGAACTGTGCCCGTAACTGCTAGGCCATGGTCAGATTGGCTGGAGATCCTGTTAGTACCACCGTGTCCTTATTTTACAAACATCGGAATGCTTTGTGGAGGACAAAATATCTACTTTGCATTTTCTTTCTTATAAGAGAGAATTGCTTCTGGCACAGAAGTGGCAACAGTCCTTATCGCCTTGCCTAACACCCCATGTGGTACACGGCTCACTCCAGGTCTTCCCAGATGGCACAGGCCTCGGCAAGGACCCAGCACGGCAAGGTGGCTGCCTGCCAGTACACACGTGCGTGTACACATTGCATGCACACATGTAACATACATGACACACATGCCTTATGTGGTGTGTTATCTACTGTGTGCTTGGAGTATGTGGTGTATGTACCACCTGCATATGTGTGTGGGGATCTGCATCTGCATCTGTGTATATTTCCAGAACCTTGCTCCACATCTGAGAGGGTTGAGATGCATGGGGCTGGTCTTTGAACCCCACTGAGAACCCACTTGAGCCAGCTTGGTGTGACAGGCCGTGCGGCCAGCTGTCACTGTCCCAAGGGAGCTGATGTGTCTCCTGTGCTGTAGGGAGCTCCCAGCAAGGAGAAAGCACACGGGGAAAATGTTCATGGGTGGGATCCTTGCCTCATGTTCCCCAGGTCTGTATGATCAGAGCTCTGAGTGTGTGGAGTCCTGGGAGGGAAAGCAGAAAATCCCGAGGGCACGTGGCGCTTGTCAAGTGGGCTGGTCTAAGACCGCTTTCTCTCCCCTCGGCCTAGGCGCTGGCGTGATGCACCATCTTCCATCCGCCTCTTCCTACAGCGTGTCCTTCGTCTCCTGGGCACGGACAGGGGCTTGCCTGGCATGGCACAGCGTCCCCATGGGCTACAGGATGGCATGTACGTTCTACCAGAGCTCTTGGCTGACAGGGTCTTCCAGGCGTGGGCGGTTGAGTTTGGAAAGCCACAGAGGGCACGGGTGCTGCTGTCCCCTCTGGCCCGAGCTCCACTGCCGTCAGTGGGGGCATTGTTCTCTGCTGTCTCAGCTGGGCCTTCGCAGAGTGTAGACACGGAGCTGTGGCCTCCAGCGCCCAGGAGATCAGCTGCCACATGTTCCCGCTCTCCCCAGCAGTCCCCAAGGCAGCCAAGCAGCTGGCCGCCTGGGCCTTGTGGTCTTTGCCTTGGCATGACTGCCAGGCCCTGCACACACCCTGGGACTCACACCCTTCGCTCCCAGCCCTAGATAGATAGAGTGAGGAGATTAAGAGGCTGACCTCTGCCTCCCCACGCTAATGTGTCTGCCCCCTGTCTTCCTAGCCGTCTCTGTCCGCACAAATGGAACTGTATTTGCCACGGACACGGAAGTCACCTTTGAGGCTGTTACCACAGAACCCGCACCCCTGGAGTTTGTGTGGCTTTTTGGCAATGACCCACCAGTGCGGACAGCTTCCAGAAGCATCAAGAGGCGGCTCCGCAAGCCCCAGGGGTCGGTAAAGTTGGTCACAGGACATTGGTAGCTTGCAAGGCTGATGTTGAGCCATTGTGGTCGTGTTGCGACAAGCCACTGGACACTCAGTGAATGCGCTTGTAGCTTTAGAGAAAGAGGGGTTCTCCTCCCTGGTGTGAGTGGACAGCACGTGCAGGCTCTGACTGCACAGTGCTGGCTTCCCTGTGGCTGTGAGAGGGACCCATGTCATGAAGGGACCCTGTGGTGGGGGCCCTGGGTGCCAGCCCACCTCTCTGTGGGAGCAAGCTTGCTCCATGCTCTGACCTTGTTGCCCACCCCGGCAGGTACCAGGTGACAGTCGAGGCTTCCAGCAGGTTCGGCAGCGTGGTTTCTGAGGCCCACCTCATCAAGGTGCAGGAGAGAATTGTGGCCAATCGGCTCCTGTCCACCAACTCGGCTCTGGTCAACACCAGTGTGGCCTTTGAGTGCAGAATCAGCTTTGGCACAGAGGTGACCTACCGCTGGGACTTTGGCGATGGCACCGTCAGCCTGGGGAGCAGCAGCAGCAGCCACGTCTACCACAGGTGAGCTGCAGGCTGCATGCCAAGCGTCGGCCCTCGGGTGCCTGCAGCCATAGCCTTGCAGTCAGTCTAGGGGAGGGCTAGGTCAGCATACACGGGTTAAACCCGCAAGCTTGAGGAGGTCACAGATCTGGGGAAAGAGAGGCAGGAGGTATTGGGGAGACGTCCCCTTGTGACTTGTGAACCCCGGGAACCATGGCCGTGCCACCTTCTCCGGAGGCCCAGGAACCATGGCCGTGCCACCTTCTCTGGGGACCCAGGAACCATGGCCTGTGGTTTAGCACCTGCCAACCCCCACGTTCCAGGCCTGGGAGCCTCCACCTCCCCAGGCTGGACATGGATCCATGACTGAGTTCTCTCCTACGTCTGAGTCCATCCTGAGAGATCAGCCCCCAGGCAGGGATGAGCACAGGAAGTAGGTGCCCAGGGATGCCCAGGGATGGGACAGGGGTGCTGGTCCCACCCCCATGGATCATGGAAGGATCTGTGCTTGGCCGGGCCTGGGCCATGGATGCTTAGAGCAGCGAGGCCCTTGGCCGCTCTGTGTGACGTGGCACCAGCTTGGCATAGCTACCCCATGCTGAGGGGCAGTCGGTCTGAGTGGGACTGTGAACAGGGTCTGGACTCAGCCCTCGCCCAGTCGCTTCCACCCTTGTCCGTACTGCCCGTCTTGCTGTGGAAGCCACAGTTCCGCGTGATCCGGCTGGTTACGGAAACTGGGCGAGGTCCGAGGCACAGCAGCTCCTGCCCTTGCCTCTCCAGGGAGGGGGAGTTCACCGTGGAGGTCCTCACCGTCAACGCGGTCAGCACAGCCGCCCTGCGGAAGCAGCTTTTCATTGTGCGCCGGCCCTGCCAGCCACCCCCCGTGAAGAACCTGGGGCCCCCGAAGGTGCAGGTAGGGCTGGGCCTCGCCTTTGGGGCTCAGGGCAGACCTGGGAGGCCTCCAGCCAGGAGGGAGTGGAAGGGGGTGTGCAGAGCCAGCTTGGCTCACTGTGACAGCTGCAGGCGCTGGCTGTCGGAGAGCCGTGGCTGTGTGAGGAGGAATGACAGAGAGATGGCTGTTCACAGGACACTTCCTGTGGGTCAGAGAAACAGCAACTTTTTATTTCTCTCATTGTTTTGAAGTCCTGATTGGAGCAAGTTTCCCTGTCCTGGACATGGACACGTGACAGGACTGAGCTGCACTGGCATGATGCCCGCCCCTGCGGTCTAGGTCCCCGCTGTGGTCTAAGCCCCAAGAGACACGGGCCCTCCCCCAGGTCGGGGACATCGGTGGGGTGGACAGCTTCTCTGGGCCCACAGCATCCAGCTGGGGCCCTGCTCAGGCCGGCTGCGTGGTCAGGTGCAGATTCTTCTACCTAAATGTCTCTAGTTCTGCGTTTTCTCATGTATGGGCTGAACAGGGCAGCACAGGTCAGTGAGTGCAGTCAGCGGGAGAGAGCCGCCGTCAGCCAGGTGCCGGGTCAGTGTTCAGTCTGACACCTGCCACTGTGGAGTGATTGCTGCCTTGTGCGGCTGCACCTGGAAGTCACAGCACGTGCGACATCCACACTGCCAGACGCATGTGCCCGTCTTGTGTTGCGTGAACGCTGTGGTGGTGACTGCCAGGTTGCAGGTCTCCCTGTGCCACACCCCACGACCAGTTCCTGCACACTGCCTCCCCGGGACCGACCCGAGCCTGGCCACTCCTGCCACGGACCCCAGGGAGCAGCCCCCCACTGCACACTCTGCATTGCCAACATCCGTGCCCACTGATGGGCTCCAGATGGGCATGTCATGGTGCAGTTGTGCCAGCGCTGAGGAATCTGGGTGGCTTTGTGACAAATCCCAGAAGGGCAGCACTCTCAGAGCAGAGCTGCTAAAGTGGATTTCCGTCGAGGCCAAGCTCCTCTAAGGATGGCTCTGCTGCCTCCTCCAGATGCAGTCACTCTTCCTTCTCGTGCTTTTCTCGCCTCAGTTCCTCTGTGACGTAGATGTGGTCTCTGGCGACTCCAGCCCCGGGGGCCTCTTGCAGTGATCCTGTGGGGACCTGAGGGTGGCTGTGAGGGTCAGGCGCTGACGGGGCGTCCTCTCTCTGTCGCCTAGGTTTGGCGGTCCCAGCCCCTGCGGCTGGGAGTTACCTTTGAAGCTGCCGTCCTCTGTGACATTTCCCAAGGCCTCGCCTATAGCTGGAGCTTCCTGGACGCTGAGGGCTCGCGCGTGCGGCTCCCAGCTGGAGTCGACACCCACAGCCAGACGGTCGAGCTGCCAGGCTACACGCTGCTCAGTGGGAACTACACGGCCTTGGCCAAGGTCTGCTCCCTGCACCGTGCTCCTTTGGGTCTGCCTCGCTGAGGAAAGGGTCTGTGTTAAAAACTTGATTGTTCCTGGAGAAGAGCTGGCGTCCCAAGGCCGGCCACGTGTTCAGCGGGCAGCTCCTCCCGACGTGCTGGTCTCAGGATGGTCTCTGCTGTGCAGGAGGCAGCCAAGGCCATGTGCCCATCAGGGGTGGGCATGCGCAGGGTGCTCGGCATGTTTGGGTTAGGTTGTGATGAAAACACAGGGGAACCTTCTGGAGAGTGGGCTTCATGAAGCAGGGTCTGAAGGAGTCAACTCACAGGCCAATAAAGGGGCACGGGAGGCGGAAGCAAGGAGGAGCTGGGGTAGTGGACCCCACCTGGAGGGGGCTCTGACGGCCACCAGCCAGGAGCTCCAGGCTGAGAGCAGACCGGATGCCCAGGGTGTGCCTTAAGGGCTGGTTTCCCTGTACTCTGGGCCATTGGCTCACACTCTCCTGGGCCCCTCCACTGGGCGCATGATATGCAATGGGTCAGTCAGAGCCAGATGGTGCGTTTAGACTCACTGCTTCCATTCTAGTTGGGTGGAGAGTGCATTTCTAACAGGTGCCAGTTCATCCGTGTGACACCCTTGCCCTCGGCCTGGACTCCAGCTCATCCGTGTGACACCTGTGTCTTTGGCCTGGCAGGTGCAGATCCGGGGCAGTGTGGTGTACAGCAACTACTGTGTGGGTGTGGAGGTGCGACCCCGGGTACCCATCAGTGTCATCACAGAGGGCACACACCTGTTCATCCCCAGGGCTGCCTCGGCCCCCCTTGTCCTCAGGGGGTCCCAGTCCTATGACCCCGACCATCCTGGGGCCGTTCTCAGGTGAGGACCACACAAAGGCCCAGGGCCCAGATCTGCCTTCCAAACTTGGCCTTGGGTTGTTTTTTCCTAAGTTGAGCTGTTTAGGGCTGACTGTAAAGGAAGCTTGGGAAGGGCTAGAAGCAAAGGTGGCGTTGAGAGTATGGTTTTGGAACGTGAGCTTTGCACATGTAACCTCACTGAAATCCCTGGTTGGCAAGCTGCCCCGGGCCCGCTGACGGTTGCCTGTCCCTTTGGGCGATCTCATGCTAGGGGCCAGATTCAGGCCACACTCTTCGCAGGCGCCTCCCTAGGACTGACATGGATACACTCACGCCCCAGCTTGGCCTCTGGCAAGGCAGCAGCAGCCTGTTGCCTTGGGCTCTGCCTGGCTCTCTCCTCTGTTGGCATCTGCCAGCTCCCCGATGCCCAGCTCTGCCTCAGGGTTGAGGGGGGTTGTCACAGGCCTTTGTGGGTACCCCGTGCTGGCCTTGGGGACAGAGCTCTAGAACAAGGCACCTGCACTCCCTCAGGGCCACATGCCTCTCTAAGCTCAAGAGCAGTGCTGACCTCGGTTAGCACCTGCAGACAAAGCTTGTTTCGGGGGCTCTGCCCTTGCCTTTGATCCTGAGAGCTGAGCTCCCACAGCCTGGCTGACTGTGCTGGCCCAAGCCGTGTCTCAAGGCTGGAAACTGTGCAGTGTGTGCCTGGGGAGGGGCAGAGAGAGGAGCAGGGACTATGGCCACGGTCCTGCCCTGTGTCTGCTGTCACCGTGTCGCTCAGCGCAGAGAGCTCAGCCTCCACTCTACCATGTGTCACAGGTTGTCCCTGGCCCCGACCAGTGCTCAGACCCTGCAGTGACTTTTTCTGCAGGTTCCACTGGACATGCAGTGCCGCCAGCTCCTCTGGGCAGCCCTGTTTTGAGGACTCTGCCCGCAGCCAAGTGGACATGGCGTCTCCCACCCTTGCTTTCTCAGCAAGGTGGCTCAGCACCTGCTGTGACCAGTTCCTTGTGACACTGATGGTCTCCAGAGGTGGCCAGAACTCTTTGAAGGCCCAGGTGTTCCTGTCCACCCGCCAGGACCCCAGCTTCAGGTATGTGTGCCCCGGACCCCGCACATCCCCTCTCCACTGTCAGCAGCGGGGCGGGAAGCCACCGTGCTGTACAGGGTGTGCTCCTTGCTCTCGGCACCGAACAGGATGGGGCACTGCATGCAGCCTGCTCTAGGACTCAACTCTGGGCTGTGTCTCACACTGCCAGCACCATGCTCAGAGGGGGCTCCCATAGGGCCTGCCCCAGGCCTGCCAGGAGGCAAAGCCATTTGGCATCCCAGCCAGGTACTTGGGGAATGTATCTGGGAGATGAGGCATGGCAGGGCTACAGGGACACCCAAGTGAGACTCATATGGCACCTAGTCTTCTAGGTGTGGCAGGAGCCGGGACATGCTGGACCCAAGTCCAAAGCCCTGTGGCTCCAAGGCTGGAGCCTCATCCTTGGGCCCCAGGCGGTCTCAGGCTCCGAAAGCTGGCAAGTGAGAGGCTGGGTGGAGCTGTGCCTGGAGCATGGAGAGGGGGAAGTGAACAGAAGGAGGGAGCCACTTCCTCCATGGGTGTAGAAAGCTGGCAGTGCCCAGTGGACGGTGCTGGCCCTGACCATGCCCAGCTCTGTAGCAGTCAGGGGTGCTCTGGGCAGCAGGGCTGCTTCCCCCACATGGCTGGTGTGTTCCAAGGCTTTCTGGAGAACCTGCTGGCCTCGCAGGGCAGGAAGGCTCTGCCCACCTCTGAAGACCCTACACCTCAGGCCAGTTTTGGGATGGAGGCGGTTGGAGTGAGCTCAGCAGGAAAGGCCACTCTGCCATCAGCATCACTGGATGCGCTTTAGAAGTGCAGAGATGCCAGCACAGGGGGCGGCACCATGATGGCCTTTAAATGGAGCAGATTCGATATTTAGCCCCAATACACAGTGCACAGTCTAAAGCAAGAATAGTATTTAAAAAGATTCACCACCACTGAAATGGTCGGGTGAGCTCTTTGAATTTCTCAGGCCTGAGTGGTTCACATCCCTGGTTGGTCTGGAGCCAGAGGATCTCTCCTTGTCTCAGACCATCCCTTCACCCCCACCACACTCACACCCTCACACGCATAGGACGTGTGCACGGTCACAGGCCCTGAACAGAGGATGGGCACACACAGATGCACTCTCTCTCTCACACACAGATATTCACTTCCACATCATCCAGACACATGGATGCATGCTCTTACTCTCCCCTGCCATGCACTGAATGGAGGCTGCAGGCTACTGTGTTGGAAAGCTTGGCTGCTGCCGAGGCTGGGGCCCAGAACTGTGCACCTGCTGGCAGTCACATAGCCAGCCTGTTGGCCTGTGTGTTAGCTCTGATCACATGGGGCTAAGCGTGGTGCACATGGGAGCTGTACACAACACAGACCCAAGGTGGGCATTGCCACACTCCCAACACCCGTGCCCATGGCCGCCTGGCTTGACACGCTTTTGCTAAAACCCGTCGTCATGTCCCAGGTTTGTGCACCTCTCCTGGGTCAGCTTCAGGGCCTCTGCTGTCAACCAGAACACAGAGCTGTCTCTGGAGGCTGCGTGCGAAGGCTGCGGGGACCTGCGAGACCTCATGTTCTCTTGGGAGCTCTTCCTGGTCAACGCCACGGAGGACCGCAGGCTGGCAGGTGAGGCCACAGGTCCTCTTGTTGCCGCCGAGGGGAGCAGTGGGGGTGAGGTTGCTTGGGGTCAGTACTGTGTGGTTGGTCTGCCCCCGTGTGTTCAGTCAGCAGCTGGTGGTGTGCACCAACCCTGCCTATACCTTTTGTGCTGGGGTGCACAGTAGTGATACAGCGGGGGGGGAGGGAAGGAAGTCCTCAGTGTCACCCTCACCCCGGGCAGCTTGTAGAGATTGTATCCTGGTCTGAAGCCACAATGAGTGTGACGAAAGCACCGGGTGATGACTCGCTGTCCATGTGCTGTGTCCCTGGGGTGCACGGACTGCGTACTCGGTGCTGCTGTGTCCCTGGGGTGCACGGACTGCGTACTCGGTGCTGCTGTGTCCCTGGGGTGCACGGACTGCGTACTCGGTGCTGCTGTGTCCCTGGGGTGCACGGACTGCGTACTCGGTGCTGCTGTGTCCCTGGGGTGCACGGACTACGTACTCGGTGCTGCTGTGTCCCTGGGGTGCACGGACTGCGTACTCGGTGCTGCTGTGTCCCTGGGGTGCACGGACTGCGTACTCGGTGCTGCTGTGTCCCTGGGGTGCACGGACTGCGTACTCGGTGCTGCTGTGTCCCTGGGGTGCACGGACTGCGTACTCGGTGCTGCTGTGTCCCTGGGGTGCACGGACTGCGTACTCGGTGCTGCTGTGTCCCTGGGGTGCACGGACTGCGTACTTGGTGCTGTTGGGGTTCCCCAGCCTGCAGCTTCTGAGACTCTTGTGCACATGGCCCAGCTGGAAGCTCACATGTTTGGGGGAGTTGGGACCCTGCACCTTGGCCTCAGGGCAGACAGTGAGTGGGTTCCTCGTGTCTCACAGTGTTGTCAGGAGCTTCAGTCTGTTCGCAGGACAAAGCCCACGTGATGGAGCCCACGTGAGGGAGCCACATAACAAAATCTATGTGATGGAGCCCACATGACAAAACCCATGTGTTAGAGCCCACGTGACAGAGCTCATGTGATGGAGCCCATGTGATAGAGGCCACGTGACAGAACCCATGTAATAGAGCCATGTGATGGAGCCCACACAACAAAACCCAAATGATAGAGCCCACGTGAAGGAGCCCAGGTGATGAGCCCATGTGAAACCCCAGAAGGGTGGGGTCCAGGAAGCTTCCCCTAGCCACGTGATAGGGGTTCCTGAGGGTGGCAGCTGTGGCAACTCTGTCCTCCCCATGCTTCACTCTGGGGTCACCCCTGCCCTCTGCACTGTCCTTCAGAACAAGCTTATTCATTGAGTCTTTTTTGAGTCCATGAGTACTTGGGCTGACTGGTCAGCCCTGAAGTCGGGGTGACAGGGACCCCAATCCTAGAGCCTCAGTCCAGGCAGTGTGTGCACTGGGGGAGCTTGTAAGGAAGACACCTACAGTGCACACAGTGTCCCTGTGTGTGGCCCCCAAGACGCTGACACGGTCACACCTGAAAGCCCAGCCTGCTGTCAGGTGGCTCGTCTATGCACGCTGGTCCCTTTTTGCTGCTGAGCCTCTGTCACTGACCCTGAATGGCTCTTAGAATGGTGGTCCTGTGCGATGGACAGGGAGTGGCGGTAAGGAAAATCCCTGTGTGCCCCAGAACGTTGGAAAGGACACAGTGGAGGCCGTAGGCATTGCGTAGAGTTCTGCAGACTCCCACTCAAGCCTGCAGGGCTGGGGCAGGCAGTTGGTGGAGTGGCCATGAACACAGGCCTCACCACGGACACGGTCCCTCCTGTATGCTACCCCCTGCTGTTGGGCAGCATGGCTGCAGGTGAAAGCCGGCTCCCACAGGAGGGTTTGAACACATGTGGGATCTGTCTGGAGCTGAGTGCATGGGTGTGGGCTGTTTGCTGGTCCTAGTGCAGACGGTCAACATTGCCTCGCATGTGTTGCAGTGCCCGCCTGCAGCGCTGTGGGGATGCTTGGTGTCTCGGCACTCGGGGCCTCCTGGGAGTCATCAGAGCCCAGCTCGCTGTCCACAGAGCCCAGTGCGGCAGGTCCTGATTCAGGGACGTCAGTGCATCTGCCATGGGCACCTTCACCTGTGCCCCAGGACCCGCCTGCCCTCTCTGTGATGTGGAGGACCTCCCTGGAGTCCACAGCAGGGACCCAGGGGACTCCAGCTGCTGTCCCCGGGGAGGATCTGGACGAGGGGCCGCTGAGCCTTGAGGTGGACTCCTGGGATGAGGGAGCCCCGACGGGGAGCCCCGAAGAGAGAAGCTGGTCCTCTCCCTATCCTGGTAAGCGCCACCATCCCTGGGCATGTCCCTGTCTGTGTCCCTCTCTTCTGGACCCCTAAGTTGCCTTGGGAAGGAGTAAGTCAGGGGTCAGGTGTGAGATCCCCTGCCTTGGGACTGTAGCTGGGTGTGTGCCCACTGCCCACAGGCTGCTGTGCCCATTACCTGCCAGCTGCTGTGCCATGCTGAGCCAGGGTCACTCAGCCTGCACCTGCTCAGAGCTCTGGCTGTTCCCATCTGCCATGTGGGGTGAGGGGTGAGGGGATGCCACTGGCAACACACAGACTCACAGAGACCAGGGCCTCCCGTGGAGTTGGTACTGGCTTGCGGGGAGCATCTGGCTGTGAGGCCGACATCTGACTTTGGCCCCTGCTGTAGATTTCGAAGCCTATTACGGCAACATTGAAGAAGCAGAGCCATCCCGAGGAAGACAGCCAGGTGGGTGGCTCGGGGCTGGCATCTGGCATCTGCCTCTGAGCCTGCTTGTCTCCCAGCCCTCCCTTCTCGAGGTCCAGACCCTTCTAGCTGCCCTTCCAGCACTCCCGGTGGCGGCGCCTGGGGTGGGGGTTGGGGGTAGAGGCAAAGGTAGACAGCTCTGTGTGCTGCTCCCTTGCCCCCGACCCCCATGCACCTCGAGAGGTGCCCCAGGCCCTGCTGGGGCATCATGGCTGCTCGGTGCCTGGTGCTGAGGGTGTCTGCCGGGAGCTCCACCCTCAGCCCTGCACGGCTGGCTCCCTGGGCCCTCTCTGGCTTCCCCTCACCTGTGTGTATAGCAGCTGGCTTCTGGTGCCCAGCAGTGCCTGCCTGCTCTGTGCTGAGGCTCCCCAGGGCTTCTGTGGCCAGGTCAGTACTCCCAGAGCGGTCACCCGGCGACCATGTTGCTGAGTGATGGCTGCCTGGGCATGACTTACCAATCAGATGAACAGATGATGGATGATGACCAGTAGGTTGCTTATGCATGTAGTGAATAAACAGCTGGCCGACGAACTTGTCGAGTGGACAGGTGGACACTGGGCAGGGAATGCTGGGCTCCCTGGGGCATCACAGATGAGTGGCCATCCTATGCCTCTGGCTTGCTGCGCTTGCCCTGTCAGCTTCCTTCCCACTTGTCACTCGTCCTGGGATCAACATGGAGGGCAGGATGCGTGGAAGTCCCAGGTCCTTGAAATGCAGGCTAGGAGGCCACATGGGGAGCCTCAGGGTGACCAAGAGACAAGACCCAACCAGGGGCCTGCGTGGGCGTCTCTGAACTGTACCTGTAGTCCCCAGTCCCCTGGGGTTAAACGGCCTGCTGGGGCCGGTCCCAGGTGAGCGCCCTGCCACTACCTGCACCAGCCTCTGCCACGAGCCCCCTGATTCACTCGCCCTGCTGTGACACGCTTCTGGGCTTCCTTCTTCAGCTTTCTCATCCCCTCAGTTCCCATTCTAAGTCCAGGGACTCCTGGGTTTGGGCCTGGGTTCTGGAGACCACAGCGGCGGATGGACCATGGGGAGGGCTCCGAGGGAAGCTGTCACGCCCAGGGGGAGTAGAGACCCCTGCAGATACTTGCCCCAAGTGAGACCCCTGCGGATACTTGCCTCGAGTGGGTTTCTTTTTCACCTGAGCATGTTCTGTCTTCACAGGAAGCGCCAGCCCCCTGGAGTCAGGAGCTAGCCTGGATGATGAGGGGATCCCCGGCGAGGGGGACAGTCTTGTGGGCCCCTTCCTCTCTTCCAGCCGAGCGCAGCCTACCCTCCTGGTCGACTGGCCCAAGACCCCGGTCAGCAGAGCTGTCTTCCAAGGCTACACCTCGTCAGGTGTGGACGAATGAACTGCGGTCTGGGGCTCGAGGCTTGGCCCCAGGTTCCTCTGGGGATCTTGCCCTGCAGTCATGGCTCTTTTGACGACTTGTCCTTGTCCTCTTGGGGACCCAGCCTTTTACAGGCTGAGGTTGGAGCCGTGCAGGTCAGCTGCCTGCAGAGGGAGCAAGGTGATACCCGGATACCCAGGCCTCAGTCGTCCTCCTCCAGGTGGGAACTTGCCACAGCCACATCCTGCGAGGACTTGCTGCATTAGCGTGCTCTCATTGCTTGGGCACTTGGCCTTCCTGAGCCGAGGTGCCAGGGCCACTCCTGGCCCTGCTCCAGCGTGGTGAGGGCCGTGAGCACTCTGTCCTGGAGAGCTGCGAGCCTGGGTGTGTGACTAGCACCTGTTTCACCTTCTCCCTGGAGTGAGGGCGGAACCTGCTCCCAGGACCCCGTCTGCCCTCCCACCTGGCACCCACTGACCGTCCCTTGCACATGGCCACCTTCTCCTCTGCAGGGATCACAGGCCCAGCCGTGACCATCAAGCCTTACTCACTCAGCAGTGGGCAGACCTACGTGCTGCAGGCCTCCGTGGGTGAGTAGCAGTTTGCCAAGTTTGGTACAGGGAGAACCACAGGGCGGTGGGCCTATCCCGTCGTGACGGTGGGGTAGGGGCCAAGGGTTCTGCACAACGAAGGGTCAAAAGGAATGTTTTAACTGCATCTGCTCTGAACACATACAGACTTCTTTTTTTTACAATGATCTGCAGTGTTTACATCTCAGCAGGAGCTGAGACTGCACAGCTGCCGTGTGTGGGCTCAGTGCAAACACCACGTGTTGATTGGAAGGGACTCTAGCAGCAAAAAGATACACTCTTGAATGCATCTTCTTTCTTGGGAATTTTCCTGGTCGGGACAGAACTCGCCACCTTTGCCCCCTTGGGTTTTATGTCGTGTCGTGGGATCTGTCCCCCAGGGTTGGTGTGGCTGCGGTGGACAGCAGGACAGGTCTAGCAGAGGTTTTGGCAATGGCAGTGATGGTTCTCATCAAGTCTTCACAGTTTAGCACAGGAATCTCCTATAATTCATCTCAAGGGAAATGCAATTTATTTTTTTTAAATAGTTAACTATTTTAATATGTAATTTAACATTCTTATTTAAATCTCTCCAATTCATTTTCAATCGCAGCACTTTTTAAAATTTTTATTATTATCATTTTATGGTACAGTTCCATAGGCTCCTGGTTTTTCCCTTATCCCAGCCCCAATTTCCTTATGTCATTACTAAAGTATAATTCTTCATTCACAGTCATATGTCCATCATTGCAGGCATGGACAATGGCAGAGAGTTCAGCATCCTATTGTCAAGATATAGTAAACAGTTTCATTGGGAGTCCATCTTTGTCTGGAAGCAGAAATGCATACATTGTATCCTCACATCTGGATGTTATCTCCGTTTCACAGCTCCTGTACACCCCCTTAAATGAAAAGTCATAATACAAAATCAACCATAGAAAGAAAAATAGAAATTTACAATGCCATGACGTTAAATAACATGTTGCTAGATACAACAGCTACTATACATCCAAATGCAATTTAAACGTCTTAGAACTTTGAGTCACTGTGAGGTTGTTGGTAGTAGCAGAGGCAGAGAAGAAACGCCTGGATCCCTGAGCAAGGCTCTGCGTGCCTGCATCCCTGAGCAAGGCTCTGTGTGCCTGGATCCCTGAGCAAGGCTCTGCGTGCCTGGATCCCTGAGCAAGGCTCTGCGTGCCTGGATCCCTGAGCAAGGCTCTGTGTGCCTGGATCCCTGAGGAAGGCTCTGTGTGCCTGCATCCCTGAGGAAGGCTCTGTGTGCCTGCATCCCTGAGGAAGGCTCTGTGTGCCTGCATCCCTGAGCAAGGCTCTGCATGCCTGGATCCCTGAGCAAGGCTCTGTGTGCCTGCATCCCTGAGCAAGGCTCTGTGTGCCTGGATCCCTGAGGAAGGCTCTGTGTGCCTGCATCCCTGAGGAAGGCTCTGTGTGCCTGCATGCCTGAGCAAGGCTCTGTGTGCCTGGATCCCTGAGGAAGGCTCTGTGTGCCTGCATCCCTGAGGAAGGCTCTGTGTGCCTGGATCCCTGAGCAAGGCTCTGTGTGCCTGCATCCCTGAGCAAGGCTCTGTGTGCCTGCATCCCTGAGCAAGGCTCTGTGTGCCTGGGAGGGCATTTCCGCCCAGCAGGATCTTACACAGCTGCTCACGAAGGAGCTTCACACCCGGTGCTGCGACTTGGGGAGTAGTTCCGGTGCTGATGCTGTGTGCACACGCAATCCAGAGAAACCTATCAGTGCTGCAGCTGTCCTGTGGGAAAAGTCTTCAGAAACTCCGTGGACAAACTGCATGGGTTTCAAAGTTATTTTTGCACCCAAATAAACTGATGTTTGAAAAATTATTTATTCAGTAAGAGGTGGAGGGGAGGAGTAATGGGTAGACAGTAATGGGTAGTACCAGTTCCTGGGGTGTGGCAGGGCTGGAACCAGGAGCCAGCAACTCAATCCAGGTCCCCTGCACAGGTGGCAGGCATGCAGTGACGCCTCCCGGGGTGGCAGTAGCATTAGAGTTGGCACCAAGGAGACTGGGTTCTCCGAGGTGGGACACGGGCATCCTGACTGGCACCTTAGCTCGAGGCTCAGCACCTGCCCCAGAGTAAGCTTCCTTGGGAATTCCTCTTTCCCACTAACGTTTGGAAGTCCCCTCGTGTGTGGCTGAAGCACTAAGAGAATCCAGGTCGGCAGGGAGGTGTGCGGGTGGGCCATGCGCCTGCCTGTCTTCTCCCCGTGCTACTGTGCAAGACTGTCCTCTGTCTTCCAGTGCCTAGGACTGAACCCCACAATGTGCCTGAGGTTCCCCAGGCGCGGCAGAGAGCCAGGAGAACCAGGAAGTCACTGGGGGCCTAGCAGGGCTGCCACTGCTGGTCCAGCGGTGCAGGTCTGAGGACCCTGCCGTGTGGTCTCGGCCCTCCGTCGTGAGTGAGGTACCTCTCTCTCCTCTTCTTTAGCCACCAAGCACGGCCTCCTCGGCAAAGCCCAGCTGTACTTGACGGTGAACCAAGCTCCGCAGCACGTGGCCTGCCAGGTGCAGCCACACCAGGGTCTGGAAGCGCACACCCTCTTCAGTGTCTTCTGCATGTCGGGAGAGCCGGTACGTGGCGGCCCCGCAAGCCTGAGGGAGGCGGCTGCAGTGGCTCCGACTGCAGTGCCCTTCCCTGATCATGGAAGGACTTTGGCCTAAGGTGGCGTGTTGGGGTCCCCCAGAGCAGCCCCCATTTCAGAGGAGTCTGGGACCTGCTCACCAGGAGCCATGCAGGGTACTGAGGGCCTCTGGCCAGGGCAGGACACTGTGGTTGAGCCTGCTCTGAGAAGCTGGCAGGTGATGGAGAGAGGGGTGCACCCAGTTGTTCTATGGGTGTGTGGAAGGTCACTGTGGGGCTGACACATGAGTGCAGCAGGAGGGTTAGCCTGCTTCCTCCGGGGCAGGTGGCAGGCAGGCAACTGGTGGCCCTGGGCTTCCCTCCAGACCTAGTTGTGGTGGCCTCTGCCTGACAGCCAGCATTGTATCCCTCTAACCACTCCTGCCCTGCCCCTCTGCACTGTGCCCAGCTGGGGGCCATGACAACTGATGGGTGGTGTCAGGAGGGGCAAGGAGAGCCAGCAGCTCCCTGGGAGGGACCCCAGCGCACTGGGAAGGCCGTGGGAACTGGGCAGAGGATGCCCACAGGCTGGGAGGCCACACCCCTGGGCTAGGCTGCTGGAGTTGTTCACCCATGCTGTCGCGGAGCATAGCCTTGGGGTCCACGCTGGCAGCACGTGCTCCTCAGGGCCGCCACTCATAGTCCATTCATCTCCCTGGCCCTTGGTTCCCCACACTTGGCTCCCAGGACTTTGAATACGAGTTCAGCTACCAGATCGGCGACACGCCACGACACATTCTGTACCATGGGAGGGACACCCAGTACTACTTTGCACTGCCAGCTGGAGAGCCCATGGACAGTTACCAAGGTGGGTCACGGTGCCAGCTGGAGAGCTCATGGACAGTCCAAGGTGGGCCACAGTGCCTGTCAGGGTCCCTGTGGACAGTTACCAAGGTGGGCCACAGTGCCTGTCAGGGTCACTGGCTGCAGTCACCAAGGTGGGTCACAGTGCCTGTCGGGGTCACTGGCTGTGCAGTCACCAAGGTGGGTCACGGTGCCTGTCGGGGTCACTGGCTGCAGTCACCAAGGTGGGTCACAGTGCCTGTTGGGGTCCCTGTGGACAGTTACCAAGGTGGGCCACAGTGCCTGTCGGGGTCACTGGCTGCAGTCACCAAGGTGGGTCACGGTGCCTGTCGGGGTCACTGGCTGTGCAGTCACCAAGGTGGGCCACGGTGCCTGTCGGGGTCACTGTGGACAGTCGCCAAGGTGGGTCCTTTGGGTTCTGAACATTTCCTTCTGGTTTCCAAAGACTAGAGATTGTCAAAATGATGTGTGTAGAAATCAAGATCTTTCATTTACCGTTGTTCATTTCTTCCACTATTTAGTCAATTAAGAACATTCATAATCATTAAGCTAGCTTTTTATGCTTTGAATGTTAATTTCATTATCATGTAAGAGATCAAATGTCGGAGGAAATCTTTTAATATATGAGTTTAATGTTTAGAGCACGCAGTCCCTCACCAGCGAGGGATGCCACATGCGGTAGATGGTGAGATTGTAACGGGACAGCGAGGCACCTGCTGCGGGGAGCAGGCAGTGCTGGCCTGCCGAGTGGGAGCCTCGTGATCCCAGACCAGGTGAGGTTAGCAGTGGCAGCAGCTCTGTGCCCTGGCCCCTGCCGCCAGGGTCCTGGGCTGCCCTGGGCAGTGGTGTCAGCCAGGCCATCTGAGGGGTGTGCAGAAGCAGAGGCCTAAGAATGTCCTTGGACAGACATGCCCTTACCCTGAGGAGACCACGAGGCTATGGCAGCTGGGGTGTGAGCATTCAGAAGTCACCCCTGCAGTAAGTCCCCGGATGTCAGCACTGGGGCTTCCTCCAGGAGGACTGCCTTGTGCCTTGTCAAGGGTATACCTTGTGTGATCAGCCCATGTGGCTCACAGGATTGAACCTGTGACTCTTGCCATCTAGCCTCCGGCAGGTCTCCTAGCCTCACCCTGGGCCCTGGTCACAGGAGGGACTCCCTGGGTCCCCCAGGTTGCTGTTCCCCGGAGTTCCTGCAGACCTGCCCTAAGCGCTCTTGGCCTGTAGCTGCCAGACCTGCCCACATCATTCAGGACTCACTTCAAGGACTGCTCAGCCCTTGTGGAGGTCACACTGTGTTCCCCAGACACTCCCCAGCCTGGACTCCACGGAGAAGTGGGTTCTGGAGCTTGGGGCAGATCTCCTGGGGGATGGGAGCCCCGTTCCCATGCCCTGCTTTGCTGTGCTGCCTCTGCAGCTCCCACTAGTCCCTGGGCACATGCCCTGCTCTGCCAAGGTGCCATTGTAGCTGTTGACGTCCACGGCACAGGCCTGGGGAAGGGTCAGCATCCCATTGGTGTCCCCACATGCCTCGGTGGGCTGGCCACATGCGCAGAACGCATCTCCTCTGCTGTGTTCCCTGTAGTCGTGGTTTCTGCTGAGATCACAGATGGCCGAGGCTCCAAGGCACAGCCGTGCGCTGTGGCCGTCACCGTGCTGCCCCAGTTCCGAGGGATGGACTGCCCTGGCGAGGACCTGTGAGTAACAAAGCCTGCATGACACATGTGTCACAGAGCAGGGCAGCAGGGGCAGGGTGGGCATGGCAGGAGAGACCAGCCAAAGGTGCAGCCAGCAGCCTGCATGCACCGAGGTGTTTGTGCATGCTCTTCCGGCCCTCCACCACTCGCTCCTTTTCGCAATAGCCTCAGCAGGCCTGAGTCCCTCCTTCCTTTATTTAAGTGTATCATGACGTTGTATGTGTCAACAATGATAAAAAGTCCAGCATCCTATTGTCCAGATGTATTTAACAGTTTCACTTGGAGTCCATCTTCTACTCAGGGGTGGAAATGCATACCGCAATGTATCTTCGCAGTATGCCAATTTCTTTTTAAAATATTCCTCTGGATGAATAATGGGTAAATGTGTCTGTATATCTATTGATCTTGTATTTTGCATGAAGGCTGCTTTATATCAAAGAACAGATGGTATTTGTCCTTTTGGGATTGGCTTATTTCACCGAGCTTAATGGTCTCTAGTTGGGACCATTTTGTTGCAAATGGTAGAATTTCATTCTTATTAATGGCTGAGTAATATTTCATGGAGTAGATGTACCAGTTTCTTTCTTTTTTTTTTTTTAAGATTTATTGATTTATTGGAAAGTCAGATATACAGAGAGGAGAGACAGAGAGGAAGATCTTCCATCCTATGATTCACTCCCCAAGTGAGCGCAACGGCCGATGCTATGCCGGTCCGAAGCCAGGAGCCTCTTCCAGGTTTCCCACGCAGGTGCAGGGTCCCAAAGCTTTGGGCTGTCCTTGACTGCCTTCCCGGACCACAGGCAGGGAGCTGGAAGGGAAGCGGGGCTGCCGGGATTAGAACCGGCACCCATATGGGATCCTGGGCATGCAAGGTGAGGACCTTAACCACTGCGCCACCGTGCCGGGCCCTGTACCAGTTTCTTTAACCACTCCTTTTTTGATGGACATTTGTGTTTTTTTTTTCCTTTTGTTGGTCATCTGGGTTGTTTCCATGTCTTTGCTATTGTAGATTTTACTGCTGTAAATATGGGATTACAGGTAACTTTCTCATATGCAGATTTCATTTCCTTTGGATATATCCCTAGAAGTGTGCCCTGTTTTTAATTGGGCTGCAAGAGTTCTTCAAATGCCCTGATTGAAGTCTGTGGGGTTTGTAGATAGTTCTCCCGAGGTTGTGGGTTTTCTTCCCACACTTGTCTGCTGAAGAAAAGAAGCTTTTCATTTCAGTTCAATTCGATGTGTTTGCCCTCTATGCTTCATGTCATTGGCATCTTTAAAGAAACTGCTGCCTCTGCCAAGAGCATGTGCACTTGGCTCTTGCTGTTGTAAGGAAGCCTGGCAGGTTCCCCGTTACTGATTCCATTATTGACAGGATCTTAAAGAAGGGTATGCATTTGAAAGGCAGAGTCTCACATGTATGTACAGAGAGATTGTTTACTCACCACGTGCCCACAGCAGCAAGGGCTGGGCCGAGCAGGAGCCTGGCACTGCCACGCAGGGTGCCGCCTGGCTCAGCAGGCGCTGCAGTGAGGGCGAGGATGTCTGAGAGCTGACTCCTCCCTGTGTCTGTGGGCAGGCTGGAAGGTTTTGCAGCGTGCAGGAACACTCATGCCACGCGGTGTCCCCTTCAGGTACAATTCCAGCCTGAAAAGCCTGTCCACTCTCCAGCTGATGGGGAGCCACGCGGAAGCCAGGAACTACATCACCATGCTCGCCCGGATCCTGAGCCGTCTGACCACGGAAGACGGAAATGCCTCGTGCGGCCAGTGGTCACGGATACAGGATGCGCTCATCTCCTCGGTGTGGGCCTTCTCCTCTGCAGACCAGGTGTGGCCCGGGTCGGGCAGCTTCACTGGCTGCACGCACGTGCCAGGCAGCAGGCCCGACAAGTGGTTGTAAGCACACAGCACAGGCAAGAGAGCCCATAGGGCCAGCTCGGCTCCATGCATGGCCGTGGTCCCTCTCGCCTGCCAATGTTTCAGATGAGTGCTGCTCATTTATTATTTTTTAAAGATTCATTTTTAAAAAATTTTGAAAGAGTTACAGAGAGAGGGGAGATACAGGGAGAAATCAATCCTCTAGCTGCCGGTTGACTCCTCAAACAGCTGTAGTTGAGCTCTGCCAAAGCAGGAGCCTCTCCCAGGTCTCCCACATGGGCGCAGGGGTCCAAGGGCATGGGCTTGTCCAGCTGCATGGACAGGGAACTAAATGAGAAGTGGAACAGCTGGGACCTGACAAGATACCCGTACGGCATGCTGGCACCACAGGTGAAGGCTTAGCTTGCTATGCCATGGTCCCGGCCCTGGTGCTGCTGGTTTATAGAGAGTGGTCTACGTCAGCGCCCACCGCAGCTAATTAAACACTAACACTTCAGGAAGGAAAAGCTCCCTAAATTCAGCTTGGTTTCTTCTGTGGCCGGGCTGCAGGCTCCTGTGCCTCCTCTGAAGGACTGGTGACTGGTTGCTGAGACCCCTCCCGGCTGTGCCTGGCACTGGCATCAGGGCACACTCACAGCTCCCAAAGCAGCTCGTGTGGTCACCATCATCGGACGCCACACTGGAGCTCAGCCCGTCCCCACCTGTGTCCCTCTCTGACTGGTCACAAGTCTGTCTCCTGATGGGGTTCTGTGGGGCTGGCCAGGGGGATGCAGGAGGAGCTAGAATGGGGGGGAAAGCTAGTGGCCAAGGTCATGGTCCCTTAAGAGCTCTGGGCTCTCAGCCAGAAGGCAAGGGGCCCACTCTGCTCCCACGTAAGCTGAGGTCTGAGACTAACGCATGCTGTCCCTTCTTGGTCTGCTGCTTCAGGAGGAGTTGATGGCTTCAGTACTGATGCTGAGGGACCTCGTGGGCCTCCCCAGGAAGGTGGGTGGCCTTTCTTCCCAAGGGCGTTTGCCTGCTTGTCGCGTAATGGGGGGATCACAGTTGGATGCGTTGGGATTTGGATACACACAGTGAAAAGCAGGGCTTATTCCTAAGAACTGCCATTGGCTGGGAGGCCCAGCTCGGCTCTGGGGCGAAGACCTTCCCTTAATGCAAGAACAGGTCAAGGCCAGCACTGACAGTGCTGTATACCTCGGGCACAGCCCTGGACTCTCCCATCACCACTGCTTCCTTCTCTTCAGCTCTCTGACCCCCAGCTGGACCCTGACATGCTACGGGAGGAGGGAGGACCTGGCAAGAAGGGGTTTTCATGCCAGTGGGCTTCAGCCCCAATAGCCTGTTAGCACCTAAGGGGCTGGAGACACCTTTGTTTGTCCCGGTGAGGCTGGGTGGGGCAGCCATGTATCCGAGAGCCGGCTGTAGCTCAGGAGGTCAGCTGGGACTCCCCTGGAGCCTGCTCCTGCACCTGGGCAAGTCTCTCAGTTCCTGATCACGAGGAATAGCGGCTGTGTGCACGCTGTGTGCCAGCGGTCCCCAACCCACGTCTCCTTTCCCCTGGCAGCTGAGCTCCACCAGCAAGCTGCTCATCCTTAGGTATGTCCGAGGACTCCTAGCTCGCAGCCGTCTTCCCACGGGGCTGGTGCTCGGCCGAGGCCTGCGGCTGGAGCTCGTCCAGCTCCTGTCCACAGTCTGGGATGCCTCGGGGCAAGAAGGGACAGTGGTGGCCCAGGCACACATCCAGGAGGAGGGAATGGAGTTGGCGTCAGCCTTGTTGCTGGTGAGTCCTCACCCTCTTGTGCAAAGTGGACACCCCATTCGGGAGGGCTGGGGCTGGAGTCGCCTCACAGAGCCGTCCTGTGATTCTGGGGGACACCTGGGGGCCCGTGTTTCATGTTTGGGAGAATTTCCATTTGGCACATGCGTAGGATTACATGGGAACTGCTAGGAAGTGATGGCAGTGAGCCCATGTGCAATTGTGCCGCCATGCTGCAGCTGGAAAACCTACAGAGCCACACTTCACTTTCGTCTGCAGCAAACGCTGGGAAGCTCTTGGAGATGGGGCGGCGGTGGTTGCGAGCTTCTGTCTGTCCTTGCACTTCTCCCCTCCCACCTGCCCAGGCCTGCTGCTTTTATTTAACAGGTGGGAAGTTAGAACACGAGTTAATGTCCACGTGAGTCGAGCAGCAGCAAGCCTGCTGGACTGACATGTAGAAGCCTTGTCCACACACCTGTCCTGGAGCACCCTTGGGCGCAGTCTCCCCTGCTTTAAGAACCACACTGCTGTTAAACTCCACTCTGCTGAGCTAAGACTTGCAAGAAGCTCAGCTGGTGTTAAGAAGAAGCAAAGCCTCCCAGGCAGATGTGGCGCAGCCAGAGACCCCGTTTGTACTTTGCTGTTGCCTGTCACCTGCACGTCCACGTGGCAGCCTTTCTCAGGCACCCAGACTGGAGACAAGCTGATGTTGTAGCTTCCTGCTCTGCCCTGCTCTGCTCCCAGCAGGGTCTGCTGTCTCTGTCACCAACATGGGGCACCACTCTTTGTGTTTTAGGGTGGCCTCTCTCTGCCACAAGAACGTGAGCTCCGGGTCAGTGCCAGGCAGGTGGAGTTCCTGACCATGCTTCATTACAGCCTTCAGCGCTCTGCCCACAGCCTGGGCCCCATCCGGGTGCACCTGCCTGATGACCTGGCTGGGCCCGGAGCCGCCTGGGAGGAAACACAGAGCCCATGCTACATCAGCCAGCTTGTGCTGTTCAGGAAGAACCCACACCCATGGGGCGGACGCGCTCCCGGGCAGGTACAAGCACTATGGGAACTTGGCTATCTCCAAGCTCCGGGCTCCGAGGGCGAGAGGAAACAGGTGTTGGGTCTACACCTGTGTATTGGTTTTAGGAGAGGCCTGGCTTGGGACATGTTGCCATCACCACTGCGCTTAGGTCAGCTTCCCTAGCACCACAGGTGTTGCTGCTCCTGGGGTGGCTGGGCCCCTCCCTTCCTTGTTTGCTGTTGGGGTTGGTGCATGTGGGACCTTGATGGTGCCTGGCCTGGGGCTCAGCCTGAGTGATGCTGTGGAGGGGCTGTGAGGACCTGCTGGTTCTCCTGTGTCCCCCTGACCCTGCAACAAGCACAGTTCAGCCAAAACAGCAGTGGGCTCCCTGGGCCCCTGGGGGAGGACCAGAGAGGAAGTGTTGAGGTGGGGACAGCAGAGCGGGTGGTCCCAGTCACTCGGTGGCTTTGTGAACACCCACCTCACTTCTGTACCCAGAACTGCACGCAGGACATCCTGGCCCCCGTGGCTTTGGCAGGTTGAACAGAGCGAGACCTCTGGCTGTTCTGCCCCAGCCCCGCTGTCCTGGCTCACACTCCAGGCTCCACTGGGCACTGAGAAACAACTGGGGAATGAGCATGCAAGAGAGTGATGAATGCTTGTTTTGTTCAAAGATAAATGATTTTAGAATGTACTTAGTTTTTCTTAAAAGACTTATCTTATTTTTATTGGAAAGTCAGATATACAGAGAGACAGATAGAGAGGAAGATCTTCCATCTGATGGTTCACTCCACAAGTGACCGCAATGGCTGGAGCTGAGCCAATCCAAAGCCAGGAACCAGGAGCTTCTTCCGGGTCTCCCACATGGGGCAGGGTCCCAAGGCTTTGGGCCATCCTTGACTCCTTTCCCAGGCTACAAGCAGGGAGCTGGATGGGAAGTGGGGCAGCCAGGACCTGAACAGGTATCCGTATGGGATGCCGGCACTGCAAGTGGAGCCCAGCCTACCACACCACAGTGTTGGGTCCCTAGTGTAATGCTTTTAATTATGCAGGAGTTGGAATGTAGTGAGTGTGCCAAGATGTCTGCTGCAAGGGAACGGCCTTCGGACGCCTGGACTGAAGCCAGGCTTCTAGGAATGCATGCTGTAGAAGTAAGGAGAGATTGCTGGAGGAAAAGTTGTGCTGGTTGTGATCACCCAAATGGAAATATACCCACATGTGCAAATGGGGGTGTAATCCACTCATTTCAAGGAATTAAAATCCTTCCTTGAGAGCCAGTTAAAATGACACCAGTCAGGGAAAGTTACTGATCCAGGAAGAGTCTCAGCAACAATGCTGAGGGCCGAGTTGTCTACACGGCGGTGTGGTCGGTGGGTGCAGCACCCCAACCCTGCCCGCTCTGAGGAGAGATTGGGAGCGAGAGCCACGCCGTTCACCTTTCTGAGCGGAGACTTGATGCCCATGAGCTCTTCCGGGGCGGATGGAAGGCTCTCTGAATGCTTGCAGTGTCCACCTTGCTGCACACAGAGCGGCCAGTGCACCCGGCTGCTGCCCGTCCAGCCGCGGGGTAGGTGTCTCGGGCTGCCTCCTCGGCGTCAGGCTGGCCTTTCCCCCCAGGTTGGTGAAGCTGTGGGCCTGACCCTGCACACCTGCTCCGGCAGAAGGCCGATCCGCCGCCATCGGCTGGCGAGCCCTGTGACTGTAGAGTTTGGGGAGGCCGGCGGCTCGGTAAGGGGTGCCCCTCGCGGTCTGTGCCTCCGCGGGCCTTGCAAGCAGCTCCGTCCCCGCTGCCTGTCGGGGGCAGGCTGTACTTTGCTGTTTTCTGTTGTGGCGGCAGGACGGCCAGGGAAACAGAATGCCCTTTGTGTTGCTTCGTGATGAAGTGAACGTCCATGAGTTTGCCTCGGGGCCCTCTGGAGGTGCTCCGGAGACCCTGCAGATGCGCGTGCAGTTCTCCAAGCCGGCGGTGCGGGCCTTTCCGGTCCTCCTGCTTGTGAGGTGAGCGTGGTGGGAGATCGGGTTCCTGAGGATCTTGGCGGAGGAGCCTCATTTTATAACTATGGCACACACAAAGGATACTCACGCGAACATCAGAGCCTGGCAGTCACACCCGCACGGAAGCCGCCGGCCTGTGGGGCTGGAGGGACCTCCCCCTCCCAAGGGATGGAGCCCCACTCGCTCTGCCCTCTGAGCTCTTGCCCCTGGTGCAGGTGTTGCCCACACAGCCCTTAGCACAAGCCCATTGTCCCATTGTCAACTTGCGTCTGACCGAATGACCTGAGCCATTAGACTTAGAGCTGCTTGCTTATAGAGTTTGGAGTTTGAATGGAAGTCTGTACTGGAAGTCTCATTCTGAGGGTCCTGTGCTTCCCGTTGGTCAGCACCAGCCACCTACTGCCCACAGAGGGCGGCATGCCAAGGCCACCATGTGCCTGTACCCAGGGCAGCTGTGCCCTCCCACCAAGGGCAGCCATGCCCTCCCCGCCCTGGGCAGCCGTGCCCTCCCCATCTTGGGCAGCCATGCCCTCTCTGCTCTGAGCAGTCATACCCGCCCCACCCCGGGCAGCCGTGCCCTCCCACCAAGGGCAGCCATGCTCCCTGTGCTCATTCTGGAGTGTGCAGGTTCTAAATTAAGTTCAGGATGACCAGGTTATGTAGACAGTTTTATGTAGACCGATGGGGCTGGGGTAGGCCTGGTGGCCTGTGTGTCGTCCCGGGGAGAAGGGACGTGTGGCCCCAATGTCAGGGTGAAAGGCTCTAGGGGGGAGAACCTGGACGCCTGAGTACACACTGTCTCCTAGATTCTCCGAGAGACCCACGCCCTCGGCTTTCCTTGTGAAGCAGACCCACCTCTGGGAGGAAGGAACGCTGCAAATTTACATCCCTGCTGCTGCCTGCAAAGGTCAGAGGGCAGCACGGCCGTGGCCGCAGCTCCTGGGGTGTGAGGAAGCCTGCATGTGCACGCGTGCATGGGCGTGCGTGCGTGTGTGTGTGGCCCTGGCCCCAGCCCTGGTGTGGCCCCCTGTCACATGTGAATGCATGGCATACAGGCGTGCAGTGGGCAGTACAGCCTAAGGGCCTGGGCCCCTCACCTGTGTGGGAGACCTGGCCCAGCTCCTGGCTTTAGCCTGGTCCAGCCCTGGTCTTGTGACCGTGGGGGGTGGGCCAGCAGCTCGGCCCTCCCTGGCAGAGGTATCCGCCCCTTCTCTGTCTCTTTCAAGTAAACAATCAAAAAGTGTATATATTTTAAGTGGTTAAGTCTGCCAGCTTTTCCTCGTACATTTTGAGGTGTATTGGTAAGGCCCCGGGAAGCCTTGCCCGGGCCACCTGCTATGTGACTGAGATCTCGGCCTGCGTCTATTGTTGTGAATGCCGCTAAGAATGGATCTGATTCTGTATTTTTATAATTGGCTGATATCCAGTTATCCCAAGAATGATTTTATTGAAAAAAAAATCTTAGAACATTAAGTGCTTTTGCTTTTAAATATGAAAATTACCCCAAAATGGTGAGCCAAGACCACATTGGGCCCCAGGCAAGTTGGGACAGGGACATGCTGGTGGCTGGCCAGGGGGCCTGGGCAGGCAGGGGTGCATGTGGACGGTGGCAGGCAGGTGTGGATGTCGCCAGCCCTGGGGACACTGCACTTCCGCCGGTTCTCAAGTGATAGGCCTCATCACGGGGCCTCAGCCTTCCCTGCCTGTGTAGGGAGCAGGGTCTCCTGCAGACCCCAGCCTGTGTCCATGCTGGCCTTTCTCTGCAGAGTCCCGAGTGGGCTTCTTGTCCTTGCTGGATGCTGACTACGACAAAAGACCCCCGAACAAGCACCTGGCTGAGGCAGTGAACTACACGGTCCGCTTGCAGTGGCTCCGGTGCCTGCAGTGGGATGAAGGAGAGTGGGGGTCGTCCCGCTCCTCCCCACAGCCAGGGACTTCTCCTGACTCAGTGAGCTGCAGGTACAGGGGTTGTTTTTATCAGTTGATTTGGCTATCATTTTCCGTCGTGGGTCCAGGCCCCGGAGCCCTCTCCTGGGACAAGCTGGAACCATCTCCGTGGGACAGCCCCAGCCCTACTCGCCCATGTTACCACATCTGCCTGCCAGCCACAGGCCTCCCACTTGCATGGCACCAGAGGGATGGGGGTCTAAGGCTGCAACTGCCCTGGCCCATCACTGGGGACGGGCACGTGGGGGCCGCATCCCCAACACTGAGATCTGGACACCATCTGGTGTTCAGACGAGCATCAGCAGCGAGGCCGCACTCTCTGGGCAGCTCTGTGGTCCTCTGTGTCCTTCATCGCTGTGGACTTCTCACCATGTCTGTGTGTGCCTGTGTGTGCCTGTGTGTGTCTGTGTGCCTGTGTGTGCCTGTGTGTGCCTGTATGTGCCTATGTGTGTCTGTCTGTGTGCCTGTGTGTGCCTGTGTGCCTGTGTGTGCCTGTGTGTGCCTGTGTGTGCCTGTGTGTCTGTGTGTGCCTGTGTGTGCCTGTGTGTGCCTGTGTGTGCCTGTGTGTGTCTGTGTGTCTGTGTGTGTCTGTGTGTGGCTGTGTGCCTGTGTGTGCCTGTGTGTCTGTGTGTGGCTGTGTGCCTGTGTGTGCCTGTGTGTGCCTTGTGTCTGTGTATGCCTGTGTGTGTCTGTGTGTGCCTGTGTGCCTGTGTGTGCCTGTGTGTGCCTGTGTGTGCCTGTGTGTGCCTGTGTGTCTGTGTGTGCCTGTGTGTGCCTGTGTGTGTCTGTGTGTCTGTGTGTGTCTCTGTGTGTCTGTGTGTGTCTGTGTGTGGCTGTGTGCCTGTGTGTGCCTGTGTGTCTGTGTGTGTCTGTGTGTCTGTGTGTGCCTGTGTGTCTGTGTGTGTCTGTGTGTGGCTGTGTGCCTGTGTGTGCCTGTGTGTCTGTGTGTGGCTGTGTGCCTGTGTGTGCCTGTGTGTGCCTTGTGTCTGTGTATGCCTGTGTGTGTCTGTGTGTGCCTGTGTGCCTGTGTGTGCCTGTGTGTGCCTGTGTGTGCCTGTGTGTGCCTGTGTGTCTGTGTGTGCCTGTGTGTGCCTGTGTGTGTCTGTGTGTCTGTGTGTGTCTGTGTGTGGCTGTGTGCCTGTGTGTGCCTGTGTGTCTGTGTGTCTGTGTGTCTGTGTGTGCCTGTGTGTCTGTGTGTGTCTGTGTGTGTCTGTGTGCCTGTGTGTCTGTGTGTGCCTGTGTGTGCCTGTGTGTGTCTGTGTGTCTGTGTGTGTCTGTGTGTGCCTGTGTGTGCCTGTGTGTGCCTGTGTGTGTCTGTGTGTCTGTGTGTGTCTGTGTGTGTCTGTGTGCCTGTGTGTGCCTGTGTGTCTGTGTGTGTCTGTGTGTGGCTGTGTGCCTGTGTGTGCCTGTGTGTCTCTGTGTGGCTGTGTGCCTGTGTGTGCCTGTGTGTGCCTTGTGTCTGTGTATGCCTGTGTGTGTCTGTGTGTCCCTGTGTGTGCCTGTGTGTGTCTCTGTGTGTGTGTGCCTGTGTGTCTGTGTGTCTCTGTGTGTCTGTGTGTGCCTGTGTGTGCCTGTGTGTGCCTGTGTGTCTGTGTGTGCCTGTGTGTCTCTGTGTGTCTGTGTGTGCCTCTGTGTGTGTGTGTGTCTGTGCCTGTGTGTGTCTGTGTGTCTGTGTGTGTCTGTGTGTCTGTGTATGTATGTGTGTGTGTGCCTGTGTGTCTGTGTGTGTGTGTGTGTCTGTGTGTGTCTGTGCACATCCATGCCACGTCCTAACCCCGTGGTTTTCTCCCAGCTATGACCGCCTCGCTCTCTTCTCTCTCCTGAGACGGACACTGAGCGCCAGCCTGGGAGTGAGCCGTGTTTCCGAGTGGCGAAGGTCAGCTCGCGGTTCTCTCTCCTGACTTGGTCCCATTCATGCCTCTGCCTGCTCTGCCTTCTTTTCTGGCGTGTGGGTGTTGGAGGGGAATTGGCTGTAAACAGTTGGGAAGGCGCACACACTGCTCCCTCACACTGGCACGGGTACCATGTGCATTTGGTCACCTCACACCCGTTGGTTTGAAGCCTGTGCTGAGAGCACTGCCTGGCTTGCCTGTCCTGGCCTGTACCACGGGCTTAGCCTAATTTCACCTCTCCCTCTCATAAAAGTGCCCCGTTTTGGATAATGATATAAGAGCCAGGCTATTTTTGTGGCCGGTGTTCTATGTGGACCCCTGCCATTTGCTGTGAAATATGGGCGGGTGGACGTGTGGTCGGGAGCTTCCCTGTCCGCCATCAATGTCACACGATGCTGTCGTCAGTCCAGTGCCCGACCCTGAAGGTGCTTAGGGGACGTTTGCTGAATGACTGTCCAGGGCAGTTGTCTCTCTGTGTCCGTGTGCTCAGAAGCTCTACCTGGCTTGCTTGTTTACTCGCCCATATCAAATACTTAGGAAATAGGAGGGTCGCTACTGAAGAAGCAGATGGTGGCCATGGTGGTCACGGTCATCCCAGCAACCAGGGCCCCAGCACAGTGGCCACAGCCAAGGCTTCTGTGGCACCGACAGTGCTGGGGAACCAGCATGGGGAGCAGCCCAGAGACAGGTGCAGCCACACGGGCAGGTGGAGCATCAAGAACTCCTGCCCAGGATCTGGGAGGCTCAGGCCTCCCAGCCGGGCAAGCAGGAGACACCTGCCAGCCAATAGCCTGTGGCTTAGACAGGCTTACCCAGACAGGTGGAAGAGGAGAGACAGAGAGCCCAGGGCTGAGCCCAGTCCTCAGATGGGTGCCTCCATACGGCCTGGGCTTCGGGGCCGGCCCAGCAGAGTACCACCGAGGGCTAGCGGAGCCCAGTCCAGGCAGAGCACCTTGTCAGGGCAAGGCTCCCAGCAGAGTGGTGTCAGGCACGGGGGACAGATAAGTAGCACCATAGGGCCGGGGTGGGACGGGTTGGGTGGCAAATAGAGAATGTGACTCACCTCCGAGGGCCAGCGCTGGAAGGGCTGGGGGCCAGGGCTGGTGGGTCATTGCCTGGCCGTCTGTGAGTGAATGCCAGGCTTCCTGTCCTTGCAGGCACCCACAGAACTTGGTACCCGGGGTGTGTGTGGCAGTGCTTGCGATCCTGTATGGACTTCTGGCTGTGAAAAGCCGGCGTGTGGACTGCCGCGAGAAGAAGAAAGCGGGCTGTGTTTTCCTGCAGGAAAGTGTCCCTCCTGGCCACCAGCTCTACGCCATCGTCGTGGACACGGGCTTCCGGTCGCCCGCAAGGTTTTCTTCAAAGGTAGTAGGAAGCTCCACAGCTGGCATGGGAGGGCACAAAGGACTTTAGAGGCATCTGCTGCCCGTCTCAGCTGCCCCCTCCTAGTCAGCACAGCCCCCCTTTGCCGTCTTCGCCGTATCAAGCTGCCTGGGAGATGCTGCTTGCCCCCGGTGTTGGGGAATCCCTCTGGAAGCCGAGACTGGAGCTGTGCACCTTGGAGCCTCGATGATTCCGCTGCCCACCACCCGGGTCCACGCTGTGATCCCGGCCTGTGTCAGGAGAGGAGGAGGGATTTCAGGGGCCCCCACCCCAGGGCTGGTGGCAGGTGTTGGCTGTCCCGAGCTGTCCTCCGTGTCTGTCTCAAGGTCTACGTCGTCCTGTGCTTTGAGGATGGCTGCTCACCGACCAGAGAGCTACACTGTCCCGAGAGGCCCCTGTTTGAGAGGAATTCCAGACACACCTTCATGCTGAGGTATGCCGGGGCACTGCCAGCGCATGGGTGTCCACCGTGCACCTGCGGGTCTGGGGCGGAGGCTCACAGGGGAGCTCTGAGCAGTTTGCTGCTTGGAAGTAAGCAGTGCGCATGTGTAATGGGGAGAGGAGAGAGGAAGGCCTGTGTGCCACTGAAGTTCAAGTTCATGGTCCCTGGGGTCCGGGCAGACCCAACATGTAAGAGCCAGGCTGCAGCTCTCAGAGACCACAGGGTTGGAGAGTGGGTGGGAGCACAGGGGCCCCGTTCCACGCAGATGGAATGTGCTGGGGCTGGAGAGCGGGTGGGAGCACAGGGGCCCCGTTCCACGCAGATGGAACGTGCCGGGGCTGGAGAGCGGGTGGGAGCACGGAGCCCCGTTCCACGCAGATGGAACGTGCCGGGACTTTCTCCTGCGAAAAGTGCTTTCTCCTGGGAAACTTGATTTATAGCAATTGGTGCACTGGAGTATTGGTGGCTTTTTAAGGGGAGAAAATGCTAACTTAAGATCAATCCAGGCCAGACACCAAGATGTGGAGATTTGAGTGACTGACTTGGGCACGCCTCCTCAGTCCCCATACCCATGGGGTGTGGAGTTGATTCCCAGCCCTGAGGTGGGCACCTCCTGCCAGGGCTGGTCCTGGGCGTGCCAGGGTCTTTATTTCATGAGCACCCGTCCATACCAAAGATTGAAAGTTCCACTTCTCAGTTAGGTACAGCAAGAGACGAACATGTGGTAATAGACCAGTGTAAGAACAGACTGAAAGAAAAGTCGTGGGAAGCTAAGGAATCATTTCTGAAACTTTCCAACCGGAACCGTGGGAAGCGGAGCCTGGATGGGGAAGGGCAGCGTGGCTGTCCTTGTGAGCGGCGGGCAGGGTCCCTGCTCACGGCACCCACCTGCCTGCCCCTCTGCCTGCTGGCCAGCAGCTGGCATGCCTGCCCGCCCCGGGGCCCACAGGCTCCTGAGGCTGCACACTGGCATGGGCAGGGGCTGAGGAGACGTTGCCTGTGTGTCGCCAGTGCCCCTGCCCGGCTGGGCACACTCCAGAGGGTCCGCCTGTGGCACGACAGCCGGGGGCCTGCCCCAAGCTGGTTTCTCAGCCACATGATGGTGAAGGAGCTGCGGTCTGGACGGGCCTGGTTCTTCCCTGCTCAGTGCTGGCTGGCTGCAGACCGGGACGATGGCCGCGTGGACCGGGAGCTCACCTGTCTGCACCAGGGGTTTGGCATCTGCAAGGTGAGTCCTGGGCTGTGACACAGGGAGGGGTCCTGGGCTGAGACACAGGGCGGGGTCCCAGGCTGTGACACGGGGAGTGGGTCCTGGGCTGTGACACAGGGAGGGGTCCCGGGCTGTGACACAGGGAGGGGGTCCCGGGCTGTGACACAGGGAGGGGTCCCGGGCTGTGACACAGGGAGGGGGTCCCAGGCTGTGACACAGGGAGGGGGTCCCGGGCTGAGACACGGGGAGGGGGTCCTGGGCTTGACACAGGGAGGGGTCCCGGGCTGAGACACAAGGAGGGGTCCCAGGCTGTGACACGGGGAGGGGTCCTGGGCTGAGACACAAGGAGGGGTCCCAGGCTGTGACACAGGGAGGGGGTCCTGGGCTGAGACACAGGGAGGGCGTCCTGGGCTGTGACACAGGGAGGGGTCCTGGGCTGACACAGGGAGGGGGTCCTGGGCTGTGAGACGGGGAGGGGGTCCTGGGCTGTGACACAGGGAGGGGTCCCGGGCTGAGACACAAGGAGGGGTCCTGGGCTGTGACACGGGGAGGGGTCCTGGGCTGAGACACAGGGTGGGGTCCTGGGCTGAGACACAGGGAGGGGAGGCGGCAGAATAGGACAAAGCCTCCCACCATCTCATGAGCTGCTGGGAAGACCCTTCTTTCATTTGAAGAGTTGCAGAGAGAGGGAAGGGGCCGTGGGAGACAAGCCGTGACCCCATAAGCTCTTACCAGTAGGCAGTGCGGCTGCCAGCAGGATTTGGCCTTGCTGCTGCTGGGACGTGTGCATCAGGCTGCTTTTCCACATGCTCCCAGGACGTGTGCGCCAGGCTGTGTTCCCACCGTGCTCTGGGGACGTGTGCGCCAGGCTGCGTTCCCCCCCATGCTCCCAGGACGTGTGCTTCAAGCTATGTTCCCCCCATGTTCTGGGGACGTGTGCGCCAGGCTGCATTCCCCCTATGCTCCCAGGACGTGTGCGCCAGGCTGCGTTCCCCTGCCCCCGTGCTCTGGGGACGTGTGCGCCAGGCTGCGTTCCCCCCATGCTCCCAGGACATGTGCATCAGGCTGCGTTCCCCTCGTGTTCTGGGGACGTGTGCGCCAGGCTGCGTTCCCCCCCATGCTCCTGATACATTGTGCCAGGCGACTTTCCCCGCCCCCATGCCCCCTGCTGCAGCTTTTCTACATGAGGTGCACGGAGTACCTGGAAGACTTCCACGTGTGGCTCTCCGTGTACAGCCGGCCCTCCAGCAGTGACCTCCTGCACACGCCACGTCTGGCCGTCTCCTTCTGCCTGCTGTGCACGCACATGTGCCTCACTGCCCTGGCCACTGCCCGAGGAGGCTCACAGGTGGGGGCATAAACTCATGTCCTCGGGCAACAGCGGGTACCTGGGGACGTGCCATGATCTTGGAGATCCCGCAGGGACTGCTAGCCCGGACGGGTGGGCAGAGTCTGCAGGGGATGCGCAGCATGGCTTCCCTGGAGGCGCTGACCGCCTGGGCTGTCGGAAAGGGGTGTTCCCGAGTCTAAAAGAGACTCCTGTATCTATTTAAAAGACTGACAGATCTCTGTCTGCTGGTTCCGTCCAGTGCCAGGCCAAAGCTAGGGTTTCCCTCCACTGTTTTCTCAAGAGAGTCCAGCAGAAGTGGAAGAGCTGGGATTGAACCTGGAGTCCCGAGTGGTGGCTTAGTCCACCACGCCACAGTACACACCCCACTCCCTGATGTTTCTGAGGTTAACCACGTATTCGGACAGTAACACAAACTGTCCCAGGTTAAGGGGCGGAGAGCGGCTCTGACGGCCACTCCTGCCCCTGGTGACCTAGAGAGAGAATCCACTCTCAATGTGCCCTGAGAAGGCGGGCATCTGGCTTTCCCAAGGTCAAGAGTTATAGCCAGGCTTCGGGGGGTGAGGGGCACAGCACATGGCCACCCCGGGGCATGGCTCATGGGGCACCGGGCGGCTGCAGGGTCTCTCAGCAGCTCAGTGAACCGTCCACAGGACGGTGGTCCTGGCGCTGCTGTGCGACTTGGGGCGGGAGGGCTGTGGGAGAGTGCCTGGGGGAGGTTTGTAAAATCAGGGCGCGCCACCTAGTGGCAGGAAGGGAACAGTAACACCCACCTGGGAAAGCTCAGGGCTGCTGTGGGAGTTTGAAGGTCATCTGGGGTGGACAGGCTGTCACGGGGCCTGACCTCCACAGTGGCCTCCTTGTGGCTCCTGGCCCTGGCTGAACCTGCTGAGTGCGTGCTTGTTGCCAGACTTTCCTGGCTGCAAATCCTGTGGTTTGCGGGCAGTCCTCGTGCCGGGGGTGGAAGGGAGAGCACACTGCCCGGAGCTCACGCACTGTCCGACCTCAGACGTCTTGGGCTCAGGGCCCACGGGTGCCAGCGGTGATGTCACTGCTCTGGGTTGTTGCAGCTGTCTGCCGGCCCCACCGACCTCACCTTCCATGCCTTTCGCCTGGGTCTCCTGTGCAGCCTCCTCGCCTCCCCCGGGGCGCAGCTCTTGTCTCTGCTCTTCAGGCTGAGCAAGGTACGGCACCTGTCTGAGTGGTTCTGCCTTCCTGGGGGGACCCTGCTCTGGGAGCCCTCGTAGCCTTCCCTTCACCTCCACAGGAACCCCCGGGGCCGCCCAGGGCTGCAGCACACACCCCCCTGAAGGGCGCGCAGATGGAGGCACCGCAGGGTAAATGCACTTGGAAAGGCTGAAGCCCACCACTCCCCTGGCTCCAGGCTGCTGCTTCGGGCCAGCTTCTGTGTGCTGGGCTGCCGGGGGCTCCAGGCTGCTGCTTCGGGCCAGCTTCTGTGTGCTGGGCTGCCGAGGGCTCCAGGCTGCTGCTTCGGGCCAGCTTCTGTGTGCTGGGCTGCCGGGGGCAGGTCAGGTGTCAGGTGGGCTCCACCCCTCTGCTTCCTCTGCCCGTGTTGGACTGAGTGTTGTCACCATGTGCCATGATGCAGAGGCGTTCGTTACCCATCAGGTGGCTGCGTCAGACCCCTGCATCCCCACTCCCATGGCTTTGGTAGAGTTTGATTTTTTTTTCACAAGATGTGTTTATTGGAAAGTCAGGGTTGCAGAGAGAGGCAAAGCAGTGCTCTTCCACCCATGACTTCACGACCCAAATGGCTGAACAGCCAGGGCTGGCCGGGCTGGAGCCAGGTCTCCCACATGGGTGTGGGCCCAAGCACTTGGCTCACCCGCTGCCTTCCCAGCTGTGCCAACAGGGAGCTGGATGGGAAGTGGAGCAGCTGGGACGCAAACTGGCACTCAGGTGGCAAGTTGGTGCTGTAATGTTGCAATGCCAGCCCTGCATCCATTACTTTTAGGAAAATTGTACCCACCCCATTTATAGTCACAGTCTCCTTTTTGCTTCCCTCAAGAGCTATTTTTCTCAGCTGCTGTCTCCCCAGGGTGGCCCCTGGTGGGTGCAAGGGTGTCTGAGGCCATGGCGACCCAGCCAACCCCCCAGACTCTGACCCAGCCTGGTGCTGCCCTCAGCAAGGCCCCTCCCTGAGGAGGGAGGACCAGGGCGATCCCAGGGCGATCCCTGGAGAGTGCAGGATGCTTGGCCTCAGGTCTGACTATGCTTTTCTTCAACTCAGGCCCCGGAGAGACGCCTGGCGACCCAGAGCTGCACCAGGTAAGCAGGCGGGACTACAAGCGGGCCTGACTCGGCCACTGGCTCTCTCTGGTGTTCCCCAGGCTGGGTTCTGGCCATGAGTGAAAACAAAGACCACAGGGCCTAGCCATTCCCCAGGGCACCCGGGCAGGGGGCGGTGAAGGAGTCCCCGTGGGCGCTGCTGGGAGTGGAAGGCGCATGTGCCGGAAGTCCTGGCCAAGCTCACGCAAGGCACTGAGGCCTGCTCAGGCAGCCGTGGTCCTTCAAAAGGCGCTGAAGTGAGGAGCGGCTGCCCAGCAGGGCCCATCCCATGTCCCAGGCGGGTCTGGAGCGAGTGGGGGCTGAATGTGGGATCGCAGCCGCAGCCCCTGGCCCTTGTGCCTTGGGCTCCCTGGATGGCTCTGAGGGCTCTCTGGTCTCCAGCACCTGCTCCTGGGTGCCCTGCTAGAGCACAGGGCCTCCCTGCCCTCATCACCACCTGCAGGCCCAGCCAGCCTCCCACCTGGAGACTGCTCCTCTCCTCGCTCCTGGCTGAATGACCTACCCTGGAGGCAGGGCCTGATCACCTTGACCCTGACCCCACACTCCCCTTCTGCCCCTCACCCTATCTCTCAGAACTCATCCCACCCATGCCACACCTGCAGGGGTCACCACTGTCGAGGGCACAGCCCTCCGTAGTGACTCTGACCTTGTCATTGCAGCACCCTGCCTCGGCCATTCTTGTTCAGAGGGATGGGGCCCGGAGGAAGGCGACGAGCAGACCTGGCACAGCCTGTCCACCGTGGGAGCCGGAGGCCTTGGGGGCTGCCCAGGGTGAGCCAATCCTGAGGGAACAGAGCCACCGCTGCCCTCCCCATCCTCAAGATGACAGCATTGTGCCATCCAGTTGGCCCAGTGTGGCCTGCAGCCCAGGGGGGAGGCCTGGCCAGCGGTGCCACAGTTGGGCCCAGTGGGTCTCATGTGAAACCAGACTTGGGCCCATCTGAAGCTGGGACGTCATTTGAGCTACACTGGCCGGGGAGCCTGGACTGCGGGGCGTGTACCCCCCAAGACACTGGCCCCTAGGGCGTGTCGGAGCATGGCTCAGGAGGACCTGGCCGTCCTGGCCAGGGCTGTGTGGACCTTGCTCCATGCTGGCCCTGGCTCCACTCCAAGGCAAGCGTGCTCCATATCTGCTGAAGCCTTGGGTCGCCGCTGCTTCGCCCATGGGCTGCACGGGGTGCAGGGCAGTCTCTGGAGGGGCAGGCTCCGCAGTCCTCTCCCCAGGCATGGCCCTGCTCCTGGGCAGCAGGCAGGGACGGGAACCTGCAGACCATGGAGACCCGATGCGGCCAGGCAGGCACCGCCCTCAGGCCAGCTGCTCTGTCTCAGGCGTGAGCTGGAGGCTGCTTCCTCCGCCTCTGGGGGAACTCTCAGTTCAGGAGCAGGGTTCTCCGAGGGCCCGCTGGGGGTCACACTGCATGCTGTCCTGTCTGTGCTGGGGAGCACGGGACCTACTCAGCCACCCCGTCTGCCTGTCCTTCCCGGCTCCCAATCCAGGCCCAGGAGGATCCCACAGGCGAAGGGTCCGTGAGCTTTGGCCAAGTTGGACTGCATGGGCCATCTGCAGTTTGGCTTCCCTGGCCTGTGCTCTGGCGACAGCGATCCTGGGCTACAGGTAAGCCATGGGCCCTTGGTGGGAAGGCCAGTACCTGCACGGTGACCCCTGCAGCCCCAGGGTCACAAACACGGGTGCCCGTGGCCATGTGTGGTGGCTTTCTCCTTCCTCCTCTTGTCCTCCTGGGGGTGAGCACAGCCACAGCCTCACCCGACCTGCACCTGTTCTGTGGGCTGTGGCTGGCTCTGGATGCGCTCCCAGGTGCTGGAGGAGAGGCCGCAGGGCTCCTTGAGGAAGTCAGGGCAGGCCCCAGGCCAGGTGCACCTGCCATTTGGGAGCGAGGGTCCAGGCCTTGCAGGCTCCAGCCATGCCCAGCATGTGCTGCTGGGCTCTGGTCCCGTGCTGCTTGGCAGCCGTGAGACAGCCTGGGCCGACACAGGGCCCTGTTGTCCCACTGCATGGCCAGGTGTTCTGCACAGCGGTGGTTGCGGCATCTTTGTGGATAGGAGTGGGGATGTACGGTAACAGGTGCAGTGTTAATTGTGGGCCTGGTGCAGCTGCGCGTGCCCCACCTGTGGGCGTGGCTGTGGCTGTTATTGCTGCTTGTCCTCTCCCTTCTCCTCCCTGTTGCTGGCCCTGGGCCCACCCACGTGTTGGACTTTCCTTTCTCTCCCCACTGGGTGGTCCCTGGAGTGCATGTCCTCTGGTCAGGACAGGACTCCCGGCCCTCCCTTCCCTGTGCCCCTGTCCAGCAGCCCCTTCCTGGCTGTCTCTGCCAGGTTCGAGCCGGCCCAGTGTGTGTGGTGGCTGCACCTGCTGTTCCTCTCCGTAGTCTGCTGCTGCTTCATCATGCAGCCACTCATGGTGAGATGCATGCCCATCATCAGGGCACTGGGGAGGGGTGGGAGCCAGGGGCTTTGCTCCACAGCCTGGCCTGGCAGCCATCCTAGTGGTACTCCCACCTCCGTTCGCATGAGGGTGCTGAGCCTCAGGGACCACCCCAGGCACTTACAACATCTGAGCAAAGTAGGATTAAAGGCAGTTCCTCCCTGAAACCCACCAAGTGAGAGGCCCCAGCTTCTGGGGGCCCAACTCAATAGCATAGCAGTTAAAGTCCTTGCCTTGAATGCACTAGAATCTCATATGGGTGCCAGTTCTAGTCTCGGCGGCCCCGCTTCCCATACAGCTCCTTGCTTGTGGCCTGGGAAAGCAGTTGAGGATGACCCAAAGCCTTGGGACCCTGCACCTCAGTGGGAGACCTAGAAGAAGCTCCTGGCTCCTGGCTCCTGGCTTCAGATTGGCTCAGCTCCAGCTGTTGTGGCCACTTGGGGAGTAAACTATCAGATGGAAGATCTTCCTCTGTCTCTCCTCCTCTCTATATCTGCCTTCCAATAAAAATAAATAAATCTTAAAAAAAATAATAAAGGTTTCTGGGGCCTGCATGTTATAAAAAGCATACATGGGCTTCAAAATTGGCCTCAAAATAAACCCAAACCTTTTCACTCCATTTCTTCAGGAGTTTGAAGCTCACCTGGGGCTTGGGTGGGGCCACACCTGGGGAGCAGGTGGCCGGGGTCAGGAGGCAGTGGTTCCTCATGACTGCTGGTAACGTGGGGACACAGGCCCGCAGGAGACAGACAGCCTGCCAGCTGCCCTCAGCACCGCGTCCTTCCTTCTAGATGTGCGTGCTTGCGCTGAGTTTCGCTTGGAAAAGAAGAGACGACAGCCGCTTCTTTGCTGAGTCGTTACACAAGGCCACTAGGAACCTAGACTCCGGACTCGAAGGATGTCCCAGGACCCACGACGCGCTCCCCAGCAGCCCCTGCTGTGCTGGCAGTGCAGGGCACATCGCGGAGGTGAGGGAGAACTGACCCCTCAGCTCCTGTCCTGCTAAGCACCGACCCCCACAGCACATGGGGCAGCTCCCCGGGGTCGCCTGGATGCACCCTGGGCTCCCGTGCCTCTGCATCCACCCGTGGGGCTCTGACCAGGACACACCCTGGGCTCCCATGCCTCTGCATCCACCCGTGGGGCTCTGACCAGGACACACCCTGGGCTGCCGTGCCTCTGCATCCACCCGTGGGGTGCTGACACCTCGGTCACTGTCTTGCATTTATGCCAAGCCTGCACACAGCAGCACCTCAAGAGAAAGGAATTTGTCATAGATAGGAAGCAAATGAAAAAGTCTTTCTTGGCCATGACCTTGGCCATTCATGTATTGGACCTGCTAACTTACAGCTTTCCTTCTGTCTCGTACCACCCCTTTGCCAGTCAGTTTTGAGGGGTGTGTGTGTGTGTGTGTGTGTGTGTGTGAGAGAGAGAGAGAGAGAGAGAGGGGGCCTGCCAGCAGCAGGGTGTGCTCACAGCTGCCCCGAATGCACATGGCATGCTGTGTGTGGCTGAGCCTGGGTCAGTTACAGCCATCACTTAGGGCTTAGGATGCACCTGCTCGCACGGTCAGAGCCTGTCCTTGGCCCTGCTGCTCCCTGGGGCCCCGCGAGGGATCCCTGCCCTCCCCCCAGCTCTCGGCTGTGCTCAGGTCATAGCTCTGTGGGAGGCAATGTGCTGTGCCGGCCCATGTCATGCGCACTCATTGTGCCGTGTCACTCTGTGCGTGTCACATGCTGCAGTGGCACACTGGCTACGTTTGTCATATAACTTGTTCTTGATACCTTATGGAGCAGGCTGCCTTGCTGTGTCCCCTTAGAGGAAATGGGAGCTCAGAGGAGCCACGCAGCACGGAGGGCCGGCTGCCCATAGCAGCTCCCGCTGGCCTGCCCTCTAGCCCCAGGCTCCCCTGGCCCTTCTCACACCCCGGGGTGTCTGCTTTCCTCTTCGCCCCCCGTGGCCACTGGCGCCTCCTATCCCTGTAGGCTGTGGGTTCACCTGGGCGCCAGTGAGGTGGCGGGGGAGGCGAGTCTTTCAGTTTGTGCAGGCGCATTGCTGCAGCCTTGGCTGGCAACTCCCGCCTGGGCAGGTCCCATGGGCAGCTGCAGTGGGGGCATCTCACCCACCACATAGCAGTCAGCACCAGCTTTGCATCCATCCCTGCCTTCTGCTTCCTAGAAGCCCAGAGGTCTGGGACAGAGGGCAGCCTCTGAGCTCTCAGGTCCCTGAGCCTGAGCCAGGGTTTGCCCAGTGTGTGAGAGAGACAGAGTGAAAAATCAACAAAGGATACTGTCAGCGATTGGTTTGTTGGCTACCGTTGTGCCCTGGCTGTGAACAGACACACGAGGAAGAGAAAATGCTTTATAAACCACAGAGCAAGAACAGGGCCGTTTCTCACCAAAACTTCTTGCAGCAGCATTTGTGGGCTTGCCGTGTCTGCCCTGGGAGAAGCCCTGGGTCAAGGCCAAAGCCGAGGGCTGGTCACAGAAAGCGGCCCTTTGTGGTGGCTGAGCAGAGCCCTGCCACCAACACCATCCTGGCCGGGAGCTCGGGGTGTCAGCTGCGGCTGCATCCCCCTGCCGGCCCACACTGGCAGCCTGGTGCCCTGGTCCGCACAAAGCACTCTTTGTTCCCAAGCGCCCACTGCAGTGTGCATCACGGCGATGCTGTGGGTGCCTCGGGCTTGGCAGGAGCCCCGGGGCCTCTCCCCTTCCACCTGGCAGCTTGCTTATGCACTCTGACCCAAACAGGTCCTGGCTGCCCGGCAGCGAGCCCGCCGCCTGCGCTGGGTCCAGCCCCCGTCCCGGGCCCAGCTCAAGGTCACCAGGGAGAGGACGAAGAGGGAGAATCGCGCCCGGGCCACCCTGAGGTGTGTGCAGCGTCCATGGGGAGGGGCTCATTCTGACCCCACTCTGCTCCAGGGTCCACGTCCTCATCACGGGTGGGGAGACCTCGTCCATGTCACAGCCCAGGTCCCCAACACGGAATGCCAAGAAGCTGAGTGGTAGAGAACACGACTCTGCAGCCTACCCACGATGGCAACCTGGCTCTGGTGCCCTCTGCCCACACCTGGCCTCATACCTTGAGCGCATGCCACCCCCCAGGTCATCATTAGCCCAGACCTAGGACTCCTGTCACCATGGGGACATCTTGGAAAAAGCACAGCAGGGCATCGAGTTAGCCCAGTGACGTGGGCTCAGTATGGCAGTGTGTGCCCCCGGGTTATGGTGCCCAACAGGAAGGCCACTTGAGATCATTTAGGGGTGGGCGCTGTAGGTAAAGCCTGTGGGGTCTGGGACGGAATCCTGGGTGCAGACGTGGGGGCCGCACAGTGTCCAGGGGCAGCTGACCTCCCCGTCTCCCCCGCAGGGATGTCGCTGTGCTTGCCCTCAAGCTGCTGCTGCTTCTGTGTGTGACGAGTGGACGGTCCTCCAGGGATGCGGGCTCTCTCAATCAAGCTGTGCGGAAGTGGTTCACCAGGTTGGAGGTTTGGGGAACTGCTCAAAGCTCCATAGTCTCTGGCCACATCCAGGGCCAGAGAGCCCAGGGCGGGCTTCCATTTGTTCACCCTCCCCCGCCATGCAGGCCCTGCGCGAGTGCACCGTGGGGACTGGAAAAGGCTGTCCGTACAGCCCACATGCAGCCCTGGGCGAGGCTGTGCAGTGGACGCAGCAGCCGCAGGCTCTGGGCCCCCTGCCCAGGGCCTCTCCATGGGGTGAGTGGAGAGACAAGGACAGTGCAGGACACTCCTGGGCTCGGGCCAGAGGCAGGGCCTTGCTGCCGAGAGATGCCACGGGCGCCCACCACCCCTTCGGTGCCTTCCGCTGCAGCCTCCGCCTCCTCCCTCCCCCCCTCCCCCAGGGCAGGGACCCACAGAGCTCCTGACCCAGGGGCCATGGCCAAGATGTCCATCCCAACATGAGCAGCTTTCGCCTTTCTGCTGAAAGTCTGCGAAGGCCACGGCCAGACTTCTCCCCCGGGGCAGGCTGACACGCCTCCCCAAGCTGGCTGGTCTTGAAGTCTAGCGTGCACGGCTGAGACCGTGTGGCTTCTTCACCATGGTGTCAGTGGCCACGTGTGGACTAGCCTGGCTCCCGGGGTTGGTTGAAGGCGACATCTGCGCAGCAGCTCCCCTCGAACCCACAGCCTCCGACCAGCTTGTTCAAGTTGACATGAATTAGTTCCTTGAATAGTCTAGCCAGGAACGAGCAGCTTGAAAATTGAACAGAATGGCCTGTTTTAAAGCACATTTGCTTTTCTTTCTTTTTAAAGATGATTTGTTTATTTAAGAGGCAGTTCCTGAGAGGGGGGCTGTGGATATAAAGTGACCTTGCATTTGTTTACTCCCCACGATGGCCACAGTGGGCAGGGCTGGGCCTGAATGAAGTCAGGAGCTTCTTCCAGGTCTCCCCCATGGGTGCAGGGACCTGAGCAGTCGGGCCATCTGTCTCAGGCACGTTATCGGGAGCTGGATGAGGAGTAACCAGGACTCGAACCGGCACCCATATGGGAAGTTTTGCCAGCTGCACCACAGTGCTAGCGTACAGAGGGATTTAGTGATACCAGCCAGATGCTGGGAAGTGAACGGCATCGTGCTGTTTTGGTCAGACCTGAAAGTTTCGGGTTGCTAAGCTCAGCTGCTGCCCTCTGCCCTGCCAGGCACCAAGCAGCCATCACTGCCATTTCCCACCCCTTCTCCTACGTGTACAATGCACACACTGTGCCAGGAGGGGGCGCTGCGGGCAAAGCAACGTGAGAATTTGGGTCCTTATGGACCAGAAATCTAAAAACAGTCTTAGCTTTTTGTTGTTGTTGTTTTGTTTGCTTCCCATTTCATAAGTCGGTACATCTGGAATACTTGCTACGTGAGTTTTTGCCTCTCGTTTTCAGATCCACAGTGTCTGTGCTGAGAACACCTGCCAGGGCGGGGCTTGTGGCAGGATGTCTGTCCTGTGGGTTCCCAAGACTCTCTATGCTCCTGCAGACAGCCATGCTGCGTGGGTCCCAGTTTGCCACAGAAGATTTGAAGTGCCTAAGCGCCCCCCATCACCTGGTCCTTCCAGCCCAAACTCTACCCCCCACCTAAGCCAGAAGGAGCGACAGCTCCCAAGGGGTTGGCGTTGTGGGCAGAGGAGCTTCCGGACAAGCAGGGAGAGGAGGGTTCAGGAGCTGGATGAGCTGGGCGACAACACCAGCCAGGGCAGCAGATGCTCTGTGTGGATGCCCGAGAGAACCGCACGCTGATCTTCCGTGTGCCAAGCCAGCACGTGGGCCTGTGCGTGTAACTGCTCCAATTAGCACGCCCAGAGCCTGGTGCTTCTTGGCGGTTGGGAGCACGGCCCTTAGGCCAGGGTGGCAGGAAGGAGGCAGACATGCCCAGCTGGGTATGGGAGCTGGCCGTGCTGGGTCATGCCTGGGCCCCGGTTGACGTTGTTGAGACGTACTTTCTTCACTGCCAGCCCAGCAGTGAGCAGGTGGCAGGAAGGGAAATGACGGTTGTGCAAAGTCAACAAGACAATAAAACCAACACTGTTGACTAAATACACAGAACGTGGGGCCTCTGGGTCTGTCCGCGCGGCGTGTTCACAGAGAAGCCTCACTTCCCCAGGCGGGCAACACCTCACCTCCTCGCACACCGCCCTGGCGCCTCTCCCGGCACGTGCACCCAGGCCAGGCCTGCCGACTCCATGGTGCCTGCCTCCCCTCGGTGCTCCTGCACACCGCTGCTTGCTCTGCACGTGGTGGCCACGTTGACGGAGGGCTCTGAGCTGTGTCAGAGCGAGCACACGGGATAAGCCTGCCAAGAGGAGGCTCCAAGATGCGTAAGCTGACCGAGGTCAGGTGCTCACCTGGCTAGCACGCAACCTCTGAAGGGAAAGGGGACAAGCCAGGGGCAGGAACACTGCTTCTCAGCTGCCATGCCCAGGGCCAGATGCGCCGCTGGGTCCCAGACAGCCGCTGGAGGCCGTGTGTGAATCCACATGTGCGTGCCCCCTCTGCTTGGTGTCTGTCCTCACATGTGACCCAGCATTGCTGTGACTCTCCCAGGACTCCAACATGTTTGCTAAGCTTGGCAGAGTGGGCAGTGTGCCCAGGCCTGGGCTGCAGCACTGTCTCCTTGGGGGTGGATGTCTCTCTGCAGCTCTTAGCCACCCAGCTCAGGCCTGCCCATCCCCGGGGTGTGGATGCTCGCCTGGGGTCTGTGTCATGCCGCCAGTGTGACATCACCCCACACAGAGCTGGCTGCAGAACTCCACCATCCAGGGGTCAGCTCTGCCTTCGGGTCTGTCTCGTCACTGCCTCGGTCACAACGTGAAGCCGCGTGGTCAGGCTCATCGGGGCCAAGTGGGTGGTTAGAATTGCACGGCCCTGGGTGACCCAAGCTCGTGTCCCTTCTGACTTGTCATCACTTTGCAACACAAAAGTGTTGGTCTCTCTGGTCTCTTTCTATGCCTCCAAACATGAGTGAAGCCGCCACCCCAGGCACATTTCTGTTCGCCAGGGAACCTACACTTGCTTGGTCAGAAGTGTACTTGGCTGCCCTGGACTGCCAAGCAGCACGACCTGCGCCCACCTGCCCTCCGTGTGCCCAGAGCACTTGCCAGAGCTCGCGCTGGGCGCCATCGCCTCACCCTGGAGTCCAGTGTCCTGCAGACGCTGGGTGTCTCCTGTCCAGCGCTGGCTGCTACCCCGAGCATGCGAGCATGGTGGTTGTGTGCTGTGAACAGGGTGGTCCCAGCGCGGGGCGACTTCTCACTCAGCTGTTGCTGCTTAGCTGCAAGTGCGTGGGGGCAGAGTTGGTTTTGTGTTTCTGAGACTGAGCAGAGTGTCGGACACCGCCTGGCTGCTTGTAGCGCTGAGCGCATGAGTATGTGAGTGGGTGTTGTCTCCTGCGACTGGCAGCCAGTGCTTGCCCCATTCCTATGCCCTGTGCTGTGTGTGGCTTTGAGTACCTAGCGAGAGAGAAGCAGGTGGGAAAATCCCTTCAGTCCTTGCCCTGCACGGACATCACTGTTCATTTCTGTCTCCCCATGCAGAAGCCCGGGGCATGCCTGGGACAGCCTGCAGAGCATTGATGGCTGGTGGGACTGGAGCCTGACCGTGTTGTTGGATGGCCTGCACACGGCGGGGCCTGCGATGGCAGCTCAGGTGTGTCTCTCTTTCTGTGTCAACCATGCTCTCAGGAACGCCTCGTGGCAGTGGCCATGCTTGCAGGTTGAGGCAGGTGTGCAGCCCCTGCTCTCTGCTGCTTTCCCTGGTCAGAGCCCAGTGCCAGGATGCCCTCCTTGCCCAGGAGTCTCCAAGCTGTACGCTTCCCAGGCTAGAGCACGGCAGGTCCCAGGAGGGTGTGCAAGGCGGGCAGGGGGCAGTTTAGTGTGCCAAGTTCCCCAAACCAAGGGGCACTCCAAGCTGATAAGGGGAGCAGCAGGGAAGCTTCTAGCAAGAGGACAGGCTGCTTCCATGTTCAGAAGAAAAAGTAAAGCGCATTTTTTAAGATTTGTTACTTCAAAAGCAGCGTGACGGAGTGAGGGGAGATCAAGCGAGCGCCTACTCCCCAAAAGGCCGCAAGCCCGGGGCTGGTCCAGGCAGACACCAGGAGCCTGGACCTCAGCCAGGGCACCCATTGCTTTAGCAGGGAGCTGGGTGGGACTGCAGGCAGGGTGCCCCAAGATGTGGGGTTCCCCTGCAGCACCCCCACACCGCCCCTGTGTAGTGTGTGTGATCCCAGCTCTTCCCACCGTGCTCCTCCGTGCTCCTGGTTTTGCTCTGCCGTGTCCTCTGGAGCCGTGGATGACACCCCTTGAGGCGGAAGTGAAAAGCGATCATTCCCAATGGTGCAGAGGCGGCAGATGCCACAGGGATGGGGGTCTTGTTTCCAGTCTAGGCCGCCTTTCCTGCTGGGTTCCATCCCTGGAGTGGTTCTGGAATTGGCATCTAATTCCACAGGTGGAACTGCCCCATCCACCGTGCCACTGTGGCACCAGTTGGTGGCACTGTTCCTTCTGAGTCTCCTCTCTTCTCCAGCCTGGTGCTCTGGGAGGGACATGCCACCTGCTGGGCTCTCCGGTCATCAGGCAGCTGTCAGCCGCCCCTCACGACCTCTGCAAGGTAGGATGAGTAAATGGAACTTGACAGATGAGGGAGCCGCTGGGCAGGTGGTGGGGTCACTTCATCTCCTCGAGACCAGACTGGGGCGGTGGGCACTGTCAGCTGCCCCCTGGGCAGGCCTGCGCCATGCCCTCTGTGCCCCTCCCAGCCCAGGTGCGCGTGCTGAACTGTCATGGGGGTGAGTGGAAGCCAGGACCTTGTCTAGGAACCCCGTTTGGCACTGACTCTCAACCCTGTGTATGCTCGCTCCCAAGCACTGCCCATGGGTACAAGGTCACAGCACCTACTTCCTGGGCTGGGAGACGCTGCCCCTCTGCCGCCTCACTCCCAGGCCGCAGGGCACACCTGCCTGACGTGGGGCTGGGTGCCAAGCTTTTCTCACATTGTGGAAGCCTGCAGAGTGCATGCCGCAGAGCAGGGGGCGCTGTGGCTGGAGGCCATGGGCCGGGCAGCGGGGGTCAGGCGCCCTACGGACAGGGCTACACCTGTTCTAAGCAGAGTTTGTCTTTAGCCTCCGGGGCCATCAGCTGCTATGTTTGAAGACACTCCATCCACACAGAACCCTCAAGTTGAAGGCCCCCAGAATGGGAATGGAAGCCACGGTGATCTTGTGGGCTGCGTGCATAGCCTGGGCCGAACGAGGTGAGAGCCCTGAGCCAGCAGCCAGTGGGGTCTGCTGCTCGCTGCTCCCAGCCAGAGGGCCCTCAGCACCTCAGGGCTGGCACACCTGTGCTGTGCTGTGAAACCACGGAGGACAGTGCAGGAGGGATGTTGGCAGGAAACACACACGGTCCCAATCCCAGCTGGGCCCTGTGCCGAGCAGCCCTCCCTGTCCAACTAGCACACACTGGACAGCACTCCTGTGACACTGGCCTGGGGGCATGCTGACCAGGCAGTGACACGGAGGGGTTGCCAGGCAACCGTCATGGGTGCCATGGAGGAACAGGAGGAGGAAAGGGTGTGTGGCTATGTGGGACCACATACCAAAGGCCATCAGGGTGGAACCAGGGTGTCCACTGCAAAGACAGGGAACCCTGAATCCCTGGACGAGGGCCTGTGCCCCTTGCCCTTACCTACAGCAGCACAAGGATATGGCCTCCTTCTCCGGCATCCCAGGGCCCCTGCGCCCCACCCCTTCCACTGCCCCTCTTCCAGGTGAAGGCGTGTATGAGTCGTTCGGGTCGGGGGAGCTGGCCGAGTGCCTTCCCCGCCGCTCCCAGCCCTGCCCTGTGCTGTCTCACAGGGAGGAAGTCCAGGCAGCCCTCAGCAGCCTCAGAGCCAGCAGGTGGATTGACCACAGCACACGCTCTGTGTCCGTGCACTTCACGCTCTTCCACGCCCCCAGCCGCCTCTTCACCAGCGTCTCCCTGGGCGTGGAGATCCTGCCCTCAGGGGCGCTGATCCCCTCGCCTCAGGTGGACTCAGTCGGCATCCTCCGCAGTGACTCAGTCTTGGGTCACTGCCTCATGCTGTCTGAGGTGTGTCCTGTGGCTCAGGCCTCCTGGGGTCCCTGGGCTCGGGGTCCTGCATATGCCCAGGCCTCTGCTTGTAGCCTTTCCGCGCCACCTTCACACAGCAGCCCGAGAGCGTGGGTGGCACTCTTCTCGCATGCCTGGGCTCTGCAGCTAGGGTCCCTGTGCGTCTCCACGGGCTTTGCCTCCACAGCCAAGTTCAGCTGTCCACCCTTACATGGGGGTTCAAGGCTCCTCCCGGGCTCTGGCCCAGCCACAGCGGGGTTTCTGTGAGTGTCTGGGGTGGCTATAGAAGGTGACATTCTTGATCAAACTGCAGAGCCAGCCTGTGGCTCACACTGCGCGTGCCGGAAGGGTGACCGGTGGCCGCCCAGCTGCGTGGCGGGAGTACAGAGGGCATCTTCATGGCCACCTGTCCGTGTTGTTGTCCTCAGCTGGCCTCCCTGGCACTCAGCCTGGCCCACCTCTGCTTCCAACTCTATGCTATGGTGGACAAGGGTGTCCTCAACTACTGGCGCAAACCAAGAAACTGGCTGGAGGTAGGTAGGCACCCCTGCCTCCTGTCTATGACAAATAGTAGCGTGTATCTTTGTCTAAAAGAAGACGTCATTTCAATGAGAAAGCAGTCGTGTCCTTGCAGCTCGCCGTGGCTGGAACGGGCTTCGCCTGCCACCTGGCCACTGGCCACCTCGCTACCCTTGCTGGGGATGCTGCCGACCAGTTCCATAAGGGGTTTTACCGGGAGTTCGTGGACCTTGGCTCCGTGGTGTGGTGGGACCAGGTATGGCTGAGGGCTCTGGGTGATGAGCGATGGTGGCTTCATTCCATGCTGACCCACGCAGGCACTCTGTGGTCACGGGTGGGGCTGGCTGGCCAGGGCCTGCTGCCTCCTGGGGGCGAGCTTCGGTGGGTGGGTTCTACAGGGAGTGAGGTGTGAGGGGATGTGTGTGGGGTGTGAGGGTGTGTGGGGTGTGAGGGTGTGTGAGGGGATGTGTGGAGGTGTGAGGAGTGTGTGAGGGTGTGTGAGGGGATGTGTGGAGGTGTGAGGGTGTGTGAGGGGATGTGTGGGGTGGTGTGAGGGTGTGTGGGGGTGTGGGGTGTGAGGGTGTGTGGGGGTGAGTGTGTGGGGTGTGTGAGGGTGAGGTGTGTGAGGGGATGTGTGGGGGTGTGAGGGTGTGTGAGGGGATGTGTGGGGGTGTGAGGGTGTGTGAGGGTGTGTGAGGGTGTGAGGGTGTGTGAGGGGATGTGTGGGGGTGTGAGGGTGTGTGAGGGGATGTGTGGGTGTGTGAGGGTGTGTGTGGGGGTGTGAGGGTGTGTGAGGGGTGGTGTGTGGTGTGTGAGGGTGTGTGAGGGTGTGTGGGGGTGTGAGGAGCGTGTAGGTGTGTGGGTGTGTGAGGGTGTGTGGGGGTGTGAGGGTGTGTGAGGGTGTGTGGGGGTGTGAGGGTGTGTGGGGGTGTGTGAGGGTGTGAGGGTGTGTGGGGTGTGAGGGTGTGTGAGGGTATGAGCGTGTGTGAGGGTGTGTGAGGTGTGAGGGTGTGTGGGGGTGTGTGCTCACGTACTGGCACGTCTCCAGTGTCGCACTGGTGGCTGTCCAGCAGTGACAGTTACAGTCATGACAACAGCTGGAGGCTCCGGTGACTCAGACAGCAGCTCCTGGCCCCACGTGGCCACTGAGAGGACCCCCACAGTCTGCTTCATTCGTGGGGAATATGGACTCCCCGAGACCTCCTGCAGCTGGGGCTACTTCAGAGACACTCATTTACACGAATCAGGGAGGCCACTGCACATCCGCGATGGCGCTGGAAGCGTAGGCTTGCTCCTGTAGCTGGGGGGCACTGGCTGGAGCCCCCAGCCCACCCCAGTCGCCCCCTGTTCTCCTATGCACATGGTACTGCCACTATGCCCAGCTGACCCTGCCTGGGCGCACGAGGAAGCAAAGCTGACAGAAATCCTGACCCCTCTGGTGCAGACCCTCAGATCTGCCTGCACCCCTTCCCCCACTCCTGGGATGGCGGTGAGAGCAGAAGCTCGGCCACTGCGGACCCCCCTCCAGGGACCCTCCAGGGCTTCGGGTGTGGCCGAGCTGTGGGATGCGACACTGGGAGGCCAGGCCACATCCACTCGCTGCTGACAGCCTCTGTGGGGCACCTGTGGACCTGAGCCTTGGGCCCCAAGCTGCCAGCCATGAGGACTTGTGGTTTTAGGAGCATTCTGTCTAAAACCCGGCAACAGGTGTCAGCCACCCCAGTGCATTCTGCACGTGGACATGGAGGGGAGGGCTGGCCTGGGCATGGTCTTCCCGTGTACTCTGCACCCCCGAGGGGACACTGGCAGAGGGAGGCTCAGGCAAGAAATGGCCAAACCTACTCCTGAAGACGTGTCCTTGGGCCCCAGTGCCAACTCCTCATTCTCGGGAGACCCCCGAGCCTCGTGCACACTGGCCGCACGCAGGTGCAGCCTCTGCAGTGACGTCTCCCCACCTGCTCTTCTGTCCCAGAGGGTGCGGTGGATGCAGGGGGTCCTCTCCTTCCTGCTGCTGTGGACAAGCCTGGCTCTCCTGGGTCGTCTCGCCCTGCCAACCTCCCTCTCCCTCGCGCTGGGCCACACCCTCTCCCGCATCCGTGCCCACGCCCCAATGGTAAGGATCCCCTCTCCCCAGGGATTTCCCAGTTGGCCTCAAGTCAGCAAACATTGGTCAAGGAGAAGCACCTCCCACCATTGCTGTCCTGGTGTGGTTCTGTTTTGCTCCCGCCCACTGGCTAAGTGACTGCGCAGCCAGGGCTGGGCCAGGCTGAAGCCGGGAGCTGGGAATCTCATCAAGGTCTCCCATGTGTTGGAGCTGTCCCATGGCATTCCCGGGTGATGTTAGCAGGAGCTAGCCCTGGGACTCAAAACCAAGTGCTCTGCTGTGGGCTGTGCACATGCCATGAGGCATCCGGCCTGCCACTCCAGACACCTGTCCAGATGGTGTGGTCTCAGGTCAGTGTCAGTAGTCATGTGTAAGTTACAGTCTGAGACCTTCAGTTAGTGCTGTCCCCAACCCCGCTCCATGTCACACTTCCCCACAGCTGGTGTCATTTTATTGCTCTGTAAGTAGTCATGCATGGTAGCGAGGTTCTCCAAGTGCCAGCAATGATATCAGGGGAGGGGACTCGTAGAATTACCACAACTAAGCTGTGGGCAGAAGCAGGGGCCAGGGGTCAAAGGAGGGCAGGCCTTCCCTTGGGGACCAGTGTGGCAGTCACATACCTCACCCCACACAGACTGCAACACTGCACTCTCTCCTTTAACTGCTAACCTGCTCCAAAAATCTCTCTCAGGCACTGGAACTCAGGGGAAGGGTCGCAGGGAGCCCAAGGTGCAGTGGAGAACCTGGGAGGGTGGAGGAGCCAGAGGTGGCCCTGTGTTCACTCAGAACACTCCTAATTTAGCTAGAGCGACCCTCCTAAGAAACCACCCTCAATTCTCTCCTGACAGCTGGCGGGGATCCTGCTGCTGGCTGCCCATGCTGGCATCACACGCCGGCGGCAGCTTCTCTCCACCTGGGCACCGGCCTCCAGTGCCTGGGCAGGGGCTTTGCCCGGCCTGCTCTTCCGCTTCCCGGGGAGAGGCCGAGCAGACTTGCCCCCTGGTCTTTCCCAGTCCAACCCCCGGGCCACAGCTTGTCCCTGCCTGGCTCTTGTCATGGTGCTGGCCACGCTGTGCTTTGGGGTGGTAAGTACACATCCCCACACCATGAAGTTCAAGTTTAAGAGTTCTGTCTGCTGACTGGGGGAATGTTCCAGGCTGCACTGGCCGGATCAGGCCAGTCATCCCCAAGGCCCATCATACCGGCCTGAGCTGGTCTGATCCAGCCAGACCACAGCCCCGCCAGGTGCGGCCTCCTCCGAGAAGCCTAGCCAGCCGCTCACTGCCTCACACCTCTCTTTGGTTTGGGCTTCACTTCTCGCCTGCCCTGTTATCTCAGTAACAATCTGCCAGCCCGTGTATGAGACGGTTTCCACCACTAACCTGTCCCTGCCATTAGCCCCCTCAGCACACACATTGGCTTGATATTTTTCTGCCACATGATGCCCGCCTTGCTAAGTGGTCATAAAGGGCACTGTCAGACGGGCTCTCCAGTTCACGAGTTCTTAGATGAAGCTGGCTTTCCATTGCTCACGGGAAGCCTCTTCCCTCCCCCAGCTGAGAGGAGCCCTCATGACCGTCCCCAGAAGAAGACCACCTCGTCGGCGTCAGCCTCTCATGAGGTTTGAGCGTGGTCGTGTGTGCAGCTGGAGGAAGGCCCTGGCCTGGCTGGGCCTGGGAACACCACAGTCAGAGGAGACGGAGGTGGCCGAGGACCACGTGAGCTGTGGACTGTGGGATCCCTGGGCGCAAGAGCAAGTTCAGCAGCTGCTCTTAGTTCTAGAGCAGGATGGCCTGCTGCCCCGAGTGTCGCTGCGCTGAGTCTGTTCTTAGTCCTCCGTAAAGTCAGGACGCCCCCTGGACCCCCCAAGCACCTCCCTCTCACTGACTCACCATGTCCTTGGCCCAACCCTGTCTGCCTGGAAAGACCAAGCTTGCGGTCTTTGCCGGGCACATGCATGCTGTACTCTGTCCCTTTAGAACTGGTCATTTCCATTTCTGCCTGCTGCGGGACCCAAACTTCTGCCTAGAACACGGAGTCCTGGGTGCATGGTTTGACATCTGACACCTGCAGCACTGCTCACAAGCTCCCAGACGACTCCCCTGAGACCAGGGCATCTGCCGGGCAGTTCCACAGGCAATCACACAGGGAGCGGTGCTGGTGTGGTGTCACTGTTTATCCCGTGCCCCACCTGTCACGGCCCTCGGGTCTGCCGCGCAGCCTGCATGCTGCGCCACCGTCCACGTGCGTGCAGGTCTGCGTGGACGCATTCCAGCAGGGCGTGAAGCACAGCCCGTGTGTGTCTGTGTAAACACTGCAGCAGGGCACAAGCCATTGCCCGGTGTGTCTCCCTGCACTCACTGGGATGGCGTGAAGCACAGCCTCTGTGTGAGTGCCTGCATGGACACAAGTGGCGTCCACAGTGTGTGTGTCTGCAGCATGTTGCACACTACGGGGAGCTGACGGTCAACTCCAGTGTGTGTCTGCATGAGCCCAGTATAGAGGAGTCTTTCAGAGACAGGCCCCTCATTCGGGTCTTCTGGTAGCGAATCCAGCACATTCTCCATTACGGCACAAAGCCGTTGAGAGCAGCACCCCACGCGTGTCAGAGAAGGGAGAGAGAAGTCAGACGAGATCGGGCGTGTTCAGCGTGGTATGGCCGTAGACAGAGACGTCAGATCCTAACTGCATTCGCTGAGCTGCTGTTCCTCCCTTCAGCGTTACTACCTGGACGAATTTGCGAGTCTGGTAGACGAACTTCTGATGAAGGTTGATGGTTTGTCCAGCAGCCTTCACCTCCCACCTCTAGAACGACCCAGGCCTTCAGCGGAGTCAAGGGCACAAGACAGGCCCCTGGGAGGGGTCCCATCCCCTTACCAGATGGCTGGGGTAAGACTAGGAGGCGTAGCTTGGTCACTTTCCTATAGCACATGTCCTCAGCTCTGGAGTTGGTCTGATGTAATGATTTAAATCAGCAGGACCGTTTGCATCACTGATCTCTGAGCACCATTGGAGCGAGACGCACTCCCGCCATGCCTGAGGAAGCGTCCTGCTGACTCAGAAGATGCGACTTGCAGCTTTACCTGCTGACAGAGTGCCCTGGCTCCTGCTCCCCCGCCAGCCTCTGAGGACACTGGACTCCACCAAGAGCCTGAAAAGCAAGAATGGAAGCTAGGGAGCGCCTGGCACCTGGAGAGGCCGAGGCATGCCTGGTGGCTCACAGTCATCCCGAGAATGGCTGCCAACAACCCTGAGAACCAGGTGAAGAGTTAGAGTTGCTGCCCCGCTTCCCACCCAGCTCCCTGCTTGTGGCCTGGGAATGCAGTTGAGAATGGCCCAAAGCTTTGGGACCCTGCACCTGTGTGGAGACCTGGAAAAAGCTCCTGGCTCCTGGCTTTGGATCAGCTCAGCTCCAGCCCGTGCAGCCACTTGAGGAGTGAATCAGCGGACAGAAGACCTTCCTCTCTGTATCTCTTTCTCTCTGTAGATTTGCCTTTACAGTACATAAGTTAAAATAAATAAATAAATTTTTAAAATGATGTTCTCAGCTTTCCTAGTTTGAAACCAAATTAATCTCCGTAAGCGATCCCTGAGTAGAACCCAGTGGCACACTGAAACAGTGCTGTTCCCAATTCATGAGTTTTAAATCAAGAACAGAAAGGTTTAATGACAAGCATCTGCACACCCTCACTGGAAGGAAGAGCTGTTTTACTTCCTCCCTGGCTGCACTGGATGCATTTGGCCATGCATTTCTAATTTTTAAAACATGCAAGGGGTTTTCCTAAGGGTCATAGAGTGTCGTGAACAGCCTCCCACTGGAATCGGAGGTTCCCCATCCAAACAGGGTCATCCGTGAACCCCCTTTTCCTGTGACCTCTTCAAAGCAACCCCTGCACCGAATGGGAAGGCATGCCAGCAGTTCTGAGAAAACCTGAATCTGTCCCAGGGTGCGGTGTGGGGTGTAGGCCGTGAGTGCCGTCTGGAGCTGGAGGACAGAAAGCCATCAGGAACCCACAGGGCCAAGGTGCAGGATGGGGCTCAGCCAGCTGTGCGGGCTCTGGTCCCTTCTTGTCTGGCGTCAGCATGGGATCCTGGGATTCTGCATGGGAGGTGGTTATGCACACCACACGCACTGTTCAGGGCCGTGTGTGCTCAGGACCCGGGATCCCATACGTGTACTCCCTGCAGCGATGGGGGTTCAGAGTGGAGCCTGGCCCTCAGAATGTATTCAGGACCCCGGGTCCCATATGCATACTTCCTGTGGCTACGGGGTCCCATACGTGTACTTCCTGCGGCTACGGGGGTTCAGAGTGGAGCCTGGCCCTCAGAGTGTGCTCAGGACCCGGGGTCCCACAAGCGTGCTCCCTGCACCTGCAGGGGCTCAGAGCATGCTGTCCTCATGCCTGTAGGGGGCGCTGTGGCAGAAATGCCGCCATCTCTGCAGGCCAGCACTGCTGGTTATGGGCAATGGGGAGAGGCCAAGGTGCTGGCTTGTGCAGGGCAGTGGCTTGGCGTCATAACTGCTAATATTGAAGATCTGTATCTTTGTAAATTACAGGAGCTGAATGCCCGCAGCCAGCAGGAGCCAGCTACCCAACATTCTTGGTGTTTCGCAGTGACCCACGGTAGCAGCATGCCGAGAGCCGCTGGCCCCCGCCCCTCGTCTGCCATGAGGTTCAGAGGCACACACCTGTTCTCTGGAGGACTCCTTTGTTAATTTGCTTTTCTGAATACAGTTGAGATGGGTGGGAGCGTGGGGGACAGGCGGGAGCCCAGGTGCTGAAGTGCAGCTGCGACAATGCTTGGCAGGCTGCCTCTCCACCTCGGGGTTCCGACGGACAGAACGGGGTGCTCTTCAGGGGCTCCAGAGGCGGTGCAGGATCATGGAACACACCGGGCCGCGCCCCGGGCAGAGAATGCAAGGGAAAGGGGCCATCCAGGGAGACAGCAGCCCAGCCCCCAAGACTCCTGCTCCTAGCTGGCCCTGACAGCAGGCCACTGCTACTCGTGGGTCACTTTCCACGCGGCGGTGGATGGGAAACCTAACACTCTTCCAAGCGTCTGTGCCCCACCCTCCGTGGCTGCAACAGCGTAGCAGAGGCTAGGCACTTCATGCATGTCTCACACATGTGTGGCTTAAGCGCATAATGCCGGCACCTGCTGGATGTGGGCGAGGGCCTCGCAGCATCACAGTGGCAGAGGCCCAGGAAGGAGGGAACATGTGGCAGGCAGGCAGGAAGCAGGAGTGACAGCCTCAGTGGCTTCATACCCACCCGTTCCCCAAGAGAATAAATCTCACCAGCTCGCAGGTTCCTGCACCCGGGATCACCCCTGCCAGCTGCTCCCACGCCGGGGACCGAACTCCTAGCACAGCCCCCCAACGTGAGCCCCAGGGCCCTTGAGAAAGGTCCAGAGTTGGTGTGTGTGTTTCGGAGATGCTCTCTGCAAGGGGAGCGTTATAGGGGATTGAAGCTGTAAAAGCCTGGTCCAGGATCCGGGGACCCAGCCATGGACGCCACTGACTCGCAAATTAGCTCTCTTGGGCCCGGCACCATGGCTCAGTGGCTAAATCCTCACATCACATGTTCTGAGATCCATGGCTGCCCCACTTCCCATCCAGCTCCCTGCCTGTGGCCTGGGAAAGCAGCAGAGGACGGCCCAGAGCCTGGGGACTCTGTACTCACGTGGGAGACCCGGAGGAAACTCCTGGCTCCTGGCTTCAGATCAGCTCAGCTTTAGCTGTTGTGGCCATTTCTGGAGTAAACCAGAGGATGGAAGAGCTTTCTTTCTGTCTCTTCTTCTCTCTATGAGTCTGCCTTTCCAATAAAAATAAGTAAATCATTAAAAAGGAGGGGGGGGTGGGAAGTGAGCTCCTTCCACCACGAAGACCAGGAGAATTCAAATATCAAACCACGCCCAGGGGCTGGGCAACCTGCACACCTGCTGGACCCAGGTTGGTTAATGACCCCGCACGAGGCAGTGGGCATGGCAAGAGGGTCCCGCGACAGTGCCTGGGGCTCATTCATCACCTTAGGGACCGCTGTCCTCCAGGACTGGACCGCTCAAGCCTGACCCCTGCCCTTGCTGGCTGAGGTGACTCAGCTACTTCCCCACCACGGGACTTGGAACTCAGCAGATACCTAGTCAGCTGACTACTGAGCGAGAGCGTGGGCAGACGGCGTGGGTGAGGAGGTGCAGAGGCCATGGCAGTGACCTGCGCAGGGCACGTGCCCGCTCTCGGAGGGTTCCAGAAGAGTAAAGCGATGTCCAGATGAAAAGCTCTTTACGAAGCAGCTCTGCACAGCTCAGGGAAAGCGACAAGACAGCGGGGTCAGGGCCGTGCGGCCTAATTAGTTCTAATGGTTTCTTTTATTTTTTTCCAAGATATGCTGTATTTCCAAGTATGTCTTGAAATCTTTCCCTTGATGGACAGCACAAAAAAAAAGCTGCTTAAAAGAATTATTCAGCTGATTTACAGCCTTTAATCGGCTCGGAGCGGGCCTGCCTCAGAGAGCAGTGGGAAGCTGCAGCAGGACAGCCCGCCCAGGCTCTTCTGAGCACTTGGTGCTCCCGGGGCCCACCCGGGGCCCACCAGGGGCCCACCCGGGGCCCACCCGGGCAGCTCGCGCGCAGGAGCGCTTTCCCAACCTCTGACTCGCTCATTCCTGGCTGATGGAGCTCCAGCAACACTGTGCTGTGCTCAGTCTCTTTGTTTGGATAAATGGCGCTCGAGTGGAAAGAGAAAAGACCAGGCCTGGGTTACTAGGAAGACGTGATTCACTTGTGTGAACCCAGCGAACTCGTCTGGGGGCCGAAAGCACCGAGTCAGCTGGCTCCGCTCTCCAGAAACTTCAGCGTCAGCTTGGAGATCCACACGCCACAGTTATTTCCAAGACAACAGGTCAAACATTGCACTGGTTTGTTCAGGCCGCCGTCACCGAGTACCATGCACAGAAACGTGCCTCGCCTCCCATTGAGGAGGTCGGGGGTCAAGGTGCTGGCAGGGCCAGGCCGGGCAGGGTCTGGCGTCGGCGTCTGCAGGTCCCTGGCCTGACAGGCGTGTCACTGGGTCTCCACAGTTCCCCTTAGCATGTGGACACGGGCAGCGGCCTGCGGCCCACTGCGATGACACGGCCTCGTCTGATGATCTTTGAAACAAGACCCGGTTCTCTGGTGTCTGAAGACGGGTGCTCACTCCAGCGTCGGAGAGCTGCAGGGACGCGGGCTGGCAGGAGCAGGCAGAGTGTTCAGGACCCTGTGAGCGTGCTTCTTCAGCTGGAGGGTTAGTGTAGGAGAGGCCTTTATGAGAACAGAGCATGCGTGCTGGGACGTGCGGCCTCTCTCCACATTGTAGAGCTGGTGGGTCGTTGAAGTTCTTTGCCTCTGGGAAAGATCAAGTAACAACCAAAGGTGTTCACTTTGCCACCTTCAATGCAATTTTAAATGGAAATGTAATCCGTCCCTCCTCCAAACACCAGGTGGTGTCAGTGTGTACCTGGATTGTCTTCCTGAATTCAGAATCGGACTGGGCGCCCGGGGTCTCTGGGTCAGCAGGCGTGCCCCTCACCTCCTCCTCAAGGAAGCAGCTCCTTCACAAGGCCGAGTCCTTAGACGCACCCTGTGTGTGGCACCAGCACGTTGCTTCTGTGGGAAGACAGAGCCGGTGGTCCTAGCCGGTGGACTGGAGTGCCGGGGCAAACCATGGTGCAGCAGTTGCCCCGGGGGCTGTGTGCTAAGGCACCTGCCACACAGCAGCACAGTAATGGACTAGAGAAAGTACTTCACAAGTTTATATTCCTAAAGTTACTTTAAAATCAGCAACTCTGTGTGTTTACATAGATAAGAGCTTCAGACAAAACTTCTGCAAATGAAATTGAAAGCTAAGTTTGTTTGGTACAAAAAAAAAGTTTGAACTCTTTGCATAAAAAGGTCTTCAAAAAGTTTCTAAAAATGCACACTGTGAAACTCCTATGTGTGGATTTCAGGATGTTTTGCACCAAGATACACATCTGTTAATTCCATTTCCCATGAACTTGTTGAAGGCCCTCGTATGTCGCCTTGCCCACTGACAGTCAGGCCCGAAGTCCTTCGTGCAGAGGCTAGCCATGGCAACGCTGTGGGCTGGATTCCATTATTAGCTCATCTTAGGACTGAGCCAGGGAGGCATAGAGAAGT